GAGCGTACTTGTTAAATTATATCTTTTTGTAAAATTTTCGAAATTTGTTGACATCATCTATCATGTATAAGGAGTTGCATAATTTTCAGGGAAAATTAATAAATAAATACTTAAGTATAGCTATTGCGTCATGAAATTCTAAAGCACAAATTACATACTATTACTGCATTATACTACATTTAGTAAAAATTATCAACATAATTATCATTGTAATTTACTTGAACTCACCCATTTAACTTTCTCGATTCCCTAAAGTGACTTGTTCTCGTATAACTCGTTCAAAATCTAAAGTATAAATACTTCTTCGCGAACTGGCGTTGTTTGTTGTTTGGGTTTTTCGACTGCCATTTATTTAGCAAGACAAGTGCACACACACACACGTATCGAAAATCCAGAAAGACCACCCGTAAAACAGCCTTCTCTCATTACGTCCAAAAATATTTCATAATTCGAAATACGTATTTTTAGATAGCTCAAGTTAACGGATATAAAGCAGTTATTCAGACGGCGGAACACGACATGGGTGTGTTGAATTTTTAAAATCGACCATCAGTCACGCAGGAAGAACGAAAATAGGGTCGAAAATCCCCGAATTTCCGCGCGCTCCCTAATTTAAGGCGACCGGAATTCAGCGCAAAAGACCGAAAAGAAAAATAAGACTTCAAAGAATGGATCCGCCGAAAAACGTGCGAAAAACATTCTCAGACGATTTTTATGCGCTTCGACCAGACATAATGACAAAAGTATTGCTCAATTACGTTTTCTCGAATGCATAGTCGAATTTGTAGCCGTTTTTTTCGGCATAAAAGCGCTTTGTAAGTAATGGCTGTTTTACGAGGGAAAGCGTCGACGAGATGATTAATTTTATATATCTTCGACTCGAAAATATAGGTTGACTATCTTTTGATGAAAAATTCGCAAAATAATCGAACATTTGGCAACTTCAGAGTCGTTACACACGCTTGCGATATGAATCATAGTTAACATACGAGCATTATAGTATAAGTTTTAGCATATACAAAATGTAGGATCAAGGTTTGTTTTTTTTACAAACTTTGAACTCTAGCCAAGTTCCGGACGTGAAATTTTAAAATAGGTTCACGAAACTGCAACGACAGGTGGAGTGTATAGTCTAGCTAAAAGTCATATACAGGGTGTTTCATTGGAAAAATGCCCAATGAAAGAGGGTAGCAAAAAAAAACAAATAGAACGGGCGTTGCGCCTTTGCTAAGGTCTTAACACAACATTAATAAAGTATTTTATCTCATTGCAGTATGTATTACCACAATTTCCACAACCACCTATTAGTTAAATTAACCAGGAATGATTTTTATGATTTCCCTGTAAAAAATAACGAATCGAAAAGGTATGTTAACGAATCGGTTTTCGCATCGAATGGGAATACATTCGCAGGGTCTTTGTATGCATTTATTTCGCAGCTCCGCTATTTTTAAACTCAAGGCGAAATGGTGTTATAAATCGCGGCGAGGAAACTAACGCTGGTGCGAATATGTCGTTCAACTCTAAAAGTAGTATTTGTTACCTTGTACAGTCGGGCTACTAAACTTTGGAAAATTTTAACGACCAAACATTGAACTTTACTGGACTCGCTCGGGATGCGTTATTTCCAGATTTGAGTTAGTAGTCCGATAAATTTAACCGGCTGCAAAAACGTTCGTATAACTTGTAATTTGCGAAAAATACCAAAATTAGGCAGACAACATTACACCGACGCATTGCTGCCAAGTTGAACGACGCGAAACTAATAATGTATTTTTCCCTAATTATCCACTCGAGCGAGCTATTAAAAATTATACGAGCGATAAATTAATGTTGATCGATCAAATACGGGGTAATGTACATGATTGAGACTATTTTGGGAAGTTGGCCGTGAATGTCACAAATTTTCTTGGCTTATCTACGTCTCAATGACATTTCGGCACAGCCAACTTTTCGAAAGTTATTTGCAGTCACTCGACATAATTTACATACACACCACACAATTAACACACCCTGTAAGTAGACGGAGAGATAGTTATCTACCTAAACTTGGCACCGCACTACGCTAATAAAAATTATAAAACAGTACGATTCGATTTTATGTTTCCAGTGCGTAGGATAAACGATAAAAAACGCGAATAAAGCATTCAATTCAATGTAATTACATAAAAAAACCGCATAATTATATTAAACGTGAATCATAAATATTGTACACACCTTGTATCTGAAAATATCTACAAGTGAGAAATTTTAGAATCACCCTCGTATACCAACAACACACGATCTTAAGCTGTCAAATTAATTAAACGAAACGTCAATATTGTCATTATTGTCAACGAAAAACAAGGTTATGTTGATTAAATGTTTAATAAATACAACAAATCAACATCCGAACGATCGTTATTTAACTATTATCCTAGTTTAGTTAGAAGCAAAGGAGGCGAGAATTAGGCACGCAAGCGCGAGTCTGTAAATAAAATATTCACTTGCACCTGCACTTGAACTGAACCTGACCCGACAAGGGCCAACCACGCTCTCCCGGGGGTAGCCTAGTTAAATATCGAGGTAGAATTGGACGTGTGCTAGGCTAAGGTCAAGGGTTTTGCAATCAAAACGCAACTATACCGTACGCGTTTATTAGACAAATAAAGGTTGTAAATGTTGAGCTAGGGCATAGGGTAGGTCGTATTAACCCCGATTTTATAACCTAGGCCAAGAAAACACCAGCACCGTTGCCGTATGTTTTTCGAAACGCATTAAACGAGCATAAATTGTTAAATTTCGCTTTCAATTTCACTGGCATAGAAACGAAACAAAAGCGAATTTAATAGACACAAACACCGACATTACATTACATCGCACATCTTTAGTAGGCGCTTCGAAACAGGTGAACGTCGCTTACTTTTACTACTTTTTAAATTATATAATGTCGGTTCGCTTGGGCGGTTAACGGCATGCATTAGAAGGGTTAAATTTACCTCCTGTATCGTTCGAAAAAGGCACTTGTAGATCCCCGTTGTTGTCTTCATTGACTTCTAAATCCACATCGGCATTGACCGTCGATACCGTGGTGGTCGTGCCGTTTTCATTTTGCGTGGTAGACGCGGCAACAGAGCTGGGAACGCTCATGCCCGTCGCTTCTTCGTGCATTGTATTGTTTATTTCGATTACGCACTTATCCCGAAACGATGAACGAACTTACCACGCCTCGAGGTCCGAAGAAATTTCGACCTTCGGATTCGCGCCAAGGTTTCACAAATATCTATTTCTCACGGTAAAATCGAACGTTTGTTAAATGTAGGTCTCTAGGCCACTTCGCTTACACTTTGCATTCAGACAGACAGACATGACTGGGCTAGTCAAGCGTGCGACTGCTCACAATTACTTACATAACCTGAAATGCATCCCTGTCGGGTGGATTTTCGCGTGGGATGTTCCCTTTGCGTGGAAAAATCGTAAAATTATTTTAGAAAGCGTTTTTTCCCGGGAAATTTACTTGGATTTTGAGTTCGGGTGCAGACTGGTCGTGACTCGACTAGTCAAGCGAACGACTGCTTACATAACCTGAAATTTATAACCCAGTTAAATGAATTTTCGCGTTAGATGTTTCTTTTAGGTGGAAAAATCGCTTAGAAATGAAGGAAACATTTTTTCGCTAAGAAATTTGCTCAAAATTATAGTGCTTAGTTACCCATAAAACGCAGTCCACTTTCTCGATTTTAAGTAGGTCAAAGTCAAGATTGGTAAACTTAAGAGGTTTGCTCATATTGGTCCGCAAGTCGAAATATATGACGTCATTGGTGCACCGTTTGACATTTATCTTCAATTGTCAATTCAAATTTTAAAATTTACATATCTCTCCTGTATACAATAATGATAATGTTTGAAATTTTAATAGATATTGTTACGAGAAAATTAGTGGGAAATGCAAGACACGACGTAATTTTTCGAGCGATCCGGTTGGTTAAAAGTTAGGCGACAACCTGTTAACTTGATTAACTTGGTATTTAAAGTAGGTCAAAGTTGTTTATTCATTCTGTTGCGTCTATCAAACGTTACATAACTGGTATATGAATTCAGGTTGTATTATAATGCCTAGATATTTATGTTTTATTCATTTGCTATTTTATAAACTGTTACAATTAAAAAATGTGCGGCGCGTTCGGCGCTTCGCGCGCCTCTAGATGTCATTTTAAATTTTTTTGGCGCCAAAATTAATATAGTTTAGTTATTTTGAATTTAATGTATTAGCCAAACGCGTAATTTGGATATTTACTTACCTTCGAATCTGTCGAAATATTTCAAAATTATGTAAATTGTTTACCACCAATTTCAATTTATTTTATCAAGTAGGCCATCAATATCTTGTTGACAATTTAAATAAAATTAACAATTTACACACCTCTAGAAAATTTTAGCTTGCATTATGATTATGTTTAGCACATGGTAAAGAAATAATATACTATGAAATGAGAATGTAAGAAAAATACCAAGCAAGGAGGATTTTTGCTGATTGATTAAACACAAAAAATGCACACTGCTCGGGGATTCCCATGTAGAGTGTTTGTATAAAAAGATGTTGATTTTTCCATGCACTGGATATTTTTTTGTAAGAAGTTATGGCATTTCAAAGTCCTGAATTTTTCACAAATATTTAGCATGGATTATCGATTGTTGATAAAAATTATGTCAACATATAATCTTTTATTATTGAAAACAATTAATAAAACAGGCAAGCAACAATAGCCGAAATTATAAACAAAAAAAAAGAAGCAATATAAACCGCTACCCGTATTTTTATTACTGTGAATGATTATCACTGTGTTAATAATTTAAAATTTTTATCACACTTTACCATAAAATATATCGCTTCTATCATTGAAATATATAAAATGAATATATAAAAAATCCAAATTTTTATATATTCAAAAAACCAACATATAACTTGTATAACCAGTCGAATAAAATTTCATTTTGAAACACCCTGTACCAAATAGCACCTAAGCGGCCTGTTTGGCCTGATCCAGAATCGTCCTAGAAATAATCAACCTCTGTATCTGCGAGGTTCCCTCGTAAATTTGATAAATCTTAGCATCTCTCATGAGCTTCTCCACCGGGTACTCCGTATTGAACCCGTTACCACCGAATATTTGCACAGCGTCAGAGGCGCACTTGTTGGCCACATCGGCTGCATAACACTTCGCAACCGAAGCCGTCAAGGTATTTCTGATACCTTGGTCCACCTCCCAAGCAGATTTCATCCAAGCCAAACGGGCCGTTTCCACGGCTATCGCCATATCAGCCAAGATGAAGGCCACGGCTTGGTGCTGGCAAATCGGCACACCGAACGCTTTTCTTTCCAAGGAGTATTTAGTGGCCTCGTCCAAGCAGCGTTGAGCTAAACCTGTCGCACCGGCAGCCACCTACAATAGGAATATTTGTTCAGAAATACTATAGTGTACTAGTAAAGATTCGTACTAACTGGTGGTCTGGTATAATCGAAAGTTTTCATGGCGATTTTGAATCCCTGTCCTTCTTCTAACAGCACGTTTTCTTTGGGGATTCTCACGTCTTCGAACGTTATACCTCTGGTATCGGAAGCTCTTTGACCCATGTTGATTTCCTACATTTAAATAGAAAATTAATATCGTCTAGAAATGAAAGTAATAAGTATAGTACTCGCCTTTCTTCCTGGTGTAACTCCAGGCCAATCTCTCTCCACGATAAATCCAGTAAAAGCCTTACTAGCAGGCGCTTTCGGATCGGGATTAGTGCGAGCCAGTACAAAGTACCTTTAAAAATCCAATACACTAATTTAACGAAATATATTTATTTTGCAATACTAACCAATTAGCAACTCCACCGTTAGTGATCCACATTTTCTGTCCGTTAAGAATCCACTCGTCGCCCTTTTTTACCGCGTTAGTTTTCAGTCCGTTCACATCGGAACCTGCCCCGGGTTCGGTGACTGCATAAGCAACCACTAAAGGCTCTTCAGTCAATCTTCCTAAGTATTTCTTCTTTTGCTCGTGATTACCCGCCACGATAACAGGCGTTTGCTATAGTGGAGATGCAGAAGTTTGTATTAAACAGATATTTAATTGGAGTAAATGTGTTTACTTACTCCTAATCCGCTGCCTTCGAGTGCGGATAATATTCCGGAGCAGCCCCAGGCGATTTCCTCGCCTATTATACAGCCATCGAATACTCCCAAGCCCAAACCCCCTGTAATAATTAATATTAATAAATTGGGCAATTGGATTATAGGTAAGTGGAATTTACCATATTCTTCGGGTATGTGACCGTTGGTTAAACCGAGGCTCCAAGCTCTTTTGAGAAGATCGTGAGGATATTCGCCGGATGCGTCATATTTTGGTACAACAGGTAAGATTTCTTCTCTGGTGAATTTTCTGGCTAGTTCTTGAAATTCTTTTTGCGTTTCGCTCAGTACTGAAATTTAATTAAATTATTATTACCCGGGATGTTATTCGCAAATCCTAAATATTAAGGAATTAAGATATTTTTTGTAGAACCGGTTGTCAAGGCTGTTTTATATACATGCTAATGTATTAGTATTTTTTTAAGATTTTAACTTAATTACAATTTATTTTAATTAATTTTAACAATTTATTTACTAAGCTTATTAAGGATAATTGGTAAATATCCTAATCAGGTATATACTAGCACAGTTTGTATAATCCAGAACTGCATAAAATTAAGATAAGATAAATTAATTCGTATTTTATACAACCGAATATAACATTCTCCTTGAAATCTAGGCACTTGTGAAAATCAAACAATTATTATAAAAATATTACGAATATTCTACCTACTCTAGAGTTCATATTTAATTTAATCCCTGTTTTTATTACCTATATACAATCATCCAGCAGGACATGCGTTTTAAAGTTAAAACATCCTTACATACTAATATTTTTCCTCTACCAATAAAGGAATAGGTTACTTTACCAAAATTATATCCCCCTGTAACCGGAGTAGTGGAAGATAGTCTTAGAGCATTCTGATTTAGTTTCAGGCCGCTTCTTATAAAAGTCTTCGAAATCTGAAATGTAATACATTTTCTAATAAAACAAATTATTACTAATTTTGTTTTAATACAACCTGTTGCAGGCAAAACATTTCAACTAGATTAGCTAAAGGTAACTAAACCTACGGAATTTATTTTCTCGGTATGATTATCAGTAATACCTTGAATTATCACTAAAAAACAATATTTAAATAAATTGTAAATAATATTTGAACTTTGGAATTCGCTTTTTTCTTTTTTTAATAATGATTTTAAAATAGAAAGTGTATTATGTCAAAATCTTCTTTAGCATTCAATTTTTTGTGGCCTTTACTCTTATTACATTAAATCACATTGTTTTTGTCCTAACTGAACAACCGTACATACTGAGGCAACTAATAAGAGTATAATAATTGAACAAACGACAAAATAGTAGGTGTAAAATGTAATAAAATTAAGTAATTGGATATAAAATATATTTTATTACGTATAAAAAATATTTGATTGATAAAATTCCATTAAAATGTCTTAAGATTCATCACAATGCAGTAGAAAGCACCGGTATGAATTTGTATTGTACCTGTATAGACAACTGTCCTAGAGTATTTACTGTATTCCTAAACTCTTAAAATATGTGTATTTCTCAATCAATTAATACCGTTAAAATTCAAGCAGATTGTTTAGCCTTTTCAAGAATATTTCTAGAAATAATCATCCTCTGTATCTGCGAGGTTCCCTCGTAAATTTGATAAATCTTAGCGTCTCTCATGAGCTTCTCTACCGGGTACTCCGTATTGAACCCATTACCACCGAATATTTGCACCGCGTCAGAGGCGCACTTGTTGGCTACATCAGATGCGTAACATTTGGCTATAGAAGCTGCCAAGGTGTTCTTGATCCCGTTGTCCACCTCCCAAGCCGATTTCATCCAAGCCAAACGAGCCGTTTCCACGGCTATCGCCATATCAGCCAAGATGAAGGCCACGGCTTGGTGCTGACAAATCGGCACACCGAAAGCTTTTCTTTCCAAGGAGTATTTAGTGGCCTCGTCCAAGCAGCGTTGAGCTAAACCTGTCGCGCCGGCAGCCACCTACAATAAGAATATTTGTTCAAAAAGACTATAGTGTACTAGTAAATATTCATACTAACCGGTGGTCTCGTAGTATCGAAAGTTCCCATGGCGATTTTGAAACCTTGTCCTTCTTCTAACAGCACGTTTTCTTTGGGGATTCTCACGTCTTCGAACGTTATACCTCTGGTATCGGAAGCTCTTTGACCCATGTTGATTTCCTGCATTTAAATAGAAAATTAATATCTTCTAGAAACGAAAGTAATAAGTACACTACTCGCCTTTCTTCCTGGTGTAACTCCAGGCCAATCTCTCTCCACGATAAATCCAGTAAAAGCCTTACTAGCAGGCGCTTTCGGATCGGGATTAGTACGAGCCAGTACAAAGTACCTTTAAAAATCCAATACACTAATTTAAGGAAATATATTTATTTTGCAATACTAACCAATTAGCAACTCCACCGTTAGTGATCCACATTTTCTGTCCGTTAAGAATCCACTCTTCCCCCTTTTTTTCAGCTCGAGTTTTTATTCCGTTTACGTCGGAACCCGCTCCGGGTTCGGTGACTCCGTAAGCAGCCACTAGAGGCTCTTCGATTAACCTGCCTAGGTATTTCTTCTTTTGCTCGTGATTGCCGGCTATAAGAACGGGCGTTTGCTGAAATGGCCTAAGGTAAAAGGCATTCTACGTTTCGGGAAATTACTTACGCCTAATTGACTGGCTTCCAAGGCTGTTTTAACGCCGGTACATCCGTAAGCGAATTCTTCGGCTATTAGGCAACCATCGAATACGCCCATGCCCATGCCACCTTGATAAATATTATGTATAAACTATTATTAATAAATTCAATTTGTAAAGTTTACCGTATTCCTCGGGTATGTGGTTGTTGGTTAAGCCCAGACTCCATGCCTTTTTAAGTAGTTCAAATGGGTATTTTCCCGTTCTGTCGAGCTCGGCTGCGGCCGGTATGATTTCCTCCCTCGTAAATTTCCTAGCTAGTTCTTGAAATTCTTTCTGGGTTTCGTTCAAAGCTGTAAAATAGTAATTAGAAAGATAACGCAAACAAGTTAGATAAGAACCCAAAAAAATTAAAATAAGTCGAAAGGTGATAATAGAAAATTTTTAAGTCAACCTAGCAACAAATATTTACATCTGTTTATCAAAACAATTTAATATTTAGAAATTTTCAAAACAATTATTTTTAAATTGTTGGAAAATAAGCTAAGGCAACTATGTTATTATTAGATTTCTAAAGGTAATTTTATTCTTTAGAAAAATTGTAATAATTACCAAAATTAACGCCGGGTTTTGGAGTGGTAGAAGATTGCCTTATCAAATTCGGATTAATTTTTAAACCACTTCGTACAAAATTCCTCGAAACCTGTAAAGTTGTTTTAATTTCTCAATAACAAAGTGAACCACTATTTATATAAACAATAATTTTACCTGTTGTATGCACGACATTTTTAACCAAATTTCAGTACAGACAATTGGACAATAAACTTATTATTCGGTTGTTTAACTACTTATAAATAATTATTTGAGCTTTGGACTTTGCTTTATTATAGAATTGCAATGCAAATGAGCTTTGAACCAAAATAAAATGTCTCTAGTGACAGTTGCGGCACCGGTCATTGCTGTAACATATTGTAAATCCTTTCGACATAATATTACTATATCAAAATGTGAGAATTTACTGAGTTCTCACAATTTTATTGTAATTACGGTTGTGTTGCAATGTAAATAAATTGTTCGCACTAACTAAAATAACGGGACTGTAACTTGAGACATTTTTTATGAAACTGTCATTGTCAATGTCAAATTCTTCTCAACTTGTATACGTACTGTCCTGTATCGCTATAAACATCGAGCTACCTTTCTAATGAAAAAAATACTTTTGAGAAGTGAATGGAAAATATATTTAGTCACATATAAACCAAACTCCAAATTATTAAAATTTAATAAAAGTTGCCGCCTACAAAGATTTAATTACAAGCGATTGTTACTATACACACGCAAGAAGTAATAAACAACTATTAAAAAAAATGCCCAGGCAATTTATAAAAATACCCAGAAATAATATATAGGCGAGTCGTCACCTATTTATTACATAAAATAGGAATCATTGCGTGTCGATTGGACGCAATTTGTTTTCTGTTAGGTCGTAACTTTTAATAAGAACGAACAGAACCCGGAGAATCGGATAATAAGGGGAATATAAATTACCTTTTTTCGACTCTATTTCGACCCACTCTACCCCATTTGTTCAGAAACAATGCTCTATTGAGTAGGTGGAAAAGTGTTTTTATTAAATTTATTTATTATCAAAGAAATATATCAAAAAAATCCCTATAAATTTTAACACTAGTCTGCTTAATTTTGAGTAATAAATCGCCTATATAAGCTCCAGAATTCCACAAAAAAACTTTAATATTAGCATGGATATTGGGCATACTTTAATTTTCCCGTCATCTCATTATAATTAAGTTGAATTGTTGACAGGGTAACTCAATAAGTGGTAGTTTCGGATCAAAATTTCCCTGGCACGTGTCCCTTGTACAAACCACGAAACTAATAAACGTAGGTGGTAATATCGAGACAAGAAAACGTCCGAGACAAAAGCAAATTTGCCCGGCACATCGTAAATTACCAAATTAAGTATGTCGAGAACCGTCTCAACAGGCACCACCGGGAAAAATTTATAGCCAATTCCATCGCTGTTTACAATCCTCTTCTGAGAGACATCCGGAGAGTGCGCGAGATCTTCCTCCAATTTTTCCAACCTGGAAAAACTTTCGCAGAGAAGCGATCAGTCCGACTCCATCGCTCTAAAGCGACAGCCATCCCTCAAGCCCGAAGTTTTCACTCGCTTGAAAATAGAAAATCGTTTCGATTCGAATGAAACATGTGGCTGCACGTCTCCACGTTCGCTGTAGCATGCGTTTTCATCGAGGCCACTGACGGAAGTGGTACTGAAAATGATTTGGAGATGATCTTTAAAGCTAGGTAATTCAGTATACACGCAAAAATAATAAGTATCATAAATTGTTACGCTTTTTTTACAGGACAAATTCGGATTGGAAGAACGCTTGGCATCAAGAGAAGTTCTCCCGGTGCCGAGACACTCTCGTCAAGCACTTGTACTGGGCCTGCGAAAAAGACATTTACAGATTAACCAGAAGAAACGATCCCAGTTTCAAGTCGCTGGATTTCGATTACGAAAACGACAACGACAACGAAGGTAATTAACACCCAACAATTACTTACTTGCACTGTTTTTTATCTAAGTTAAACACAAGCACATTCCTATACCATTTATCACCATATACATCGTACAAATTTGCACTTATCTGTATATTCACAGTGCTTGTGTATGTTTCAGTGGATTTTCCATGGCAAACGCGAAGAGAGGCCAAGCGGCTGGTGCGTTTCAGGCGCGATTTGGAGCGCAGATCGGGATCTTCGATAACCCACGAGTGCTGCAAATCGTCGGGATGCACTTGGGAGGAATACGCGGAATATTGCCCTACTAACAAACGTTACACTTCTTACGTATAGATTAGTAAAGGCGTACAACTAGCTGACATATCTTAGAATGAAGCATATATAGCAATTATTGTATACCTAGAATTATTTATACGTTCTCCAGAAGTTCTGAATTATTGTTAGAAAATATATCGGAAGTTAACTTGATATTATAAATTAGTGTAAATGAATGAATCGTTTTGCAAGTAGACATTGTTTGCTTTCGACAAATAGCAAATTATACATTCTACCGATATTTTATTGCGACTCCAACAAGCCAATCTAAACAAAAAAAAACCTTTCTTAAACGAATCGCTTTATTTACTCGCCTTTCTTCGCCATCATCGACTTGTGTTCGCTACCGCTTCGTAAAAAACTAAAATAATACCGCGCCCAGCAATACACGATACCAACCGCGCAATAAACCGACGTAACCATCAACGGCAAAAAGGGCAGTTTGTCGTTCAAGCCGAGCACGAGCCCGTGAATGACGTTCTCGTAGGCGAAGACGCCCAACAGCCCGGCGAGATAGAGGCTCTCCGACGTCGCGAGCAGCGGCAAATTGAATCTCGATTTAGGCCGAACGTGGTGCGCATGCAACGTGCACAAACTGTGGAAGGAGTACAGCGTGTAGAGCGCCAACAGCAGGACTTTCACCAGCAGCAACGAGGGCACGTACAACAGAGGAAACAGAGAATAGTGCCCAGCGGTGGAGAGTAGTAGAAACATCCTGGCGTCTTCTACATCGCCGATTGATAGTATACTGAAATTAGCATGTTAGTGAGGAGTAGTGGTAATTCTTTAGGTCTCACCTTAGTGGTATGATGACCATTAGGATGGCTTTCTCGTGCACGTGCCAGCCGAATAGGAACGAAGTCAAAGCGCATAGTACCATGCACCTCAAAAAATGGACGGGTTTGTGTAAGGAAAATAATTTAACGGCTGCAGGTAGCATAAAGAGAGCTGTTAATAAGAGGGTAACGAACGGTGTGACGTTGGGTAATAAGGAATGTGAATATTCTTGTACTAGTCCTCCTGTCATCGATGCTGTTCGATTGCTCACCAACTCCGGGTTGAATTTCGATGCTGAAATATTTACGTTTTTATTAGTTATATCAGTTTTATGATAGATGATTGTTGTACCTAGAGTATATCCGATTTTATCGATTGTGTTGTAAATAGCCCAAACATTCGGGGCCCAGTAAGCGTGACACAAGCCTCTCTTAAATGGAAACAATCTAGAGAGAACCTAAACGAATATAAATTTATACAATTAAGAAGAATTGTTTAAAAATATATCTTACTTGAGGCAGGTGGTCGTAAAAAGGCAAAAATGTTACGAAGAATATGCTCAAAACGAGCATTCCTAACGTTGCGAATCTTCTAACAGTATCACATGTAAATATCGCATTAAACTTTAACGGTCCTCTCAAGCAATATTGCCTCAACAAATAAATAAAATACGCAGGCGCTAAATACACGTAAATATGCTTCAGGTTTAGCAGTATCGTAAACCAAAAAGCCGATTGTAAATATTTCTCCTAAAAAAATCATTTATCAATTAATAGCAAATAGCATTCGCTTGTACAACTTACTTGTAACATATAAGCTATAGATATTAATAAAATGCCGTACATGAACCCGTTGTACTGAAAATGGATGTGATCGACCATCAACAGTCCGCAATTTGTGATTAATAAAATAGGCAAGACGACTTCTTTACCCCAACTTTTCTTCAAAGACGAACAACACCTACAAGTTACCGTAAATTAATTTAACTCGGTGAAACGTAGTAGGTTTGGAAATTTACATTAAAACGCCCAAAGCGTAGACCAAATCGGTAACAATCACCGACAATCTTTGGAATAAAACGGTTCTCTCTGAAGAATAATTCAAGCGGTCGATGCTGAGCATGTTCGGATCGAAGAAATAAGCCACTAAAGACAGTGCATATTCGAACCAAGCGAAAAGGGGTGGATAGTCCAAAGTCCATTGCGATGTAGCTTCAAAATACCATTTTCTCGGCGGTAAATTGTGTGTAATTGCCAACCAATTCCTGTGGACTTCGAAATCGGTGGAACGACTTGAAAAACAACGAATTACTAAACCCATATGTGATGAAATTAAAACGTACTTACTAAGCTGGAATGAGGAGTAATTTCAAAAGAGAAGTCAGCAATGTTGTCGTAAAAATCATAATTAATCGATACTTTCAACGGGTTCATTTATAAAATTCATAATTTTATTTAAATTTTTAATATTAATTTCTAGGTTATGTTATATTTCTTCGTTTTCTTTGAAACGTCAATGATTATGAAGTAGATGAATGTCATAAACGAAAGAGGCCATTATGTTTAAATAAAACTGAGAGTAGAAAAAAGTAACCTATTCTATATTTTATTATTCGAAATATTTAATTTCGAATAATGAGTGCTTCAAGATTTAAGGGCTGGCGATATGCAGCATTTATTTCTGGTGTTGTAGGAGCGATTTCCTTAGCAATTTATCCTGTCATAATAGATCCAATGATCAATACAGATAAATACAGTTGAGTATTCAAATAATGTTCTGCAAGCTTATTTTTTTATAATTTGATTTTAGAACGTATTCAGGAGGTAACTAGGGAAGGAATTATACAAGAAAACATTCAACCTGGAAGTAAGTAGATTAAATTAGCTGAATACCTGCAAATTTAATTGAAATATTTTTTGCAGATATGAAAGTCTGGACTGATCCATTTGATCGAAAGAAATCATAACAAACTGTAAATAAACTTATAGTGTAAATAATAGTAATTAAATAAACAATCAACTCACTGCTACTTCCTTTTTTTAAGTACATATAATTTTATATACAAACGTTCATACATCGAGTAGGAAACGTATTTTAAAAAAATAGTCACTTTAATAGCACCATAAAAAACACTAGATTATTTTTTTGAATGTCGATACTCCTTAAAAGTTAATCAAAATAAAATTCTCAGCATTTACATTTGCTATTGATTAGGAAAAGTGTTCTTCATCATCATCACAGACGTCCAAATATACATCGTAAGCCTCCCTATTGCAATTACCATCAGCGTTGAAAACGTATTTGTGAAACGTTCCATCTAAACATATAGCTGAAAGGTTTATATAGTAATTATGTAATCGAGAGAAAGAATATTATCACTTACCTATTACAGAACTGTTGGTACCAAATGCGCAAACGCAAGCGCATTCCGGAGGTACTACAAAATTAGCTAAAGCCCATTGAGATTCTCCATATTTTCCTAATATTCCACTAGGAATACTACAAATTACAATATTTATAAACAAAACATATATTAAAGGAAGTTGTGCATTTATACAAACCTTATTCTTCTATTTAAATTTGTATTTTTAATAGCAAAAATGTGCACAGTTCCTTTATCACTCGAGCAACACAAATAATCCGAATCCCTACTGAAATTTATACTGCAACACATTAAATAACAATTACAAGAGATCGTTTAAATGGCCAATCGAATAATCTTACCAATAAACTGTAGCAGGATCCGATCCTCTTCTTAATTCTACCAGCAAATTCCTCGAAGTGGTGTCCCACACTCTGATCAAAGTCCCTTGATAAGAGGCCGTTGCTAATCGGGTGCCTTGTTGATTCAAAGCCAAACAGCCGATTTCGCTTTTGTGGGCTGAAATCCTCACCGGTGCAGTCGACATACCCATTTCCGCACAAGACAAATCCTACAATTACATTCGATTGCGACTCGCGACCAACTAGTAAAAGACCACGTCTTACCACCAATTGCACGCTGCCTACTTTGTGTCCGGGGAACACTAAAATTTGCTTCTCGGCCGAGGCCAATCGGCTGACCTCGCACAAGCCTCTGTAATTCTCTTTGGTTTCTAAAGTGAACAATCTTTGAGTCGGAGTGGGAAAGGAGAAAACGTGGATTTGATTCAATAACGCCACGATAAGCCTAAAACATTCGACTTGAATGAATAGTAAATGGGCTAGGGAGAGTGCGATTTACTTGTCTCGGCGCATTCGAACGGCTCGTATTGACGACGGAAAGGTAATGTCTAGTATGAATTTCTTCAAGAAATCGTCGTATATTAGAAGAACGTTGTCTGCGAATTTAGGACGCGAACCGCCCGAGACAATGGCTAAGACGTTCGTTCGAAACAACATTTCGCATTGGGAAACGCTCCCGACCGTTTCGATATCTAAAAATTGCTTATTGAATTACAAAATTAAATTGTTTACTTACTGCTTACCATAATGAGCTTTTTCTACCAAAGGATCTACATTATACACGTGTATTCCATTTTCCATGCAGCACGTGAAACATCCTAAACAAAGAACATTGTTACTAATTTTATTTTCGCCTAGATTCTTAACATTTACCTTGATCTTGATTGAATTTGAGGTTTAGCACTTTTCTATCGCTACCCATTTTTACAATTCATGAATTTTTGTTCATAAACAAATTATATCTAATTAAGTAGATGCGTAAAATATTAGAATGGATAATGTTTTTATTTATAAAGAGTGACAGTTCATATGTTATTGACAGCGATGGCATTGACACACTCTTTTTATTCGTTGGCCTTTACTTTTCAGCGTAAATGACAATAGAAATACTTGGAAACATATGTGGCAACAGTGTATGAAAATTTCTGTAATTAGAGTAAAATGTGGTGACATTTGATAATTACTAGTAGTGACATTGACAGATGTCAAGCTAACTTCCTCTTTCTTCTCCTGAAAACAAGACAAAATGGTAAGGAAAAAGAAATTTTATAATTCGAGCATTAATACCTTAAAATTTACTTAAAGTATTCATCAATTAATTTAGTGTCGTATAATACCTTTCTGACGATAGACGATAGTATTTATAATAGCCCTTTGAGTAGTAAATGCATCATGTGTTGAGTTTGAGGTTATGCGAGTGCACAATGTAATGTGGTTTCCATTCTAGGTGAACGTTCCGAAACAAAGGCGTACATTTTGCAAAAAATGCAAAGTCCACAAGCTGCACAAGGTGACGCAGTACAAGAAATCCAAGGAACGTCACGCTGCGCAGGGTAGAAGGCGTTATGACAGAAAACAGCAGGGTTTCGGTGGTCAAACTAAACCTATTTTCAGGAAGAAGGTATGTTTAATTCATAATATATCGCATTGTTATTTCACATGTGGTCTTTTTTCTTTCAGGCAAAAACCACCAAGAAAATCGTGTTGAGGATGGAGTGTGCAGATTGCAAGTACAGAAAGCAGTTCCCTTTGAAGAGATGCAAGCACTTCGAACTTGGAGGTGACAAGAAGCGCAAGGGCCAGATGATCCAGTTCTAAGTTTACTTGTTTTTCTTATAAGGTGGACATAAATAAAAAATTAGTTTGTAAATCGTCGTTTTTTTTGGGACTGTTAGGAAGGTTAAATAAATTCGTGTTTTTGAAAGATTTATTTTCTCAAACCGAAGGTATATTCACAAAAGAAAAAGTTTTGAGCTTCTATTCGGCATTGTTATTTATGTATTCACTTTATTAAGTATGTAAAATATTAGGTTTCATAACATGAAATAATTACCCTTTTTTTAGTTAAATGATAGAAAATTTTACCGTCAAGCAAAATGAATCTTAAAAGAAATTTTAATTCAAAGTAGATTCACAAAAGCAAATTTCGAAATTTCATGCCAAAACAACAAAAATAAATTTAACCCTATTTTATGCGTAAATCAAAAATTTTTATCACTAACATATGTACAATTAATTAGTCTATGTCTTAACCATTAAAAAATACATTATCACTCTTGTTCTTCAAATTTTAACATTTATACCGTAAGCAAAAAATGTTTGCTTTATTCAAAACACCGCTCGCAAATCGCACTCTCTTTTTTTCCCTTATTTTCACTGTGGCACTGATTTAAACGACATTAGCAGGTACTAGATCATCGAAGAATCCCTTTGCCCATCTGGAGGTGCCACATCCTATATAAAAAAAATTAAAAGATCCATACTAAAGTACTCCCAATTATAATAAAATTATCTTCTTACCTGGTTATTTCCTATGTGGATCTGATTAGGCGAAAACGGATTGTAAGAATTGTTCGCCGATAAGGAAGCCCCCAATTCGTTGAAATGGGACAATTGATTCGTCAGAGCAACAGCACCTTCTTCGACTACCGTCACGATCACCCACATCGGATCTAATAATTAATCGTAAATAAATAATAATCGAGGTAAATATGCATGAACTTACCGCCGAAATAGGAACCTTTCGATGTGCACAGTCTCCATTTGCTTTGATAAATACCGGGCACCGGAGGCCCGACCATTTCTACGGTTAGATGGAAACCTTCGCCGGGGTTCAAGCACGGTACAGGCACCCTGCCTCCGCCTAAATTGTAACCGTCGGAGCACTGGGCAAAACAGTTTACTGGCCACCTTTCGTTGCCGCTGTTCGAGATATGCCAGGACTTCTTAAATCTGAAATAATGACGTAAATAGGAATGTTTGAGTCTCGTTGTAGAGTGAATGGGTGTACCTTGTGTTGGGTTCTAGGCTTTCGTTTTCGTTAGCGAACGGATCTGCGACCAGCTTCATTTGGGGCAAAGGAGTGGGATTTTCGCAATCAAAGTAAGCACATACTGCCGCTTGTAAATTCCTAAAAAAAATTAAAATGTTGCGTTTATTAGTTTGAACTACTTTCAAGTATTTGCGATACTAATCGTTATGAAATTGTATTGTTTACTTTAAGTATCGTATTCACCAAATGTAATTATCAATCTAATAATTAACATTCTTATCTCATTGGCACTGAACTAATCAGTAAATTTTAGCAATTTTATTGTAAATTATTCCGAAAAAAAGGGGCTCATACCAATTGTTCATGTCCAAGAAAAACGCAGCCGTAGAGTAATTCAGTTGGCTTCCAAGGAGCTTCTGCAATTGCTGGATCAATTCCTCCCTGTCTGTGGTGCCCATGCAGCTGAATTGTTGCAAAAACGATTGTTCTATATCAATGACCCCGTTTCCCGTTACGGGGCCCTCTGATGCAGCATTATCTATATCCATTTTCGTGTATCAGCGATTGTATTGACCCTTAAACTAGAAAAAAATCGACAATGACCTCGCAAATTTCACCTAGAATATCGTATAGGATCGTATATTTAGATAGTCTAAACTAAAATATCCTTCATTGTACATTAAAAATGCGATAACATGATATAGAAGAGGATACTTACGAACTAAAAAACTACAGAAGATGGCATTAAGTGTGTCAATGCAGAAAATGTAGTTTAATATAAAAATAAAACCATTAATAATCGTCAGTAATTAAAATTATTAATCCTACTTGCACTTCTGTTTAGACAAATGATGTCAAACTAAACGTCATTCTGTCAATGTCGTTGTTAAATGTCAAATTTATGCAACGTTGACATAAAAAATTATGCGAATTTTTAAAAAACTTCACGCTCGTAATCAGCAAATATTGTATAATTGTAACAAATTATGCTGATACTAACTAATTTAGCTTATCCTTACAAACACCCACAATCTTTTTAAAAACTTTGGTTTGCCATAATTTAAATTTGGCAACGTAACTCACCAGTTCTGTCAACTGTCAAATTGAAATTTATTGTCAATTTTGCCATTTTCTAATTTCTAACAAAAACTAGAAACCGATATGTCAAGTGAACTTGATAATTGGATAGAAGTTACAAGGCAATGCAAATATTTGCCAGAAACAGATTTAAAGAAATTATGTGATATAGTAAGCACGATTTTAATAGAGGAATCCAACGTTCAGCCAGTTTCCACTCCTGTAACGGTTTGTGGTGACATCCATGGACAGGTTAGAAGCCCAAATAACAGTCGAATTTTTACAAATCTAGCCGTTTCTTTTGCAGTTTTATGATCTCGAGGAATTGTTCCGGAAAGGCGGGCAAGTTTCAGATACGAATTACGTATTTCTAGGGGACTTCGTCGATAGGGGTTACTACAGCTTGGAGACATTCACAAGACTTCTCACACTGAAAGCCAAGTACCCTAACAAGATAACGCTGTTAAGAGGAAACCACGAAAGCCGACAAATCACTCAAGTTTACGGTTTTTACGACGAGTGCATGACTAAATACGGCAATGTAAATGCCTGGAAATACTGTTGTGGTGTTTTCGATTTACTTACTATTGCTGCGGTCAGTATAAAATCGCTTAACTAATTAACATGAATAACTAAATTATTTTGTAGATTATAGACGAGAAGATACTGTGTGTACACGGAGGATTGAGTCCCGACATTAAAACCCTGGATCAAATAAGGATACTCGAAAGAAACCAAGAGATACCCCATAAAGGCGCTTTCTGCGATTTGGTGTGGTCTGATCCCGAAGAAATAGAAAACTGGTACTTTTACTTCTATTACCAACCTCCAATATACTATTAAAAATATATTTTTAGGGCAACCAGTCCGAGAGGAGCTGGATATTTATTCGGAGTTAAAGTTACGCACGATTTCATGAGAATAAACGCACTCACGTTGATTTGCAGAGCACATCAGCTCGTAAACGAAGGTATACAATTACTAAACTGAATTCTCGTTCCTTTTCTATTCCGCTCATATGCATAGTAATGTAGGGAGAATTCAGGGTGAGCGATAGATCTGCCGACCATCATACTAATATCCATTTGTTTTATTTTAGGTTTCAAGTACATGTTCGATGATAAGCTAGTGACGGTATGGTCGGCCCCAAATTATTGTTATAGATGCGGCAACATTGCCAGTATTTTGGAGTTCAACACGGCCGATAAGGGAGAACCGAAATTGTTCCAGGCCGTGCCCGATTCGGAAAGAGTCATACCCAGTAGAAATATCACGCCGTACTTCTTATAATTTAATCTTAAATATATTTTAAATATTTTATCGGCGTTTGATTTTGTTTCAATCGAAAGGATTTGGATGTAACCAATAAACAGAGTAATTTTTAAAACTTTATTAGACAAATGCTTCATTGATCGAAATTCAAGTAATTCAAGACAGATGCGCTTTACTTGTTAAATACATTATTCACTTAAAAATCAATATGGAGTGAAATAATTTTACATAAAAAAAATTGAGTAGCTAATTATAACTCTTGTCCGTACATACGTCCAATATAATTTATTTATCTGGAACTATGTTCACATTCTTTTTTAGTGTATCTAATATGAAAGTCGTTATACACATTTTTTAGAAACTAGTTTACATTAAAATACTTCAAATGTAAAAAATAACTAATAATATTCTAATCAATTACTTAATAGCATTCACAGCATTATCTATCGGCTCTGTCTTGATTTGCTTTCCCCCATCACCTAAAAATCAACATCACAAATCACTCAAAGAATATCAAAATAAAACACTCAATTTACCTTCCACATTTTCTTGCTCCGCTCTACGTTTACGTCCGAACCTATCTTTGAAAGTGTTTTTAGGAGCTGGAAGAGGTTCCATTCCAAGTACCTAAACAGTAAATATTACACATTAAAATATAATAAAAAAAAAAACCCAGCGATGCTCACCTTATATATCTGTCTAAAAGCGATTAACCTAAGGGCGTGCTGAGCGTAGAACGTGAGATCTTCGCGCTGTTGCGCCGTCAAGCTGGCGCACGCGTCCGGCGAGTCCTTTTCGCAAGGATCGGCCAGTCCTGGCCCTCCGGGTAACAACAAACCGCTGGCCACGGCCTCCATGACGCGCCTCAGGGCGTCTCCGGGCGACAGATGGCTCTGACTAGGAACTGACGAGATGACTTTTTCGGCTAGCAATTCCATCGCCTGCGAATTATATAATATATTAGAAGAGTTAAATATGGATTTTTGTGTGGATTTTAAGTTACCCAAGACGAGAGCGGCGCCCATGTAGGAACTCGTTCGCACAAATCTCTCAGTATGCGGATTATGATGACGCACGAGTGAAGACCTAGAGCCCTAGCCTAAAAAGTTAAACGTGTAAAATAAATTGGAAATTAGTCCATTAAGTAAATGTCTCCAAGGTGAATAATATACTCGCGGAAAACCTCTGAGTTAATTTACTAGTAAATAAATAAAGCAGTGAAGACAAGTAACTTATTCACCTCGAGATTCTTAACGTTATGCAGCTGATGTACGAGTTTGATTAGGAACTTAATAAAATTGAATATGTATGCACAAAATTAAAAAAGGAATGAACCAACAAATAATACGAACAAACTAACATCAGCTAAAACATCGAATCGCGGATTAAAAAAAAAACCGACAATCAAGCATATAAAAAATTCCTTAACGCATTTCATCAATAGTCGAAAAGTTTCATCATTTAACCACAACTACTAAAACAATCCTTTTTGTCAAACGAAATAAACTTGATTGTCGTACACCACCGGAATACTCCCGAAGTATTTTACAAATTTAGCGCGGGAAAACGTTCGGTAAAACATGAGCGAGATAAAGATATATATAGAGAGAGAGAACGGTGTGAGAGGAAGACACAAACCTGGAACCATTTGGTATGTCTGAGGGCTGCCAGCGCCTGGAGACACTTGCCGCGTGAGAGAACGTCCCGGTCGAACCCACCGCTCGCAGCTTCTAGACATCAAGAAAAGGGTGTTTGACCATCGCGAGTTCACCACACCAAACGTGGGTTAGGGGGGGGGCGCCCCCCGCGTACCCGAAACAATACGGCGGGGGAACCCCCCCCAGGTAGACGAGCGAACGGTCGTTTTTAAATGGTGAACCGGTTGGTCAAAAATCCTTAGTCCCACACCACCTAAAATTGCTTCTTGGTATGCGACACAGTACAGTTTAATTTTTGTTACATAAGTATTGGACTGGAATATATAAGTTAGAATTAATTATATTACGTAATACGTCTACCCCAAGATTATTTTTATGTCGATTTCTATAAATAATTGTTATATTGTAAATAATTTCGCTTCGTTATTTGCAATCTGGAAGTAGATGTTCTAATCTATTAAATAAAAAATAAAATAAATATAATGTATTGTTGATATGATTTGTCCAATAATTATCACTTTTTCACCTTCAAGGTTTAAGCTGTTAAAAATATTTTAATTGTGAATTAGGATTACATTAACATTTTTCGTCTATATTTGAATTATCGCAAAAAAATGTTAATTTTAATTACGTACTCTAAGTAAGCAAGTTTATAAAATTTCATTTCACTGCTTTTGTTAATTCATTAAAAATAAAAAAAAAGTTGGTTAGATAATTGTAATTTGTAGGGTTTGTTGTTGTTTATGAATTAATCATGCTTGGTTTTAATTACATAAAATTCTCTAAGGTTAATATAACACAAAAATATATTTCCCAAAAATTCTAACTAACTTTCGTAAAAAAACACATTTTTTGCAATCGTTAAAAATATACCTGTTTCTCATTATCACAAATAATACACAGAGTTATTTGCATATTAACCTACCGGTAAAACCATCAAACAAAAGCTACTCTACGTATGAAATATTGCAAAAAAACGTTTAAAAAAAAAACTCAAAAAAACGAACCAACTTAAACCCTGTGCAGCACTGTACGCCCCCCGCCCCATCCCCAAAAACACAAAAAAAAACCCAAAACGAATCTCACCCTTACATCCGACCTTCAATTCATTTTTACCTTGCTGTTCCCTGATGACGGGACTCGTAAACTGTACCAAAACGTTACCGTCCTTGCCGGCCACGTTCAAACCGGCCTCGGGCGCGTTGATCGACACCCTGTAGGCCTCTTCGGGCGCGATCTGCTTCAGCGCCGACGGCAACAGCTCCACCACCTTCTTCAGCAACGTCAGCGTCGGCTTGTCGGCGCAGAGCACCACCAATTGGACGTTCGTCTCGCCGCGCAGGATCAGCCCTTTGGACAAATGGCCGACGCGCATCACGCCCTTCAGCAATCGCGCGTTGTCGCCTTGTTGGAAGGTGAATCTACGAATTAAATTAATCATTTTACATCATCGAGAAATCGTGCGAGGAGGTCTCACAATTGATTATCGCGTCCGTCCTCCTTCTGGGGCCCTTCGATGGGTTTGGCGTCGTCGACTTTGTTGGCGGTAGCGGCGGCGGTCGCCGGAGCGGCTTCCGCCGGTTTTTTCGCCGGCGTTTTGGTATCGGCTATTTGATCGGAGACGATCTTCAGCGCTCGCTCCGTATTCGATACGATGTTCTGTATGGCTTGCAGTTCCTCGTCTTTCGGGTAGATCTCGGCGTGTCGCGCCATCACGTGCTTGTCGTCGCTGGATTCGGTCCTGCGCGGCATACTGCTCTGGAAGAACTGCAAAAAAAATGCATTTAAATGTGCGAAAATATGGCAATATAGTAGCCCGAATTCAACGCTCCACTAACTAGGGATTTTGTTTACTTTAAAGTTACATTTTAGAGCCTCGTTTAAGTTAAAAGTGGGGCGATGAATGTGGGCCAATGTATAAGATTTCGAAGCAAGGGGAATACGTACGTGGGGTGGACCGGGGAAGGGTCTACCTCTGGGGAAACCCATGTAATCTTCGCCGTAGTTCCTTCCGTCCCAGTAGCCCTCTTCGCCTTGTCGCCTGGCCCAAAATTCTTCTCTCATAGCCTTAAAAAAATAGGAGAGAAATAAATATGAATAAATTAATGATTATAGAGGAAACATACGGCTCGTCGCATCTTTTCCTCCTGGATTTTTCTCTGCCTCAACGACGGTTTAACGTCGACGACCAAATTCGGATCGACTTTCTTCTTGTATTGCAGCCTATGTCGTCTACCTTTCATGTGCATTTCCTTGGCATTCGGGTCGCTAAATCTACACTCGCACAGTTTACAATTGAAACTGATTATCTAAAAAACCAAACAAACTTCATTTAATATAAAAAATACAACAACAAAAACCACCGACCTTTCCATCGTCGCTTTTAATTTCCTCGATATAATCCTGCCCGACCGGCACGACATCGGCTTCGGGCGTCTCCTCCTCGTCGTCCTTGGACATGATGTCCCCGTTGCCGGAGACGGCGCCCAAACCGGCGCCTTGGATGAAATTGATCTTCGGATCGTTCGCCAACGTTTTCTTAACGCCCCCTATGACTTCGGGCTCCTGCGGCGGTATCGGCTTGCCCAGTTTCGTGTGCAACAACACCACCTTCTGGTGCTTCGCGCCCCGTATATGCGCCGCGTAGGCGTCGTTACCTAGAACGAAATTAAACGTTTTTAAATCCCGGAAAAGGTGGAAAATGTTTGCGAGTATTATACCTGTACAAGTGACGTCGCACAGTTGACACCTGAGCGAATTTCCCGCTCGATTCTGGTTGGTGACGGCGACGGAGGCGGCCATTTTGGACGCCGCCTCGCGCTTCTTGTGCTTCTGGCCTTCGAGGTGCTCCTGATAGGTCTGTGGGCCGGCGCAGCTGATCTTGCACACCTCGCAGTAGTGGAGCTGTTGCGGCTTCGGCGGCGCCTTCGTTCTGATGTTCTTGGCGCCGAGGCCGGCCTTCCGGAAGTTCTGCCAACCGCCGGGTTTGTGTTGGCCGCCCTGTTGGGCCACGTACATCGTCGCTGTAACGGAAACAGAGTCGATTCGTTCGAGTTTTATTAGAAACTTTCGTGAGAAAACACACAAAAAAACACTGCCAACACCTCGTACGTCATGCAAAGCTCGAAAACATTCATGTAATAGTCGATTAAAAAGAGTATTTTTACTGGTACATTTCTGTGCAAATGCGACCCTGCTAATTTTTTACATTAAGAAACAAAGTACAAAAAAAATTGAACGCTACAGGTTTCCATTTTTCTTTTCGTGCTACTTAAACGAATATTCAAAGGGATTCGTTTAAATGGCACGTCTAGTACAAAACAAAAAAAAAGCTTATCGAAAATACATACATAATTTTAAATAAGAACAAGAAGTAGAAAACTATTTCTCTTGTATACGGAACTAAAGCGAAATAAGTTTCTAACAAAAATAGAAATATTTAAAATAAAAAAATCAAATTACATTTATTATTGATCAATTTAGTTTCAAATATTTCTGTGTGATTAAAACTTTTAAAGCTAGAATAAAGCTTACAGATGAAATGTGTATCAAAATTTGAATCAAAAATAACATTTCCTAAGGATATAAAGCGTGAAATATGCATAACATTTTTACATTTTTTAACGTTCCCAATGTCAAAAATTACCTTCATAAAGCTTTATTATTGACCTAGTTGTTAGTGAAAAACAAAATAGTACTTCCCTTTAAATGAATTAGTTTTAAAATGAACAAATTAATAAATAAACGCCCCGCTTTAATTGATAATACTCCAAATTAATAAAAAAAAAACACTAGATAAAACGTTGCAACAAATTTTCCCTTCTATCCTAATAAAGATTCTATTTAATTAATAATCCAAACTTTGAAATAATCAGCAAGAAAATGTTTTTACAAAATAATGTGCATGCATTCGAGACAATTTTATTTTGTACAAATCTTCAAAAATCACCATATAACAATTAAAAATTTCAGAAAATTTGACAAAACAAAATAAAAAAAGTAATATATCGACACAAGGCATTATATAACGAGGAATATACAATAAGCTAATAAAAAATAATACATTTGAACTCGTCTATGTGATGCCTACAAAAATTGTTAGTTACTGTTTTTTGTTGGATTCTATCGAATCTTACCTTTAGCTTGAGTTGTTGGTTGAGCAGCAGCTGTTGTCTGAGTTACAGGTTGTACGTATGTTGTAGCCTGATAATTGGTACAATTACTTAGTAAAAACACATCTCATCATACATCAATAACATTAATAAAAAAACTTTTACTTTTATAGTCAATAACACAAAATCAATTCGTACAGAGTATCATCGATTTATATAACAAAAAAAAAGCCGTTTAGACAAACCCTTCGATTCAATGAAAGTATAATGCACATTGAAATAAAAATATTTATATAAATTTGCAATACTTACCGGCACCTGCTGTTGGGGCTGCTGTTGCTGGGCCTGCTGCTGTTGTTGTTGCTGCGTCGTCCTTTGTGGATAACTCGTCGAATATGTGGCGGGTTTAGCTACCGCAGCTACAGCTACAGCTGCCGTTTGATCGTACCCCGCTGTATAACCTGTAGCTGCTGTTTGACCTGGTTAAAATTTCGTTTAAAATGCAAAAATGCCAGAGCACAAAATGGTTTATTAGATTTTTGTAGCATTCTACGCGGAGAAACTTCAGTGTCGTATAAAAATTAGCAGGGGCATAATATACAAAAAAGGTGTAATTGCTTATTTTTTTTTAAGATTGAGTATAGGGTCAAATCTACTACATTAAAGTGAATGATTTCAATCAATTAAGTCGCTTAATCATAACTCATAAATAAATCTTGGCACAAATTTGCTTATTTTCGAGTCCACTAAATGTATAATGTAAAATATTTTCATCTTCTAAGAGCAGAATTTATCCGCGTAATAACTTTTTCGTACACAATAGTTACTATACGATAAATTCTAGTCTTTTATTTTATACAACAGTAAACAAGCAACTTTATGCACATCAAAATAATTCATTTTAAGCGGAGTTAGTAGAGAGTATAAGGAAAAAAATCTATTAATAGAAAACAGTTTAAGTATTGATTTTTAAAATTGCGCTCATTTCATCCGAACACCAACAACACTTTATATTTTTAAAAATAGCCTCGCACACTTCAGACACTCGGCCATTAGTTAAAATTCGCAATCTATATTAGGAATCGAACAATGTATACACTTAATCAACAGTCTTTACTTCAGTCAACGAAGCGGCAATAAGTCGATATATCGGCAAAAAAAATCGAGGAAAAATCAAATTACCATAACCGTAGTCATAGGAAGGCGCCGAGGCGGTGCCGTAGGCCTGTGGAGTTTGATAGGCGGTCTCGTAACCGGTAGCCCTGGGAGTCCCGTAAGTCGCAGCTGCACTGACCGGGGTCGCTACAGCATATCCAGCCTGGCCTGTTTGATATGCTGCGCCGGTAGCCGCGGCCCTGGAACACAAAAAATTTGCATTTTTTTCCGAGCGATCGGACGGATCGAAAGCGACGATATTTCTCGATATCGAGGTAGGGACGAGCGAAGGCGCGAGGTCGACGCCTCGCGCTCGTCCGAATTACCGTGAAAAATCACAAAAGCGGGTGGCGATGACCGATGGACGCCCTCACCGTTTATTGATCGCACAACACAAACTAAAATGCCGGATTCGGGTATCAAGGACGCCGGTTCTCGACGGCGAAAAATGGCTTTCTTAACTCGAAATCGGGCCGTGCCGAGCGGATTATGCGTTTTATCGCTTCCTATTATTTTGTAGATCGTTAATTTCTAAATTACTTACGTGTACTGCGTTCCGCCGTGAGTAAAACCGAAATAATTATTCGTAGCCATTTTTGCAATCACGTTGACAACTATTTGTTTCTGACTTCTGACAAGTCTTTGACAGAAATGACACTAATGACGTTCGGTTGACAATCGACGGGATTTTGTCGAACTAAAACGAGAACGCAGGTATGTCGTGTACGTTCGTTTGTACGTTTATAATTATCGCTCAACACAAATTTAAATTTAATTAAAAATGACCTCACATTGTATTTGTCCATTCCATATTGAGTAAAACTCATTTAATTTCCATGAACTACATATAAAATGCAACATGGTCGAATTGCATGCATTCTTACGCATTCCCATATATGCAGAATGTTCTTATACATATATTTTATTTTCTCTATGGGTTTCACATAAATTGACTATGCATTACATTAATAGATATCGACTTGTACCGATTTTCATTAAATGCCTCTGGTGCATTTCAATTAACTCCTGTTGCTATTTCTATCGAGCTGTTCTATTATAATAGACTAATCTATTTGTTTTCCCAATTGCCACCTGTTCTGGCACTCTGATAGATGTTATTTAGGTCACCTAATGACATTTTCACGTACAGGGTGATCAATTAGAATATAGTAAAGGATATAAGGATAGTGGAAATATTAACTTTGTGTTACCATCGGATCACCCTGTAGGTGAAAATTAAAAATAAAGTAAAACTCGAAATAATACCAGAAATAAAACGAATAACTGTATAAAGCTAAGTATATATTTCAATTGTATCACATTAAGGCTACAAATTTAAAGCTGTTTTTATCTTTTTAATACAGGATCTACTGCAGACATTATCATAAAAATGAAAACGCTTTTTTAGACTAGTTAAATCTAATAACATTTACATAAACCAATTAACAAGAAAGTTTGTCGAAGAATACCTTAAATAATTTTTTTTTTAATTAACAATACAATAATTTACTCCTTATGCACATTGATAAGTCTATTTTTAAAGAAATTCGATCGCTACTTAGGTACCTATATTTTTTTTGGTTTTTGTCGTTTTAAATAGGTAATGTATATTTAGTATACTTATTAGGACGAAAAAATCAGATCAACAATAACGAAACTATCGTTATTCACCTACTACAAAAAAAAACGAAAAACGACGTGAAATTAAGGCATGTACCTGAAAAAACAATTTTATTATGTTTATAGGTTTCATCAATTCAATATGGTGTTATAGTTTCCACAAAATACAAACCAATCGACGTCATTTTATAACGTATTTACACCGATATGTCATTTTTTTTAATTATACTCAGATGTTGCACGTACAGTTTACAATTGGCAGTGCTATTATAGAAAACATTAATTTCTTTTTTTAAATTCTATTATTTTACCACTCCCATAAGTGAATTTCAATCATGACGTCGCGTCTGTTTTTATTTTGCCTGACTACATTTTAACTTTTATCTTTACAATCCTAATCATACACACACACGTAGAAGTAAAAAGTATTATACTTGTTGAGCTCTTTCGACTTATTTATGGCATTGGAAATTTTTATATTGAATAGAGGATTTTCGATAAGTATTCTAATACCAGGTATATAAATTATTTAGTAAGGTACTATTTAAAACTATACATTTTACCGCGAAAAGATTATCAAAGAGCTACACTGATGTTATTCGCGTTCCTTACTATTTATTTTGAATAAACCGTTTTTATAAACACACCACAGCGAATTCCCAGGTAAAGAGTAATCTCTTAATCGAAAATATTCCATAAAAACAACATTCTGCGATACACGGCACTTGAAGAATAAATATAATATTAAACAGGGCATTCCGACATATTCGACTAACTAATCATTTTTTTATAATATATTTTTTTATGTATAATAAATAGAACAATCCGTTACATAACAATCAATATTCGAAATTCATTATCGCGAAAAAACTTAATTCAAACCATACCTGTCCCCTCAAACAGTTAGAAATAGATACAGAGGTCGCCAATAAAGCAAAAAAAAATCAATCTAAAGTTACTATCATCGCGATTGAAGGTAGAAAATATTTCTGTGTGGAAACTCGTGAACTAATTTCATTAGAATTTTTGATTTCAGTGATAATAACCTTTGATCGTGTAATAGTGTAATACATACAGGGTGAAGCATAATATATTTCGAGTCTAAAAGTAAATTCAATTGTACCTCGACCAATGTAGCTTGGCAGTTAAAAATCGCATCAGATGCGTTAGAAAGAAGAGTCTTTTTATATTTCCAATAGAAATCTTGCGATCTGTATACTCGGTTTAATTGAGCTCTATTATTTTTTATACCCGATCCTCGATATCCCAAGACTCATTTGTAACTGCCAAGCTACATCAGACGAGATAGAGTGCATTAAATACAATTTCAAATCGATGTACTTTTGTAATTTGTTAGGATAATGCCCCTACCTTGTATGCATTAATTATTATGAACTTGTGTTCGTGAAAACTGTTGTGAAGTTCGTGAAAACTCGCTAGATAAAGTGCGTGTAAGGAAAACACACTCCGAATAACGATTAAAAAAATGAAATGTTTGACGTCACGGCGGATTTTGTTTATCGCTGAAAGAATCAACAACGGTTTCCACGGCCAACATTCCAGACAATAGTTCATAATTTATTATTATTATTATTACGAAAATGATAATGGCTGGCGAAATTACCAAATTTAAACGCAATTACTAATATAACACGTCCGTTTCGAACCAGTACAAACATAATCTCATTAGCAGGTATTTGTTAACAACGTATTATTAATAATTCACGGCGTTGTTTGCGATTCGATTTATCGCACGAGAAATCAGAAAAAAAGGAAATTCGAAAATGTTAAAAAATAAATAAAGGAACTAAATTTGTTTAAACATTGAATAGAATCTAAAAAAAATAAATTTAGTGCGTTCAACAATGTATAACTTTAACGATAACGAACCGTTTATAAAAAGCACTTTTCCAATAAAATAATTCGCGGCAATTGGACTTTGAGCCGTTTTATTCACGCCTTAGCATTTCCACAACGCATAGATAAACCCGTAATCTACAAATAAATTCGGTTTAACACAATTTCCATAATCGAGTTCGCGTGAATTACATCAAATACTTTAACGTGTACATAATAAATGGGTCGATTTATCCAACTAAAATGAACCGTTATTTTATTACTCTTAAACAATTAAACCTTACACCACCAAAAACGATAAGAGGGAAGCGACAATTCCATTCATACATAGCCACAAAAATACCCCTAAATAAACAACCCTGTTGATTTATCGCGCGGATGCACATTGCACATTCAATTACTATGCAAATCATATCACCACAAAAGAATGGACTATCCAAAGTAAGCTCTTCTGCGCCAATATAATCGATATCTTCCGATTAAACTGGCCAATATACTGATGTAAGAGGTCTGCGATTATCCCGGACTAGTAACTAACGAACCAAACCTAATAGAACATCAGCAAATTCTAAACAAACAATATTCATGTAACATTAAAATCCTACACCTAAGCAATGGCGTAACGAACGGGAACTTGCAGAGCGAGAGAAGATTCAGAATTATTTTTTCCATTCGATTATTATCCCCTTGTTTCCAGCCTTTGAATTTCATCAAAGCTGTTAAAAATAAAATTGCAATCCCGCTCTGAAGGACCCGCGGCTACGCCACTGCCCCTCTAAGGTAATTGCCTTACTTTCGTAATCATAATGAAAGATTGGACACCCTCTGTACTGCATAAGAAATTGATGCGCACACTATTTAATGTAAATAGTGCAATTTCTAAACAACTATGATACAATATTTACAATGTCAGTAACAAATAAAACGTTAATAATATAATATACGCTTACAAATCTCAATATTGTTAGATATACAATGTACGAGCGCGAGATATTCCGATCGTACGTTCGAAGAGCGAAAAAGCCTCCAAGCTCGAAACACGAAACAATTCCCTAAATACTACGTAAAATCGAAGGAAACAGTAGAATCGGAATCTCCAGCGCCTGTACCCCTTTAACCTATTTGACACACAAATCATTTCGAAAAATCCGCCTAATTCCTGGGCATCAAAGTGGGTGCGAGATAGTACAGAGGACCAATCGAGAAACGAATCGGATTAATATTTTGGAAGAGCCCTCGACTTACGTACAAGATCGAGATTAAAACTCCGCGAACTCCTTGGCGCACTTTTCCGTCGACGATATGCGCAGCGCCTCCTCCTCGTAGTCGTCGAAGTTGCTGGTGTCGCCGGGGCCCTTGCAGCGCGGTATGAACGGCGCCTCGATTTTCTTCTGAAACGTGGATATCCAATCGGTGGAGGCGAACCACTTGTGACCTTTGATGTCGTTGACGCCTGCTTTGAGATTGCCGTACCTCTTGGTGAGATCGACCTGCAGCAGATTGCGCAGCAGGTCCTTCAGATCGGAGCCGAAGTGCGAGGGAAACCGCACCTTGCCCGAGACGATTTTCTCGTAGATTTGTATGGGTTGATCGGCGAAGAACGGCGGATAGCCGGCCGCCATTTCGTAGACCAGCACGCCGAGGGCCCACCAGTCTACGGCTTTGTTGTAGCCTTTGCTTAGGATTATCTCGGGCGCTAGGTATTCGGGCGTTCCGCAAAGGGTCCACGTGCGGCCCTTCACTCGCTTGGCGAATCCGAAGTCGGTCACCTTCAGGTAACCCTGGGAATCGATGAGGAGATTCTCCGGCTTCAGATCTCTGTAAATCAGATCTAAGTAATGGAGATATTCGAACGCCAACACTATTTGAGCCGCGTAGAATCTCGAATGCGGCTCGGAGAACCTTCCGACTTTGCGTAGGTGCGAGAACATCTCGCCGCCCGGCACGTATTCGAGCACCATGTAGAGGTTTGAATTGTCTTTGAAATGAAACTTGAGGCTGACGAGGAACGGGAAACTGATGGCCTGCAGGATGCGCTTCTCGTTGAGGGTGTGTTCGACCTGTTTCAATTTGACCACCTTCTGTTTGTCCAGTATTTTCATGGCGTAATATTCTTTGGTCGGTTTGTGTTGGACGATCATCACGCGACCGAAGGAGCCCGTGCCGAGCGTTTTGATGCGCTCGAAATCATCCAAGCCGGCCGTGTTCGTCGGATTTCTCTTCCATTTCTCCTCGAAGTCCTCCTTCGCCTGATCGAGGAACTCCTTGACGCTTTCCGCTGAATCTACTTTTTTGTTCGCCGTTGCGGCATTGTTGCCCATGGTTTGTACTTTTAAGCCTTCCAGGGCTCCGATTTTTAAAGCGAACGATTCCGTTTGAGCGAATAGTTTTGTAATAACTCGCTAGCGGATTAGGTAGGACACGGACGTCACTGTATTTATTTTTACTATCAATATCAACACAACTTGTCGTTATTCATTTTTTATTTTTGCAGTTTTTTTATCGTTCGATTCGTACCGACGCACACTAGATGTTCACTGATTTGCCGTAATAATGCGAGGAAGTTCGACGAGAGAACGAAAACAAACACCAAATTTTACTTAGAAATCCTTATAAAATGGCGACTACGATTAGTTAGTTGGATTTTTCCTCACCTTTCACTCCGCAACTCGGCGGACACTTCTTGACTTGTCTTGTCAATGTTACGTCAAAAGAAATTAGAGATGTTGAACGGATTTTCGATTCTTATTCGTGTGGAAATAACGAGAATTACTCGGAAAATTTAAACGAACCGATTATTTTAATAAAATTGTTGCAATACACATTCAAATCAAATGAATCTTGTTTTATTTTCGAATAGTAGGCGTGGAAGATGGCAAATTAAACAAAACAATAGAGGTGCGATGTTATAAGAGTCTGTTACTATATAAGCATTTTAGTATAAATCCATTATCAATTGATTACATTTGTAAGCTCCTTAATCAATAAAATAAATTTACATAATCAAGCAACTGTCGGAAATAAACATTACGACATATCAAAACAAAAATAAAAATGCATTTTTAACCAAATAAGTGTTTGAATGTAGGCACATTTTCTTCTTTTTTTTTGTGCATACGTCAAAGTCAAATACTTCACTTGTCATTTTCGGATTTAGAATCAATAAACGAACACAATACTGCGCTAGTCAAATAAGCGTTTAAAAGTGGGTGTTTTTTTAATAATTCGTTAATTATATTCTGCTCGATAACTTTTTAATAACTTCAAAAGTGAAAATAGGAATTATTATAAGGGTTGATTGTAAATAAATAGAGTTTGTTAATTGTATTTTATTTGGGAATGTTATATTTAGTCTGAGCTTTGTCTAGTATGGTTGGTCGGCCATCGTAGGTGTGAATATCAAAAATTTTTGGGAATTATTGTATGTAAGAATTTTAATAACTAAACTTTAATCAATCATTATAAAAAATACCTTAATTGCTTCAGCATATAATATAGTTTAGTCTGATATAACCTATTTAAATATAACATAAACAAATACTACGAAAACCGAGAAAAACTGCACCAACAACAGACTGGAAAGTCCCAAAACGTAGTGACGCAACAAATAACCTCCATTTCTTTTGTGATAAGTGATCGCCTTATTATTCTACAATCGTTTTATTTGAAATTTAAGTGTGCTATTATTTTTAGTGAATTAATGTAGTAAAAAGTAACGCAAAAAATTTATTTTGATGGACTTTAGTTTTAACATTGATAACGCCATCTGCGTTAATATCTTATCGTTGTCAATTGTAAATGGCTAACTCATCCAATCCGAGCGATCGGTGGTATTTTACTAAGGAACAATTAGAGAATACTCCATCTAGAAAATGTGGCTTCGATGCACACAAAGAACTTTCCAACCGCCAGCAAGCCGCCAACTTCATCCAGGACATGGGGCAGAAGCTCAAAGTGTATCCTTCATTTCACATGGTTTGGTTGATATTTCACATTATAGGTTTTTGGTTTACGATTACTGTAGATGTATTATGTCCCTTCTTAGATTCATAACTATAATTAGTAAATATTTTGCATGCTAATGGGTTAAAAGGGGACCAGACGAATGACCTTCGTTGTTGTTTTTAAAATGCTCCCAAGGTTCAGATACGATTTTAATAATGCTGTGTCATTTATCAGTAAGGTATGAAATGTTTATGTAGCAAATTGTTTCCAACATTATTTTGCACCTAATTAACAGTTCAAATGATAAATGGTGTCCAGCTAAATGATATCCCTAATTTCGAACTGTGATGACAAATTTTAAAGTTCAAACGAACGTTACGAGATAACTACACGTAGATAAAGTAATAAGATTAAATACGCTTTGATTACTTCAAGATATGCTCATGTTCGACTGATAATTTATTTGTATCGTTTTAGTTTTTTATTTCAGGTGGAGAAATGGAATTTGGATATTTTAGAGTTCATTAAAAATTTTTATTGCGCTTCGAATGATTTTTTTTAATTTTTATTGTAACAATTTTTATTATATTCGACCATAAAATTTCACAATTTTTTTTACATTCATTTTATTTCACTACTAAATATTGGAATCATTTTAAACATTCATGTTTTCGTTTATGAATTTGTAGAATTAAAACGTGTTTTAAATAAAGTTACTGAAAAAAAATAATTAGCTTAATATTTGTTCATTTTGGTTTTTCAATATGTTTTTCATATTGTTTCAATACCCACCCTTTGATGATAAAATTTATTGATAGTTTTTCATTAATTTTAAGTATACGAAATAAGTTAATCGATGAATATTCATTATTTACTGATAATAAGTGTCAATTAAAACTTAGGAAGTTGATTTTAATTGCTGTACAAAGTTTATTACGTGCTATTGTATGTTACGTATGAATTCTATCTCACCTTTTTAGCTTTTTTAATCGGATGCAATTATTTTTACAATGTTTTTAAAAATCAAATTGTTTACAATTGGAAATGTTTGAAATACGTTATGAAAAAGTAGCTAGTTTATATGGAATATTTTGAGATTTCTCAAATATGTACTAATTAAAAAATACGTGCGAAACTTTTATTGATTTTGATAAATGCAATTTATGAGTCACTAAACTATAAAACTTAATTATGTAGTTAGAATTACATAATAGTGGGTTAATGGTATGAATCTATAAAAAGGGACAATTCAATTGAAATTTTTAATTTATTCAAAAACCTATAACGCATGAATAAAACCAATCTTTTAGTTTTAAGCAATTTAAATCCATTTTGTTGGTATTTTCCTTAACAAGTTCTCACAGGTCTCAACTATGTATCAACACCGCCATAGTGTATATGCATCGTTTTTATGTTTTTCATTCTTTCACGCATTTTCCATGGCACCAGATGGCAGCGGCGGCGCTCTTTTTAGCCGCCAAAGTCGAGGAACAACCTAGGAAATTAGAATATGTCATTAGAGTAGCGAACGGTTGCAAAAACAGCAGAGACACCAACATAGACACGAATTCAGAAAGGTAAAGAAATCCCTACTTTTATGTTTTACCTTTTTACTCATCGACTGTTTGTTTTCGTAGGTATTTATCGCAGTCGCAGGATTTGGTCTTCAATGAAAACGTTTTACTCCAAACGTTAGGATTCGACGTTGCCATCGATCATCCTCATACTCACGTTGTTAGGTGCTGTCAGTTGGTGAGAGCTAGTAAAGATCTAGCTCAAACTTCGTATTTTATGGCCAGTAATAGGTAATTCGCACGAATCCTTTATTTTTTTTTTAAATTGTAGTAGAGTGGTTAATATTTTTAATGATATTTTTAGTTTGCATTTAACGACAATGTGCATACAGTATAAGCCGACTGTGGTAGCGTGTTTTTGTATCCTGGTAGCTTGTAAGTGGTCCAATTGGGAAATACCTCTATCTAACGAAAAGAAAGAATGGTATTCTTACGTCGATCAGACCGTCACGTCTGAACTGTTGCAACAATTGACGGAGGAATTTCTGGTGATATTCGAAAAGTGCCCTTCTAAATTGAAAGAGAAAATAATGTCCATAGCCGATAACGTTCATCCTATTCCTCCTTCTACCCACATTAATGCAACATTTGTAAGTTACTGGCAATTCGATGTAATTCTTGTGTGTTATGTATGGTTGGATTTTTAGGATACCGAACCGAAGAAAATTGCGAATAAGGACGAAAAAGATGGCCATTCGCACCGATCTTCCGGTTTGTTCTTTTTTCTATTTTATCCATTACGGCGTTTATTATTTAAAATATCTATTCAACATAAATAACCAAATAGGAGTTAAATGTAGAGGTACCACAACATGAGCTCATCCCACTTTGACGTAAAACCACTTGCAACATTATTCAATTAACCGTGGGATGAGCTCGTGTATGTATTTTAGATGTATGTATGCGTGTGTACATTTTCGTATACCCTGTGTAAATCACACGGTACTATTTAACTGTGATTTTAGCTATCGACGATCCTCACAAACATCGCCCGTCTCGCCCTCACGAGATGGGCAGCGGTCAACACCAAAGAGACAAAGCTTTTCGCGATCGCGAACGGTTACTACATCAACAAAAATCGATGGGCAGTAGTACGGGCGGCAGCAGTAACGTGCCCAGCAGCAGCAGCAGCAGTAGCGGTAACAATCCACTCAAATCCCACGGGGGCCATCATCGACCGCCGATGGATCCGAAAATGAAACCGCCTTCGAGGCCGCCGCCGCCTCAAATGCCCTATCCTCCCCAGCCCAAGGACATTCTCAGGGAGGCCGTCTCGAGGGACTCGCCGTTCGGACTGGCCAAGGACCATCCTCACAAGGACCACAACAAGCGCGATTACCTCGCGAAGAACAACCAAAACGAAGGAAACAGCGGCGGTCACGGCGATCACCGGATGAACTACAACGCCGACAAGTCGAAGTACCAGAAACAGCGACTGGACGCGAACGGTCGGCCGCGCGTCGATCCTTCGAAGGTGCCCAACGATCCCAAACCCCAAATGGACAACGTTAAAAAACATTTAAACGCGAGTGCGCACGACAAAAACGCGTCGAACTATCCGAACAAATCGATGCCGATGAACAATCATTCGAACGACAGCGTGAAATCCGTCCCGAAACAATCCGTAGTGACGCCCGTTAAGCTAAGCCATTCGAACAGTTACGCGCCGCCCGCGTACGGCGACGCCAAACCGAAACCGGAACCGGTGGCGGTCAAAGAAGTGCAAACGCCCGCCGTGATCAAACGGCCCAGTTTATTCTCGCCGGAGAAATCGCCGCCTCGCAAGCCGTCGCTCGGCGACAACGTGCTGCTGTCGCCGTTGACCTCGCCCGTCGAGACCAATCGCGAGCGGAACTATTCGAGCAGCTCCGACGCCGAGCTGCGGCCCGTGATGAAGAAGATCGATCAGATCGAAGGTTTCGAGAACATCACGCGCGACAGCACGATAGGCATCAACAAAACGAACCAATCGCCCGATTACATGACCGATCTTATGACGGATATTACCAGTCCCGGATCAGCCGATGTGAGCCAATTCTCCTTAGCGCAAGAAACCAAACCCGAGGCGATTTCGAAGGAGATCAAACAGGAGTGCTTCGAAAGCAACGGTGATATTAATTCCTCAACAATCAATTCTAATGTTGTTATTAATAATAATAGTAATAGGTGAGTAATGCAATCGAAATCGATCTGTTTATGATAAACTTCTAATTTGTTTGTTCTTTTGTAGGTCTTCCTCTGTAAATGGTTTGGAATCCACCGATCCTGCGGTGATTAGTAATTTACTGAAAGAGGCCACGTCCGTGTCGCATTTGCCGAGCATAAAACCGCAGGAGAACGCCGTTCACGAGCAGGACGACAAAAATTTGAATCATTTCCATCATAAGAGCAAAAAGAAGAATAAAGACAAGCACAAGCACAAAGACAAAAACCGGGAGGACAAGGAAAAGAAAAAGAAACACAAAGACAAGGATCGCGAGAAACACAAACACAAAGAAAAGACTGCAGATATTCCTCCTCCCGCCGTGAAATTAAAAATATCTAAAGATAAGATAATACCCGTGGAGAACGTCCAGCCGCCGAGCCAGGGATTGAAAATCAAAATACCCAAGAACATAATTAATACTGAGAATATATCGGAATTGTCGCTGGGCGGTGCGCCACCGCCGCCCGAAACCGCCGGCATCAAATTGAAGATACCCAAAGACAAGTTAAACTTTGATGGCGGCGTCAGCAGGAAGCGAGAAAGGGACAGAAACTCGCCCGACGGTCCCGCCAACAAGATGCACAAGTCCAGTATTAAAGATTCGAAAACGAACGGCAAATACTCCAATAGTAATAAGGTAAGCGCAGGCATCACCGGCTACGCGCCCAATCCCGATACCTCTACCTATCAAATGTACTCAACGCCCGCATTGCCGCCGCCACCGCCGCCGCCCGTCCCACACTCTCAAATGTTCTATTACAATCGAATGCCGCCTCCTAATTCTATGCCTAACATGAACATGCCGCCGCCTTACATGTTTTCGCATAACGCTTTCTACAACGCCGGGTACAACATGTATCAGGGCGGGATGTTCGCGCATCCCCCGCCCATGCAACGGCCCCTCATGCACAATAACAGTTCGAATCCACCGTTGCCCATGGACGCCCCGCCGCAATTGCCGCCTCCGCCTCCAGAATGAATATTTCAATCATTCCTCTATCCTTACCTACCCTTCTAATTCGTACTCCTCCAAGTTCCAACGAAATTTAATGGATTTTCGTGCGCTTGCTCAAAGTCGTTTTGACGACCGAAGAATGGCTTTGCGCAAACGCAGTGAGGTTCAGAACTGTTCGGTGACTAACTTCGATTGAATTATCTTTTGATATTTGCGGGTCGTTGAGGTGCTGTGTTGCGTATGTTCATTGGGCATTAATATAGGGACTTGCTTGTTATAAATGTAAATAAAAAAGCAGTTGTAGATAAAATGATCTTACTGTAGGGTATATATTTTGATACATTTTTCGTGTCTTAGTAAATATTGTAACTTTAAAGCAAATTAATTAGTACTGTATTAAATTAAAACGAAATATAGTTGAGTCGTTGATGAATTTCTGAATGCTAATTTGTAAGGTTTAGATTTAAGAGAATGTGCCACTATAACATTAACACAAACACGTAAACTTCTATAGTTCTATGTTTATATAGAATTTTTTTATGTAGTTTCTTATTTTTTTGTGTACTTTTAGTTCTAATAGTATCTATTTGCTTCTTTATTTTTTTTGACGAAAATTTTTGGTTTTTACATTGTTGAGATGGTGAAAAAACTGAAATTTTCAAATGTTGTTCCTATAATTTATTAGAAAAAGTTTAATTTGATCTAGCGTCAATCGACGTGACATATTTATTATTATGTTTAATTATTATTAAACATAATTTAGCCATAGATTTTTGGGCAACTAAAAAAAATTACAAAATTAGTAAAACGAATTAAAAATATTTATTTTATTTTCATTTCTCCGGATAATTAGTGAAGGGTGTAAATATATGTTTCTAGTAAAAAAAAAGTATTAGTTTAGTTTATTTTTTGCGTTAGTTTTTGAGACAAACATTTTTTTTAAATCGTCATTTTCATTTAATTGCGTTAGTAACGGATAATTTTCATTAAAAAAGATCTATGGCTGATCTTGATGTTAATTTATGTTTGTTAACTTAAATGTTGAAGTTTGAAATTGACTTTTGCGAAGAAATCAATAAATTTTAAAATGTAAAAATCATACATTTTCTTCTCCTTAGAACACGTTTTCTATCAAATTTTTTTATTGTTATATAGTTTTATCCACGATTTTTGCATGTCTTGTATTTTTGTTTAGCATGATATAAATTTTGTGTGATGCATTAGAAGTAGAAAACGAAAATAGTAGATTTCAATTTTACTTATTTATTAGTAGGTAATTATTTTTTCAACATTTTGAGATATATGTATATATTGTTATTTTATTTATTTTTTTTAATAAATGGTTAGTAAACATTGGTTTTTTGTCTACTTTTTCAGTAACAAAAAAAAGTATTATCCCATTAACAAATATCTCAAAATTGTATTCTCTTAAGGTAAGCACTGTATTTTTTTTATTTGGATTTCTCATTTAGGTTGAAGGTTTCCTTTCCTTTCAATTTTAACTATACAATTGTTGAAATGTACCTAAAAATTATTTTACAACGTTTTTAAAATGATTGGTATATCTGATAAGTAGAAATCGATACGTAGAAAATAATTGATTAGATATTGTGGTTTGTAGTTAGTTTGTAAAAGGTAATGCACCAGTACAGTGCTTGCCTATCGAATCTAAAACAAATAGTTTTTGACGCAATTAACCAAAAAATTCCTTAAATTCAATTACCGTTTTCATTTACTCGACTTGGCTGATTGTTTATCGTGGCCCTTTAATTGTTTTACGCACATAGAGAATAAAGCATGCTGATTTTAGTACTCGTACTGTTCCCTATTGTAGATTATACAAATCGAATTTAAAAATCATTAACGCCTCGTTTATTTAGACCCTAATTAAAACGTGGTAAGTATTACCCGAGGGTTATGCTTGTATCGTCTCCTAACCAACATTACTAACGTTTATTTGCATTTTTTTCACTTGGTTTGCATCTGTTGCATTCGCTTTCATCGTGTTTATATTTTTAATAAAAAAATTCGGGAACTGGATTGGGAGAATCACATAATTAGGTGTTTTATCTACCACTCGATTTCGTAATTTCGTACTAATCAACGTGGAAATAGTCGTAGATAAAACACTGTATGATAACTCTGTGATAATCCGATCCCGTTTTGCCATAACATATCACTATTTATGGAGTTTGATGCTTTGCAGGTGGATGGTGAAACGTCAGTACACAGGTTGGCCGAATCTAAGTATATATACAAGACTTCGACGTCCTAGTTAAGTTAACTTAATTTTCAAGATGTTTTTTTTATTATTTCAAACTCGAACGTTTTGTTGTGTATACGAAGTAGAAATACAGAATTTGGGTTTCTTTTTTTACGATAGAGAATGCGCCTTCCTTTGAGTTTTACCATCATTTTCTAGTTACGTTTTTTAATTTTGAGGATATTTTTTTGAGGAAACGCGTTTTTTTAGCAATTGAAATGCTGGAACTGACACGATGGGAACAATTAGCTGTAGGAGTAAAAATTCACCGGGAATCTAATCAGCTTTCGACAGAGCAAATTTCACGAGAATTCTGTAATTGTACTTCGACTGTGAATCGATGTTTGAAACAATTATCTTTTTAAATAAGTTATTTTCCTTGTAAATTATATCAATAATACGGGTATTTATTTATTGATTCCAGGATTTTTTTAATTTGTTAAACCGGTTGTTACGCAATTGCGGTTATTTATTTCGAAAATACGGTGAATTATATTTAGATAATGCCAACTTGAAATAAAAACGAACGGCTTCGTTGGTGATCATTATGAATTATTGTTTTTTTTTTATTCTGACATCGAACGGTGTTTATTGAAATAATCGATTTTTTCCGCTGGATGGATTTAATTAAGAGGCTCGCTTTGTTTCAATAAAAATCGTTCTGTTGAAAATTTTGCTGTCCCGAAAGCATGGGAGAAATTGTGTGACTTAAGTGAATATGTGCCTACAGCTTGTTATCAAGCGCTTGAGTTTATCGTGTAATATCATTTGGTCCTAAAAGCAATTGCATTTTTCCATTTATTTATCTATTACTATTAAAATTATTAAGTTTATTATTCTTTGCATTTGAATGAAAGCAATTGCTCGGAGGACCGCAAAAATCACCAAATTACAACTGCCCTATAACGTTGGTTTGAACAATTTGAGAAAAAAATGTATGGGAGTGATTCGTTTCGAAAACGTTTCCCAACAGCAACGGTTATTAAAATCTTGTAAAATCGGTAATATACAGGAGGAAATGTAACTAATGCAGCATCGTACATTAGTTACTGTTCGCTGTGTAGTCTGTAGTTCTTCTAGTATTAATCGAAAAGACAATTCAAACCAAATATTTAAATATTTATATCTCGAATAAGATTTAATGAAAACGCCTGGTGTGTGGTTCTAAATCGTGTACATAAATCATTTCGTCATCATATTCATTGTGCAATAATTTTTAGACCCTTGTAGACTGTGGCCTTGTGTAAATTAAGTAAACAGAGTTACTTAACCAAATCGCCTCATTCGGTAATTAGAATAGTTATTTACTAAAAAGTGTAAGTTTATTCAAATGAAATGCGTTTCGTTTATTTGGAATATGTAGGTACTTAACGAGTTATTTTTTTGATATTTCGCAAAAAAAAATTTCAGTTCCTAACTAAAATGAAATGATGAAATCCTGGTATATAAAATTCCGATTCCTTGTAAATATTTCAATTCACCTAGTATAAGTGATTGAACTGGGAAAGTTTTATTTTCAGTTTCGTGTACTTTTTATTTTCAAATTACTGTTTTCGGTTTCAATGTAAATGAAGCTAGAAATAAATTATTCCACAGTTCGAAATATCTTGCAAGTATTATAATTATATTTTAATAACTCACAATTGTAATCAGTGAAAGTAGTAAAAATTCGTGGCCAGAAACATGATCTAATTTCCAATGTTAGGTACGTTGAATAATGGACTTTTTACATTGTTTTTTCGAAGTCAAAATTCCAATAAAACGTTTTTGAAATCTTCCTACTTCTAACTGGTTCACGTTAAAATAGGGAATATTTAATACTAGGTGTTATGACTTAGTTAGGTAGTATAGCTATGAAAATTTAGGATTTTAATACATCGATGATGTCGTTATGCCAATGAAATGACCGGAAAAAAAAAACATTAAAAATGATGTTTAAATAAAACATAGTGATTTTTATTTTTAAATTTATATTTGTATATTTGCCAAAACGATCATTTTATTATTTTTTACTATACACATTTAAACTAATCTCCCACTCTCCAAACATGATGAAAGTCAAACATACAATTCACTTCGATTTGATATAAATATTTTTAAAATTCAAAATCGTGGTGTCGAAATTTCTCGTTTTTTTATACATAAACTTTGAACATTGTAATAGAATCGCTAATTACAACAGCCCACGAAACTACGGATTTCGTTTATTATTGTTACAAGAATATTGATTTTCTTAATAAAATCTTTACAAACTTCCCACGTTCTTTGATTTATAAACCGTCGTATCGAAACCGTTCGATTTCAAAACGTAGTCTATCCATTTGGTGAACATCTCCACGTTAACATACACACCGGGAGTGTTCTGGAGCCCGCAGGTCAAACCCCACGAAACAATACCAACTTGATGGTACTTATCAGGCCGGCCGACGATGGGGCACATCAAGGGACTCCCCCCGTCGCCTTTACACGTATCCCTATTAGCCTCGCCCCCCGCGCAAATGAAGCTCCTGTGCAGCTTGAAGAACGGCCCCAATCGGGCGTCTCGCAAGCTCTTCAAGCACCTGTTTCCTAGGCACGATCGGCAAATTCACCTTCTTCAAAGTCGACTGGTACGTGCCCTTTTTGTACGAGTTCTTGCCCCAGCCGGCCGCCACGCAGCCCTGCATGTCGAACCGGACGCCTCGCGCCGGCAGGCAGATGAGGCCGATGTTCTCCGTCAGTTTAAACGGCGATTTCAGGATCAAAACCGCTATGTCGTTGCGCAGCGATGGGGGATGGAAGCTCGGATGGATGATCACCTTCTTGGCGGTCTTGTCTTGGTGCGGAATGGGCTCGGATTCGATCTGCCAGTTCCATTCGCCCGCTCTCACGTTGAACGGCCCTTTCCTGTTCACGCAGTGGGCTGCGGTTACCGCCACTTGGGGGTGTATCAACGAACCGCCGCATCTACAACAATTCAAATAGATTAACATTAAAAGCTATGTTTTACACTACCGAAAAGGGTGAAAAGATGAATATAATTGCTTATAAAAATTGTTTATTAGAGAATCGGTTTTTACAAGTAAAGTTTTATAAGTTCATCACTAACAGCCGATGGGGTTAAAATTCCCAAGTCGGTGAACAATAAGGTGATGTACGAGGGTGGTGTGTAATCAACTAGAGGATGCATTTTGGTTAAGTTGTTGTTCATTCGAACGTCCGAGGTGTATTTGTACTCTTCGGGGAGATCCTGCTGGCCCAACGGGAACAGTCGGGTGAACTTGAAGCTTTCCGTTAGAACGTAGAAGGGTTTTTTCATTTCCTTGGCGCAAACAGCCATGGTGTAGCTGCCGACTTTGTTGACTATGCCGCCGCTCTCCACGACGCCTTCGGCTCCCACCATGATGAAGTTCACTCGTTCCATTATGTAGCCGATCGCTGCGTCGAGGATCAACGTGCAGGGGATCCCTTCTGCTTCTAGGTCTCTCGTCATCTGTACCCCGCTGTTATCGGGGGCGGATATCGTGACGAATACTTCGAACTTTTTGTTCTGTTTGCTGGCTTTCCGCAACGTTTGGAGGACCACTCTCGACCTAGAATGAGTTAATATCACACAGCCGTCTTCGATGAAATTGGCGGACAGTTTGACGATTTTTCCACGGGCCTCCTCTAATTTTTTGATAAACAAGTGTCCCCGGTCTAACATAATTTTCTTACATTTCTCGAACTCGCGAGTATCCAAGGCGGCTAGGGTGATGAATCGAATGAACAATTCGCATGCTGAATTTATGGCTGCCACGGTGAAATTGGTGTTTTTCATCGCTTGAATGGCTTCTTTTAAATTCGCTTCTAATTCTTGGACGGTCTCCGATTTCGAATATTTTATAATTTCCATTAGTGATCGAATAGCAGCTACTCCTACTGAGATGTCTTCGTCTCCTTTCACGATTTTACAGAAGTATTCTTGAATATTCGTCGAAGTCGTCATTTTAATTGCACAATATTATTATAAAAATCCTCTGATTTTTGTGTAAGGGTTAATTTACGGTGTTAATAATCGTGAAATATGTTGAAATTTTAAACATAACATAACCACACTTTTTTATTTTGATTGATTGTCAAACTCAAAATCTTCTTACAATTATTCACAAACCTGTCACTTGTCACTTTAACATTTCTGTATTTCAGCAAAAAATTCTACAAAACTTTTTGATCCTTTGAAAAAGTAGCATCTACTACATCATGTAAATAATAAAATACATCATACAGAGAGATAAATAATGCATTTCGAAGACTTGAATCAGATATTTGAGCATTAAAAACATGTGCTTACCTGTAAACTTGGCCTTCTAGTATGCCTAACATCCACGGGAATTCCCCGAATTCTGCTTCATTTTTATCTCCTAAAATTCTATATCCGAAAACATCCCTATCGAACAATTTTCCCGACAACAAATCGGTGAGGGAGTTTTTCCTCAAGCCGCATTCCACTGGACAACACACATCGAAATCATTCGAACAGGGCATCTCAAAGTCCGAATCAGCCATTCTGGAATTACCCTAATTAATATATTTCTTCAAATAAAAAGTACACTTTTTTTACCTAACATCCATTACGTCTTCTCCATCATCCACTAATCCGCTGTAGTCTTCTTTGCACTGCCAATAAGGAACACAAACACAATGCTGATTTTCGTAAGCGTTCAAATTATTATCGATTAATCCGCTGGATATCGAATACACCGAGGACACAAAAAATAATAAAAAACTTGTAGTAAACACTTTGAAAGCCATGTTTTAAAATGCGGTACTTGCAGTACCCGAATTGATGGACAAGGTACTGTTACAAAAGTTTCTACCTAACTGATAAAATATTCACCGGCAAAATTTGTCTGTATGTAGTATATTTTCGAAATTTTATACCTGGTTAATCTGTTGAATGGATAATTAATGTTGCCTATTGAACAAGCAGATATTTACAGGAAATTTAAAAATTACCTACCTGGATTGGGCTTTGTTGTATTGTCCTGAATTTCCAGTAAACTTAGTAATGTTTCTTATGTAGCTTATGAACATTAAATATTACTTACCAAGTAATTATTGATAGACGTGGGTTAATTATTGTATGGTCGATATGCTGACAAATTAACGCCGGTTTAAACTCAATCGATATTGTAGTTAACGCCTGTCGATATTTCCCATGCTAAATTGACAAATTTACAATAGTTAGTAAGTAATTACAGGAGTTAGGAATCCCAATTAATCAGTTTATGCCATATATAAGGTGGTCCAGAATTCTGTTTCTTGAGGAAATCTTCCTGAGTATAGGGTCATTAAATGAGAACATTAAGAGGTAAAGTTTCTTTACTACATCTTACAACATCAACAATAAATTTTTAAAAAACAAAATTACAATACATAAATACAATTTATACTATTTACAAATAAAATATACACGTTCTTTTTAGAATAAATTTTAAGAAAAATATTTTTTCCAACATTGGGGATTGTCAATATATATATTAGTACATTTTTTTAACTACCACACATGCAGAGTCCAGCAGCATTGATTCAACTTCGTTTACTTCCTCTAAAAGTAATTTACTCTTTGTATAAATACCGTCTGTTCGCAATATTGCTGCACTCACTACTTTATAATTCATTAATATACAAAACATTGACTATACAGTTAAACTTTGTCCAGCAAAGTTAATCGAATCACACGTTAAATTTATCTACTTACATAACATTTAAATGGTCTGATTTATGCAGAGTGCGCCACATATGAAATACCAGTCGAAAATATTTTGTTATTATACTTGATTCAATTAGGATTCGTGCATTTCTACATACTTTCTCGCTTTTACGACGCACCCTGTATTCTAATTTATCATCTATTAGGTGGAAACTTGTATTTGAATATGTTTATTGTTTTAATTTGCTTCTCAGTGCAATTTCTTCGAGCTGTTTTTTGGAAAATTATGAAGGGAAATTTAAGAAGCAAATGTAAACTTGTTGTAGTTCTAACATTGAAAATCGAAACGTACTGTATTTAGGACCTTAACCTTTATATTTCGTTTATGAACATTTAGTAAGGTAATCATCACTTAATTTATAAGGGTATACAATTATAATATGAAGGTAATAATAATTAAGTGTGCGTTTTTGGTTTAAACATTGATATTGATACACTCTGTGAGGTTTGATAAATTTACGAAGTTCAAAATTGACTTTGCCTATTTTCGTGTAATTAATTAATTTACGTGTTATCGCTGTAATACATAAAATCCATATTTCTTAATTAGGAAAATTTTAATAAAGTTATGAGTGATTTATGATAAAAGGCATTTTGTTGTTTATTTTTCATACAAGTACATTTAGGTGTCCAATACAAAGAAAATCGAAGGTGATAAAAAGGGATAAATTCTAATTAATTGCGAATTTTAATTAAAGTTGCGTAATTTTTGCCGCTAATTAACAAATCTGTAATTGACAGGTTCGAATGTAATTCAGCAGGGAATAAACGTAATTGACGATGAAATAAATGAAATATTCTGTATTTAAACTTTTTCTTCTGTATCGGACATCGTTCACCTATCTAAAAGGACATCTAATAACTAATTGATTGTATTTTCAATGAGAATTATTAAGACACATTCAATATTATTAACATTGATACAAAGGTAGTTAAGGAATAGTAGGTAGCATGTTAAAAATCCTGTCTATTTGACGAATAAGTCTTTCAACGTTGAGCATATCGACGAATCACAAGTCTCAGTAGAAGAGTCTTCGTCTCCTTTGTTAAACCAACTTTTGGTCTTATTGACGTTGGTCGTTTTAGCCGTCTTGGTGGGCGATACATTCGAATTAGACGTACCGGGCGACTCTCCCGACGGCGAGGTTTTCCTCAGAAACACCTCGATGGCGCTCCCCAAAGCGTGAGGATCCACTAAGGAACCGCTTCTTTCGTCCCACATGACCTTGTTAGGTTCCTTTTCAATGACGATTTTCTCGTCCGCTTTCTCATCAGTCTTGGTTATAGGTTGGTGTCTTTTAACGAACCAATTGGATAGGGTTGAAGACTTCGACTCCTTAGTGTCCGCCACTTCGTTCAATACGGATATGTCGAAGCTGTTCGATCGCGAGCTTTTCAGCTGGTCTCTTCTACGGGCCGGAGGCCTGCCCTTCTCCGTCATCGTCTCCTTCTTTTCCTGTTCGATTCGATCGATTTCGGTCGCCGAAGTGGAACGGGAAGATAAAATAGATATGAGATCAGTGTTAGAACAAACAATGCCTGTAACCTGCTTACTTTCGATTAGGCCGCGTTCGGCTAGAGGAGACGGCGACGGCTGTTGCGACGCCCGCCTTTTATCGAAACTCGGTATGGGCGTTAACGTAGTGCCTATGAAATCGGAGAATCTCCTCGCGGAGTTCGTGTACCGTTGCACATTGCCCCCGGCATCGTCTAAAGGTTGCACTTCGCACACCTTCTCGTTGCTCGTGTTCCACATTTTCATGCGGACTTTGCGCGCCTGCACGATGTCGTCCATGATGTCCAGCTGCAGGTTGTGTATGCTGCCGCGCGGCTCCGTCGACGGCGGACAGGCGATCGACTCCCGCCGATTGGGCAACACCCGGCCGCTGAACGTCGGACTCGGAAACGCCGCCACCGATTCGCGGCGGCCGCGGCCGAACAGCGTCGACGGCACCCGCGAGATGGTCACCACCGAGTGGCGGCGGCCGCCGCCCGCCTGCGGCGGCGCCTGCGACAGCGTCGCCAGGAACTCGACCTGCTTGGGGCCCGGGCCGGCGGTGTCGCCGCGCTCCGACAGCCGCCTCACCTGGCTGGCGGTGATGCCGCTGCATTGCGGCGTCGGCAGCGAGTGCTTGCGGACTTCGCGGGCGAACGGCGACAGGAGATAGGGATTCATCGACGGTTCGTCCTCGCTGTTCTGGCGCGATCCGTCCTTTTTCTCCTCCTCATATTCGTCGTCTTCGATCACTATCAGCGGCTCCGAGGTCTGCGTTTTCAGGATGGATTGTCGTCTCATGGTTCGGTCTGGAACAAAACGAACGATTGTTTAGTTTTTTTTTTACATATCGAGTCGCTCTCGAGGGCTCTCGTACTCAAAGAGAGTGTATTTGATTATTACAATATCGCTCAAGAGGGACAGAGTTGATATAATTGAAGATGTACTTGCCAGTGTTTCAAAATTGTTTAGGACAGTGTTAAAACCATTTAGAAACTGTTTGTATTTGTCCAGAATTATTTAGAACTGTTCAAAAGTGTTTGGATTTGTCTAGAATCGTATAGAACTGACTAAGACCCTTTGAAACAATTTAGGAAGGTCTTAGAACCATTTAGAATGGTTTTAAATCCTTTAGAAGATATAATGTACTGTTTGAATACCAAACCGGAATTTCTGGACTGTTAACGGTTCTTTAGAACAGTTCAAAACTATATTGAATTGTCCAGAATTATTTAGAACTGTTCAAAAGTATTCGGATTTGCCCAGAATCATATAGAACTGATCACAACCATTTGAAACCATTTATAAAGATCTTAGAACCGTTTAGAACAGTTTAAAATCATTTAGAAGATATGTACTGTATTTGGAACGGTCCAAGATAAACTACAAAAAAGTCCATACTAATTCCCTTACTGATTCAAATTTCAATTACATCACAAAAGAACATCGATGTACCTTTTTATATAAAATCTTGACTATACTCTATTTATAAAAAAACTTTTAATTGGACTCGAAAGAGGTAAATAAACACAGGTAATTAAGCAGATTAAATATACCTCTAATTACCGGTTTCGGTATTAAAAGGTCCATTTTAATAGGAATAATATTTCAACCATTGAAAGTACGATTTTTTCCTGTAACTGGCATTTTTTATTGACGACTCGTTAACGGGCGAGTAAAAATAAAGGAGCGAGAAAGTGAACGGTAATAGCGTTTAGTGTTTGAAATGGAGTTTTCACGGAGCAAAAACTCATTAAACCAATAGAAAGTTTTAATAATGCAGCGTTTTTAACAAGAATCGCGCTAATCCCTAAAGCTCGTTTCGTTCTAATTATTTTTTCTGCGTGCCTGGTGCGTTGTTATTTTTTTTTATTCCCGTCCTGTCGAATTGGGTTCGTTACTGATGGAGATATAAATTTATATCTTCATCTAAAATCGATGACGGAACGGGGCTTAGTGATACAATACAACGTCGACGGGGAGGAAGACCCGGATTATTAAATAGCAGCAAACGTAATTGTATTTTAATTGATGTAAATAATTCCAAGGCGGACGTTTCCCCGCGTAATTGGAATTCCGAAAATTATTAATCCTTTTTGTATTCGCAAAATGAGCCCGTTTGTAAACACCCGCCATTCCCCGGAAAACTCCACTAAAATTTTCACTTTCCCGACGAATCGCTCCCGAAACGCCATCGATTTGTCGGCGCAAAGGCCGCTACGTCGTCAGGTAGATATCCTTTTATTTTATTTAACGTAAAAAATACAACCCGGCTCGTCATGAATAAACCAGTAGGAAGCGGTCCCTGAATTAAGCTTTTGTCATGACATATTCCCCGAAGACGTAAGAACATTATTTGGCTTTTAGCGATCCCGTTTTCTGCGAAGCACTATTCATAAAATATTACCGCCGCATTTCGAATAATCGGTGCATTAAATCACTTCGGATCGTCCCTTTTATACGTTGCACAAGTTCATCAACAGTGGAAAATTTAATTTCCGTAAAAAAAAACATAAATATTTCCTCCAGAGTACTAATTTCTTCAGCAGTATTAGTAACTGACTCTTAAATAGTTCCTCCTTAGTATTAATTTCTTCTGCAGTATTAGTAATTGACTCTTAAATAGTTCCTCAACAGTATTAATTTCTTCAGCAGTATTAGTTACTTCTTCTGTAGTAGAAAATAACTCTGTAATAGAAGATTCTTCAATGAAAGAAAATTCTTTTGCAAAAGTATTAGTTTCCCTTATACGTTAAAGGCCGATAGATCCCAAGAGATCAACTTGAAGTTTGCTACAGGAGCCGTATTAGAAATCCCTATGGACCATCAACTATTCTATACTGGAAAGAATTTTTGTGCAGTAAAACTAACATTTCCCTCGCCTAGTAGTAAAACATATTAGGTTCATTAACCGTTTTCAATTAGTTACAAATAAAACCGTTCGTATAATTCCGTTGATAGAATAAATCTCGTTAGAGATTAATGAATACAGTGTTCGAATTATCTGTCAATTTAGGTTCGCCTGAACCAATTTACCGAAGCACAATCCGACAATGTCGAGCACATATTGAACTCCAGAAACCAATTGGAGCAATTAAAGGTAATTTCGCTCCCAATCTCCAAATACCGTAGTCCCCGAATACGAACCTTTACAACCCGACCCGACCCGACTCCGATTCTCCTCCAACATTTAAGGCTTTCGGCGCACACCCAGCGAGTTAATTAAACATTTTTTATGTAAAATTTGAATTATTTCGTGGCGATTTTTCCCCGAATTATGTACCTCTTGCAGCTGAATTGATCTTGATGTCAGACTCGTGTCTATCCCCACTGAAAATTTCCCATCTCCAGTCGATTTTAGAGGGCTCCAAAAAGCGAGTAGCCTAATTTTATATGAACGGTCCGGAAAGTGATTATTATGCGTAAACAGAATGCCCTGTTGATAGTTAATTGAGGCAGTAGTAAACATGTCGGGATTCGCTTCATCAGATATTCGCTGTGTTCTCCATTGTAGCGCGATAAAGGTAGTAAATGTATAATTAATAGAACCGGTGCATCGGATCTACTTAGTTGAATTCTACCTTACACTACTCTATTTTACTTTCTTTACTTACTACACTCTCTACTCTCTTCTCGTTATCCTCTACTCTCTACTTTAATCCAATCTAAGGCTTTAGTTGATTTTTGTGCATTGTAGGAATTGTATTGAAAAAAATACCGTATGCAGCGTAGATCATAAATGAAAGAGTAGAGCAATAATTAAATTCAAACCCAGCTGGAAATTTGAATTTCGCAGGTTTTTGAGTGTTGACAGCACAAAGCCCTTTCACAAAGCGTTGTGCTTTTGTAAACCGGCTCCGGTTTTGCACGAGTATATACTTTGTCATCGGCGATAAGCCAAATTAGTTTTTTTTTTTTCGATGAAAACTGACTTTTTTTTAATTATAATTCCCGTTTGTGTGGATAATTGCGATGTTCCAACTGTTGTTGAAACAATGTAATGGCATGTTTCGTTTGATTTGCGGTTAATAGATATATTTCTGCTGTAAAAAATATAAATGGTGGATCCAAAAATTACTCTCTTTTTTTATATGACCTTTTAGCGGTTTATATGAATATATTTGGTTATTTTCGTGGCTTCGCTCCCTTTTTTCCGGCGCTCTCCATTATGCCAGTATACAATGAATAACTGCCTTTCATGAATATTTAACTCGAAAAAAACCAAAGTTGTGTATTTTTCACGAACCGTTTCGTTGTAATTCAACGCTGGAAAACCAGGAATTTGCGTTTAATGCGTGTCATCATTTTTTCTTTCATTAACTATTTCCATTCGAGTAGCGCCGATTTTTTTTTATCAACCGTAGGATCGTTTCTCGCGAATTTTCCACCGGATCGACTGAACGTCCGCGATCGATCGATATCCTTTTTTTTATGCCGAAAGCGCTGACGTTAACGAGCGCAACTCTTTTTTTAGCTCTAGCGCGAACGAAATTTAAAATCTTTTACCTTTGATCTTTTTCTCTGGTCTTCTAATCTGCGATCCACTTCTTCTTTCGAGAAACTCGCGTAAGCCGCACGTGAACCAGCGTAAGAAAATCGGGAGAATCTTTTGTTCGTTAAACACATCAGAAACGCGGGAAATTAAGCTCTTTATCGATTCCGAAAGTTTTTTAATGCAATCTTTTATTACATAGAAACTTGGAGTAGATCATTTGGAGCGTCTAGAAACATTATTTTCTATACCGTATAAGCTATTTTTGGTATACACATGTAGGTATTTGCTGGTTGTTGATTTTTTTGTTCTCCGAAGCAATTTCGTTGGAATTAAATCGGCATTGTGCTTCGGCAAATTGCTGAAATTGAGATTTCCCAACGAATCAGGGACAAACCGAAGCCCTCGTTGGGATGCTCGGGATAGAGAATTATTTAACCCGATTACAATTCTAGTGGCTCGAAACGGACGAATTCGGTTTAATATTGTTGAGGGAAGTAAAACTTATCGAAGTGAACATTTACGATGTTTTAATGAAGGCCCGGCGGGGTCGAAAAATACAGCGGGGATTAATAAAATACTTTTGTTACGAATAATTTCATCGAAAGCGGCAGGAATTCAATTTTATTTGGAAAGAAATCGTCTTGTAACATCCAATTTTTTTACACGAAGCCGATCTGGAGCACAGTGGTGAAGATTAGGTGCCAATGAGGACGATAAAAGAGTAAAAATATCGTTAACTGGAGAGGTTTTTTATATACAAAAGAAATACATTTCTCATATGCGGTATATTTTCTTGAATTTTATACTTCAAACCCTCTTCTAGTTAGCAACTTGCATACATCAAAGAGTTCTTTATTGCAGAGGTAAGCCCAACAAATTCTATTTCTTTTCATGTACTCCTTGTGCATAAAACGAGCTGCATTAAAGAAAACTCATAAATTTATCAAAACTCTCGTTTCGAGTTTAATAACTTACATACATCTGCGTGTATAATAATAATTTCGTCCGTTCGTTCTCTTCTGATTTTCATGCAGAATTTCCGAGCGATAGAATTTCCAAATGACTCGTATCGAGTTACCCGAAACTTCCATTTGTCATGTTAAATTCAATATTCTATCGCTCCCTCACGCTCAAAAAAATACCGGAGTCGCAGGATGTATTTCACAAAAAAAAGGAATTTAGGAGCAAATACACCCGGATTTCCTTTGATTGCACGTTTTATTGCCCAAGTAAAAAATTAGGCGCAGAGAAAAATTGTGTTTGATAAAGTTAGGAGGAATTGAGAAGAATACTTCATACGGTTGTGTAATTAGATGGTATTTACAACAGAGCAAACATTGATGGATAAATACGAAATGAAGCAATGACATTAAGAGAATTTAAGGGAAACTTTGCAGCGTGCAAGCGAAATACGAACTAAACTCCAACACGTGGTTTTCTTCGAGTTTCCAACCCAAATATTTAATTCGCTAAAAGTTCCAATTCCCACTTCAATGCGGAATTAAACGCGCCTCAACGAACACAACGCTATCGATTCCCTCTTCTCGTTTATATCAAAGGCGAACCAATTCCGTGGAGTTTCGATGTTTTTTCAGCGGAAAAACTCCACCGAATTTTTTCACCGAAAACCATACTTTATCACGTAGTTTACAAGAACTCCTCACAACCCCGCCTGATGCTGAAGAATAAATGTCTGCAGCTCTCTATGCAAGCACACTTTCACCAGCTGGTGGAAGGAAATAAGCAGGAGTGCAAAATCAGTTTATTTTTTTTTATAAAAGGCAGTCGATTCTTCGGGTGCTTGTTGTGTGCAAATGTGCAAATGCGATTTCGTTCGAGTGCAATTTTTCTACCCGGGCGAATTTCGAACGTTTCACGCGACTATTCAAAGCGGCGCATTATTAAATCCGCGTTGCAAAAGTCGAAATTAAATGGAAAAGTGGCTTTCACCGCAGTAGGCGGACATATAGAGATATATGAATGTGGTTCGCAGCGGGCATGATATAATCGTAAGGTTTTACGTAGGTATTATGCGGGCTTTTGATGTGCAAATATACCGCGTTAAATCCGCTCCGGTTCGCCGAAATTCGACATGATTCATTAGGAATCCTTTTATTCTTCGATGTAATACACTTTTTAAGTAATTATTCCACGTCGATTCGAAAGGGCTGCGGATATTCCGGGCTCTGGCGTGGACTCGGAAAGTTCGCGTTTATTTGATTAAAGTTCGTTCGCTCAGTTTTCGAAGATATTTCGATTCGGTCTAGCCCGAGATTGAAGTTTCCCCTACGAAACAAATAAGAAAAAAATATAACTCGAAAGAGCCTTCGCTCGACTGCTTCGAGCTCCATCATTCTCCGGAGCGAGATTGTGTTCTTAACGGCTCTCAGATAAATTTACTAGAAACTTGAATTCCTAATTCGTACGAAAATACAATTCCTAATAGAAATTTTATAGTTACTTTAATAGTTTAATAGCTCAATTTACCTTAATTTTAATACACTGTAGGTACTTATCCCACACATAAATTCCCCAATACTCTAATCTCTTCTCTCTACATATATACTTTCTTCTTCTAGTTAAATCCGACATATTTCCAAATTTGCCAGTTTGTAGAAATTAAATTAAAGTTTCCAGGTACTCAAATGCGACGAGCAATTTACATTGCTATATAGAAGAAGCTCTCATTTAATAGCTACATATTTAAATCAGCTAATAATGCAGCATTGCAAGCAGCTCTTTGCGAGCCTCATTAAACCGATTTTGGAAATGGTATACAAGCGAAGTTAGCGCGTAACATAAGGCCTGAACGACACACAACGATATTATTGATCTGCATTTTAGCCCGTTGATTATGTCAGTACGTTCCGACGTTATTCAATTACTTCGTTTATATAAAGCGAAGCGGCCATTGTGAGCGCGGCCCTTCGAAGCTGAAAGCAACGTTTAATATCCGATTCGGAATTCGAAACAAAACGTTATGTAAAATCCGCAACTATAGGTGAATATAACACCGCGCGGGGTTTCAAAAAAATAACCATTTTTACCCCTCGCATTAAGTCAATGCAATTAGCGTTAATCGAGGGTGGCGTTTTTAATTAACTCTAATCATCGGATGTAACGGAGCGATCGACTTAAAAGGACTTTGTGAAGCTCCCTGCAGGATTCGTTGCGACGTGGACACTTTTCGCGAATTAATTGCTAATTATTGAATTTCTTTCTAGCTAATTATACGGGGTATATATTGCATTCTTTCTCGCCGACGCCCGCAATTCTAAATGCAATCTACGCGGGAGTTTAACCGGAGTATGAAAGTTCCTTAACGAGCTGTCCGAATCCGCTTTCGAATATGTGTGTTTATTTATAGGAAAATTTAACCGCATAAACCGCAATCAATTAAAAGCAGTTAATTATTTATCTACCTAATTCCCGTTGTAAATTACGGATTTCTAAATTGTTGTAGGTGTTGCGAGATATTACAAAGTCAAAGGGAATAAGGCAAAAAGAGAATGGTGGATGTATATACGGGAAATAAGAGCAAGAAAACCAAGATACTCGATCGGGGTAAATAATTTCTTCATTGTTTCGGTGTTCATTAAATATGTATTTAATCGATCGATCGCTGAAAGAGGCTGAATTTCGCGGCGAGCTCTCGAGGAAATTGAGTTTCCCCTTATACTCGACGAATATACAATGTTCTAAACAACAACAACCATTCGTTATTGTATAAGTTTATAGAATAACTCGAATATTTGTAACGAAATAAATAGAGGAAAAAAATTAGGGCGGATTATTGGGATATAGCAAAAACTTTTTTAATATCTATTTGATTGGGTTAAATGGAGCACACTTGAAATTTATTGCGTAATTAGAGGATCACCAGATATCGATCGGGAATTATAATTTGTACACTATAATTTTTTGTTGAAAAATATATTCACAAAATTTACATGAAAATAAACGTTTCAACGTAAATACAATATCGAATGCTTGGTAAATTGCATTCGAAAATTACATGGGCTTTAGTAATTGAATTTCATCTATCAATTTGGTCGGTAGAGCATGATGAAATTTCGCATTTTTCGATGAATATTTATATTTATTAACAATGCAGGATAAGTGAGAGAAATGAAAATCGATCACCCCACAAAACAGGAAAACAACATAAGGATACACCTACACCACACACCTGGAAAAGCCGAAGAAAATCCCAAAAGAGGGAAAATCCCAAAAAAAAAATACTCACACCCCGAGGCATCACAGCAATATTTTTCCTAATTAAACCCCACTTAATTCACCCTACAAAAAAATTTCCACGCACCCCCCAAATCGAATCAATACACTTAATCCCTATTATCAACCCAAAAAAAAACCCCGTCCTTACTCACCCCTATTTTACTCCATCGCTCTGTCCCGCATCAATCGAGCAAAAAGGATAAAATCCGATCGGTATCGCTCCGGTCGAAACGCCGTTAATTTCCACCACGACACGCGAACGGGTAACAGGTGATAACAGGATGTAAGGACGCGAGTCCCGTTCCAGCGCCGATGATAGCCGGAGAAAGACTGGCAGCGGCTGTGGCTGCAGGACCGCCAGGACGAAGGCCATTAGCGCGAATCGTGGCGCTACATATCCTGCTGGGTCCTTTCGTACCCTAGAATGATCCTACACCATTTTTTATCACTGGTACTTATTGATAGTTTTAGTAATTTTCCTGCTTCTACTAGATGGTTCTTTGGACATACTTGCAGTAGATATAATCTCGAGTTGATTTGGTACTATTATAATATGACTATTTCTGATTGAATTTACATGATATTTAGTATATGTTGTTTCATATTCTATCTTCTCTTGGTACTTTTTCGTTCTTCTATTATTGGTGAAGGTACTAAGAAAATTCTTTCAACATCTAATAGAAGACTTTGGGTAGGTACTACTAACAATGCATCAGTTGAGCAATAAAAACCCTTATTAACATTTGCGAATATAATTATTTTTAAGTTACTTAAGACTATCAATATCGCCGGCGAGTTTTCCTGGGTGCAGCGATTAATATTCGATGAGGAAAAGTCTGGGAAAAGCGCAGCGGGTTTTCTTTCGGGATTAACGCGGCCGTCGGGTCGAAATGGCCCTTTCCTAATTTGCATTTAAACACACCTGGCGTTTCGAAGGCGAACGGGGGGTGAGTCGAATTGAGTCGGAAGGAAAGCGGGAAGGAAACGCCGGGAAATCTCGACTCGGAAAAACTTCGCGCTTTATTACGCCGCGTCGGCGATTAATTAGGCCGTTTTGCTTATTTCGTTATCGTTACTTTGTTTCGGATCGACGGGGGGGCGGTCGGAAAATCGAGTTTTCCTATAATCACTTTTTGTTTGTTACTCTTCGATCGAAACATCGTTGATTGCCGCCGGTAGCTTTGGAAATGGGAAAGTTATTTGCTCTGTTCGTTGGAATTCCGACGGAGTTTTCCTCTAGGAAAACTTGCGGAAAAATACGAAGTTTTCGCTATTAATTTCAGTGGAGAAATCGGACGCTCGAATAAAATATGATCCCGTTTAAACTCGTTAAGTTCGGTGTAAATTGACGGAATAAAAATCGCGAAAAAATGGTTTGTTTGGTACATTTTCCAGACTATACCTCGTGCTTCGCATTCGCCTGGATAGCGAGCATGCGCTTTTCCGCTTCGAAATGGCGAACTCCATCCAGCTCGGATAAATCTCCTTCGTAAATTTACCGAACTGTTTCAGCGAACAATAAGCTACAGCACGAGAATTACGATGCTAAAATGATTGAATTTTGATCGAGAAAAATGAAGTGCTGTGAAGTTATTGATTTGGAATTGCTGCTATTAGGGGTGATCGCCCTAGCTGGTAAGTTAACCCACCATAACCTACAATTCCTAGTATAGCATCAACAAAATAAAGTAAACTATTGCGTATTATTTTTATTAGTTAAATTTGATCTAACGATGATTGATTACGAAACGTTTTATGCGAAAGTAAATGCGAGAAATTTTTTTTCATTTCTCTGCATTCACTGGGATTTGTATAAGGTTCACGTTGATAAAAATTCCCGTAGCGTAAACAACCCGAGAAAGCCGGTTCGAGGATTTTTTATTAGCTACATTTTTACGCATCCCGAAATCACATCGACGACGGGCCATGTTTCAGCAAATCCCCTTCCGTAACCTAATTTATTTTTCGACCGAATCCTCCTTAAAGGCTTAATATCCTCCATCTAACCAGGCTCCTGCGCTCCTCCTATTCGATACACTCTTTCGTTTATCTTCCGCTCGGGTGCTTCCCCGAAAGAATAATCAACTCTCCGCTCACATAAGATATGGAATATTAACTCAAAAAAAATACAATTAAAGAAATTACTAGCGAGATTTAAACATGTAAAGTAGGTATAATGAGAAATATCTTCGGTAGATGAGAAATAGCGCATTAATAGACTCGAGAAAAATCCAAATTTAAATCCCCTCCGGAAAATTGCATTCCGCATCGTCGTTCCGTAAAATAACGATGTTTCATTAAATTTTCGGAATTAAATAACAAAAATAAATAAAAAAAAAAACGAAACGAAACGCACAGACGATCCGAAACTCGAACCGGACCGTTCTCGGGGGGATAAACGGACGGAGATGCGCGTGGGAGCGGGACGGAAAACCGGATAAATCGCCGCCTCCCCGTCGCCATAGCAACGGACGAGTGTATTGATTCGATTTGCAGGCGAGAGTGCAAGCGAAACGCAAACGCCCCACAAGACCAAACAGGCCGCCGAGAAGCTGCACGATCTCTGGTGCTTCAAATGCGACACCATGCTCAACGGGGACAAGTGCTTGGACTTGGAGGGCAACGATACCTACATGCATCACAAATGCAGCAAGGAGCAGAGAAAGTGCCAGGTAATTCCGATGATTCGGATTCGAAATGATCTCTACAAGAGCCGCTTTGAAAAAAATTGTCCATTGTTTAATGGCCCAAATTATATGATTCGTGGTCCATGATTCGTATATTATGGTCTTTGGTCCGTGTTTCGTGGTCCATGATTCGTATATTATGGTCTTTGGTCCATGTTTTTTGGTCCATGGTCCATATTTCATGGTACATTGTTTGTGTTTCTTGGCCCAAGGTCCATGTTTCAATTCAAGGTTCATGTTTCAAGGTTCAGCTGTCAAGGTTCATGATCCATATTTCAAGGTCTATAGTCTATCTTTCAAGATTCATAGTCTGATCTAGTCTGATATTTCATAGCCTATGATCCACAGTTCATGGTTCACATTAGCTTTATGGTATTTGAGGCAAATTGGAATGGAATTTTTGGACTCTAAATCATCGATATAATCGAAAGTAACGTTGCAATAAAACTTGCAATCGCCCATCAAACAGTACTTTTCCATATCGCCTCGCAATGAAATTTCCACGTAAATATTAACGATCCATTAACAACAATTCCTTCGCGCGCTTTCCGGCATCACGATCGGAAATTCGCCGGAACATTTCGCAAGACTCGATCCGGCAAAAGCGAAACAAAACGAAATTAAAACTCCATTAACCGCGCGAGGCTGTATGGAAAACGAGAACGCGCGTTTCAAATCGCAATTTGCCGCGTATAGGTCTATTTAATTAGGTAGATTTGATCGAAAACACGGCATCGATTTCGATTCGCAGGTCAGGCGGATCTCGATGTCGACCAGCACCGACGAGGTGACGGGCAAGCCGAAGCTCTGGCTGTTGCAGAGGAATTGCTCGGAGAGCTGCGAGCCCGGCTGCATCGTCATCGGCGAGAGGACCAAATTGCACTCCTGCATCACCTGCTGCGACGAGCGGAATTACTGCAACGACGGAAGCGGCGCCGCCACTTTACCCATCATCAATATACAATACCTTTTTTTGTTCGTCTTCGCTTTACTCGGTTTTTGTACTCACGAAATTCCTCTAAGACTTAATAGATAGCAGTAGATTGTATGTATATCGCAATAAATTGTAGCGTCGTAAAAATAACCTTTATACCCTATAACTTTTTATGGTACAAAAAAATTTAGCGTGAGAAATATAAATTAAACGCCCCCGGGGTCGAGCTCCAGCAGAATAATAACACAACTCCAACGATTGTTTCGTACACATACACATGCTGTAATTAGTGGAACTTGCCGTTTGATTCCTAGACTGACGCCTATCTCATTTAATTAAATCCTCATTCCACCGAATACTCTTGTTTACCGAATCCCATGTACAAACACATCGAATATCTCGACCGGGCGCACACTATACAGCGCTTTGAGCAATTAGATTAGTTTAATTGAAACAGAAACCGGGTGCACGATGAGGAACGATGTCCGCATAATGCGAGCTGCCCTAGTGCTGGTTCTGGTATTTGTGCGCGAAGAAACCGGACAGAAAGTCGATGTTTCGCTCGATGGTAACGTGAAAAGGGTTTTTCCGGATGTACAGTTCGTTAGGAAGAAGAGAGGCATCGATGGGATCGATGATGTCACCGTTAAAGTAAGTTATACTATTGAACTTGAATGAATTGTATATAAAATCTTCTCAAAAATATTCAATATTTGAGTAATTGAATTCAAATGTATAGTAGAAGACATCAAAGTTAGTGAAAACCACAGCAAATAAACCATGAAACCGTTTTTTAGCTTCCTTTTTACTCCGATAACCAGAATGATAAAGACATCTTTTCTCCCTTGATCAAAACCATGATGAAGACCATGAAGAAGCTATCGCAATTATTGAAGTAAAAAAACACTTCTAGCTTCCTTTTTACTCTATAAGCAGAATGTTAAAGATATGTTTTCTCCCTTCATCAAAACCATGATGAAGACCATGAAGAAGCTGTCGCAATTATTGAAGTAAAAAAACACTTCTAGCTCCATTTTTACTCGAGCAGAATGTTAAAGATATCTTTTCTCCCTTCATCAAAACCATGATAAAAACCATAAAGAAGCTATCCCAATTATTGAAGTCAAAAAAAAAACACTTCCAGCATCCTTCCTGCTCGATATCCAGAACGATATAAGATCCCTAAACCTTCGACAATCGGTACAATTAAATCGGATCGCGCTCGAAATCCTCAATCGAAACGTTAAATCCGCCAACTAAACATTCCGATACAACAACGGCAGGTCGTCAGAGTCGGAGATTGGTCGTTGGAGCTCGATTCCGAGCGCAATTTGCTCCTGTCCCGTGGCCTCCAAACCGACTGGCTCAATTCGAACGATTCGCCCAGCCGGCGGCCGACCAAGCGATGCGATTACCACGCGGGCGTGATAAAGGGACTGGAGAAGAGCTCCAAGGTCGCGGTGACCCTTTGCGGAGCTCTCGTTCGAGGACTCATCCGCGTCGCCGGCGCCGATTATCTCGTAGAGCCCTTCGACGAGCTAACCGGCGAGCACGTTGTCTATACGAGGTAAACGAATCGCGTTTCCTAATCAAATAGATTTCTATTGGAGTGTTTCACGATTTCCAGCGGAACGCACGTAGCTATCAAACGGGACGCGAACGCTCCCCCGATCGCTCCAAATCCCGGCTGGATGTACAATCTGACGGGCGACACGATCGACATCGAAGTGAATATCGAATCGAACGGGAATCTCCCCGAGGCGGAGGAAATGACGCTCTTAGATCCGGATGATGGAACGGGAAGCGGGGATTCGAATTCGAATACCTCGGGGGATATTACCGACGATAATGGTTATTTTTACGATACCGCTTGGACGGTTAAATCGGTGGAAGGTATAAAAAACGCGCCTTCGACACACTCTATCCAAATTATCGATATTTTTCAGTAACAAACTCACCAACCACCAATCCATTACCTCCAAGATGGATTGAAATTGCCGTTGCAGTCGATTACACTTTGATATCTTTCCACGGTCGCGCTAGAGTAGAAGAATACGTTCTATCGTTATTAAACATCGTAAGTAACCAACCGATCCTCCTAATCAGCTCTATAAACAGCCTTCCAGGTGAGCGCCATCTACCAAGACGCCTCACTGGAGGCCAACGCGAAGCTGGTGGTGACCAAGCTGCTGATGTACGAGAACAAGCGGTTCTGCCACAAGATCATCAAGTCCGGCGACGCCAAGAGGTCCTTGGAGAACGTGAACGCCTGGAACAAGGCGATGCACGGCTCGCTGGCGCCCGCCGAGCCGCGCCACGACCTCGCCATTTGGCTGACCAGGTCCGACATCGGGGGCCCGTCGGGGTACGCGCCCGTCGGCGGCGTCTGCGACCCCAAGCGCAGCTGCGCCCTCAACAGGGACGAGGGCCTCACCAGCGCCTTCATCATCGCCCACGAAACCGCCCACATGTACGAGCGATTCCCGTCGATGTGGAGTTTGTTTGTGGGGATATTACTGATCGGATTGTTTGCAGTTTGGGCTTGAGCCACGACGGGGACGGTAAGAATGGTAATAATTGCTCGGACGATGCGCTGGAGGGTAGCGTTATGGCTCCGATGGTATCGGCTACGTTTAACAGGTTTTACTGGTCGCCTTGTTCGAGGAACGAAGTGAGAAAATTGAGCAAGTAAGGAAATTAGTTATCGATTCCGTGCAGTGCATGAATTAAATTGCGTCGGCAATAAAGCCGGTTAATGAAGGCAATGAAAACTCGCGCGTTTGTTAATTAAACCATCTCGAGGTTTTAATTGCAATGGTAATAAACGATGAATTTTTAAGCGTTAACAAGTAGGATAAAATTCGTTCGAGATCGAAAAATTGTTTTTTTTTTCCTCTTAAATTTGTTTCTCCAGCAAGTGGTGGTGTCTACTCAACCCGCCGACGGGGCCGGAGGAGATATCGTTGAATTCGACCCTACAGGCTTCTTTCACGATGGATCAGCAATGCAGGATGGAATTCGGAGACGGGCAAGTATCGAAAAGACAAAAGAATCGTTTATTTTTTTTTTCGCACATATTTCTCGCGAATTCGCCGAAGATGTAATTTATTCGATAATGGAATCGACGGCGGGAGAGAGAAACTCCTTTTGCGAACATTTTTATCTCGCGCTGTATTAAAAGAAATTCGCGAGTAATTCAATTTGGGTCGGTTCGCGAATGCTTTTAATCAATTTCCCCAAATGATGCATTATATCGCAAAGGGAGGGATTTAATTATACTATTCTTTCTGTACTGTAGATATACTATGTGTAGATCGTTCGAAATTATCGAACCCTGCTCTCATTTGTGGTGTGGCCACGAAAAGAGCCCTTTCGTATGCAAAACCAAGAAAGGTCCACCGTTGGAAGGGACGGAATGCGGCGTAGGGAAGGTAAGCAATAGAAACAGTTAGCTATTTAATTCTACACAAATTCATATACATCAGTGGTGCATGGAAGGTTTTTGCGAGGATTTCGCCGACAGGGTAGAAAGGGTGCCGATTTTGCTAAACCCCCAAAACGGCCAATGGACCGATTGGAGCCCGTGGAAACCGTGCTCGAAATCCTGCGGCGTAGGCATCCAAATCCGATCGAGATCCTGCGAAAATCCACCGTGAGTGACCCTATTTTCCCATCCCACCGCAATCTCCATTTCGACTCGAATTCCAGGCCGTCGTTCGGCGGGAGGCCCTGCGAAGGGCGCGCGGAAGAGTGGCGTCCCTGCAAATTGAACGAATGCTCGGAGAAGAGTGTTGACACGAGGGCCCAGCAGTGCAAACACCTGCCGCGTTTCGTCGATCTCTCTCCATCGGCCGAGGCCCAAGTCACCTGGCGACCGTACGAGAGCGACGAAAGTACAGCGGGGGCATTCGAAGTCGCGCGATAACCTAACGAATTCTCCTATTTTTAGACGCGAAGAAGTGCAAATTGATCTGCCTCAACGGCAGGAGGAGGGAATTGGTTTTCACCGACGAAAATTTAGTCGACGGAACGCCCTGCAGCTACGATCATCAAGACAATATTTGCGTTCAGGTAAAAATATGAAGATTATTAAAAAAGAAACTGCTAGAAAAATAGGCAACTTTAGTTTGCTAGAACTTTTGGTAAAGTAAACTCCAGACACCAGACGAGACAATAATCGAGATTAAAGAACCTTCAACTCGCCAAGGTTACATTTACAAGGGTAAACTAATTACGAGGCAAACAGCAAGAATTTATTTCTTTGAACACGAGACGCTCTGGATGTAAACTTACAAACCAGTTGTATCCTATAAACCTTAGGCGTACAATTACCGCATAATTTAATAATGCGCATACAGCATTAATTTTGTTAATAACGTAAAGTTCGAATCTATTTCCGGATGAATAATGAAAGCCGCCGGATCGGGCGGGTCGGGGGACACATCATCGATTTTCAATTACGATTTTCATCGGCTGGCTGGTATCCCTCTCGGTTAAATACTAGCCTCTATATACTACACATATTAGTATGATTAATTACGTGTGAGATATTCGAACCGACCGCACGACACTAATCCAATACACGTGTAACTCGAATTCGAACCCTTCGAAAATTCAATTCTAATTTTCCTGAAATACTCTTCTTCCAAATTATCATTTGTGCGACTAATTAACGGAGATCTCCCGGCTTTTCCAGCGGCTTTTCATCGGGAATGATTACTTTTCCGCGCCGTCCGCGCGGAAGATAAACACCACAATAACGAAACTGTTTAATAATTGAACGGTTTCCAGGGCGTGTGCCAATACGTTGGATGCGATGGAGTTCTCCATTCCTCCACGAGGAGAGACAGATGCGGCGTTTGCGGCGGAGACAATTCCGAATGCACGGAGGCAAAGAAAAAATCCCGGAGGAAATTGAAGAAAGGTAAATATCGGTTCGTTTTCCACACCGCTTCTTAATAATAGATTGATATTTCAAAAATATCTGCACTCCTCATGGTGGATTAAGAAACGACGTTTATAGAGCCCAGATTGACCTAATAGAAAAATCCTATCGCATTTATCCATCAAATGTTACACTTAATATTAAATATTGCAGCGTCCAGCAGAATAGCCGTCCTGCCGGAGAAATCCCGAGAGATAAAAGTACAATTGAACGCGACCAACTACCACGCCGATAATCCCGTATTGGCCCTAATACTCAAAAATAGAAAGAGGAAAAGCTACACCGTGCTGATTCCGGCCAGCGTCGCGCGCAGCGAAATCGTCGAGGGGACCAAGTTCTATTACAAAGGGACCGGCAACGCGTACGAATTTTGGACCAAAGGACCTCTAAGGGACGAAATGGTTTTGTTGGTAAGAATGAGGCGGATCGAATTAGAACTATTGAGTAGATTAAAAACTTAAATATTAGCCAATTAACCTTTTTCTTCTGCAGTCAATCCTCTTCCTCAATCTCCTTCATCAATCCTCTTCCTCAATCCTCTTTCTCGATCATCTTCCTCAAACCTCTTCCTCAATCCTCTTCCTCAATCCTTTTCCACAATCATCCTCCTCAATCCTCTTCCTCAATCCTCTACCTCAATCCTCTTCCTCAACCCTTCAGTCTCCTTCTCAACTCTCTTCCTCAATCTTCAATTTTCTCATAGACACAATTTACTCTTTCCTTTAGATCAAAGTATCGAAATCCGAACTGCATTTGGGCATTAACGTATCGTATTCGACGGAGTACTCGATCCACAAGGACCACCTGGTGCCTTCCAAGCGATTCGTTTGGATACCGGGCGGTTGGGGGCCGTGTTCGGCGAGTTGCGGCGGCGGCAGGAGGCAGAAAACCGCCGCTTGCTTCGACAACGACGCCCACCGGGTGGTCAGAAGGTCGGAATGCGCCCTCAGCCAGAAGCCCAAGCTCGAAACGGACGCCTGCAACACCTTCAGGTACGCCCGAAATCTTCGATTTCATACTCGATACTAAGAGGATGGTGTTGTAGCTGCGATTTCGAATGGTTCGCGGGCGATTGGGAGCCGTGCTCGGCCTCCTGCGGTACGTTGGGGGTGCAGCATAGAGAGGTTTATTGCCTGCCGAACTCGGTGCTGGTGGAAACCAACGGTACCGTCGATCGACCGTGGAGGTACATGGTGAATCCGAGTAGATGCGGAGAAGGTAAACCGATGAGTTTGATGGCTTGCAACCGACAACCATGTTTCGTGTATTGGACGTTCGGAAATTGGACCCAGGTGATTTTTCTCCGGCGATGCGATTAAACTGGGTTTATAGTTGGATTGTTTTAGTGTTCGGTGACCTGCGGGCCGGGTTTCCAAACCAGGTCCTCGCATTGCTTCCCGCCGGAGGAGGAGACGTTCTTCACGTGCGGCGAGGCGCCGGCGCCGCAGCGGCGCTCCTGCTCGGGCGCTTACAACAGATTCACCAGCCCGCTGTGCAAGGGCAGGAAGAGGAGGACCTGTCGCAAGGACGATTCCGCGCATTGCCCGTTCGGTTTGCTGCACAAGTACTGCAAAATCGGCGGGTTCAGGCGGGCGTGCTGCAGGACTTGCGGCGAGGTTCTTTCGCAGTCGATTTGATTTTGTCGAGAGTTAAATAGAGAAAATTGCTTCTTGTCGGTGGTGTTTTAGTTGATCGATGAAAGGTTAATTCTATAGTGGAGATATTTACACGACTACCTGATACTTAAAATACCGTCTGACGAACAAAATATTGTTCATCGGAGAATATACACGCGTTCGGGCGATTTATTTATTCAAGCTGCGCACCGAAGGCGACGAACGATCATAAAATTATTAAAGCTTAAGTGCCGACGGTATTATTTTAATTTCGTAAAAGTTGTTTATTTAATTTATCAGTGGGATTGCCCTAAATAAAATTAAAAACGCGCACTTCTTACTCGGTGACTTTTACAATATAAAACCTTGCCCTTTATCTCTAAATTATAACCAATCTAGAGATGAGTAATCTACTAATCAATCGAATTTTTCAGCACATGTTTTGTGTTATGTTCGTATGACAAATTAAATAAATATAATGTAGAGTATCGGGCCCCGGCCTGCAAAGGGGGCTAAAAATAGTGTTAAATACAAGTTTCCTAATATTAGTAATAAAATTGGTGTTTACGCCTTTGCGGCGTAGGTGTTGCGTGTACATAAATTCGCGCATTTCCATTCCGAAAATCTTTTTTTATCTGAACGGTGAGCGAGATTAGATGGGCCCGACAAGAGCCGCGAAAAACATGATAAGATTCCGTCGAGATGTTTAGTAAATCGTTGTTTTGTTAAAGATAAGCTCCCGCACTTACCTGGCTGCGAAGGATCCGCAATAAAACAAATATTTCCCGTTTTATGTGCGGTTTAGAATGCGTAATTCGGTTTGTTCGATTTTTAGTTATATTGTGATATCATTATTCTTGAAAGTAGTAACATCGGTAAGTGTTTTAAGATAATAATATGATACTTTTGTATTTCTCATATTATTTGTCATATACAAATTTATTTTTCTCTGCGAAATTGGTAAACGATTACAATTTTCAGATAGATCCTTGCAGTTTAAAGTATTTCGATTTTAATGCTAGCAAACCGGAGAAATTTTGTAGACTGAGGGAAGATCTCTTTGACCAAAGATTATGGAATTATGTCGCTGGTTACCAATGCTACTGCTACACAAACCCCAATAGGTTCAATAGAAAATACGCAGTAAATGTACTTCATCAGATCGACATCAACGGTGACAAGGTGAATGTCCCCGGTGTTTTGGTGAGTAGGAAAACACACCAAGAGAATGAATTAAACAATAAACTTTTTCCAGTTACCCAACAATATCACAATAAACTTCGATTACACCGACGAGGCAAGTTTGCGATACATCCGTAAATCGTTCAAAAACAACATCGTCTTCGACAATTACATGAGATGCTGCAGGGAAGCGGAAAACTGCTGCAACAACGAAATGAACAACGACAACATCGATAACAGTAACACTTTGGTACATACGAATCGAAATAATTTATCGATAGGATTTATTATACTTCAGGCGAAACGTACTGTTCTGCTATTTGGGACGCTTGGACTTGCTTTCCACCGACGAAAGTCAACACGGTCGCCAGATTGCCCTGCTCCAGCCAAGCTTACCAAGACCCTGACGAAGTTTGCACTTGTAAGTAACGCACGAATTTCTATTCCGAAAATCGCGGGACCCGATTAGAAAGATAAGATTGAACTCGAGTACTCGAAAGCACCAGCTAAATTCGTGATTTACCAATTACATTTATCTACAGGTTGTCTTACTCAAATCACAGCAGTTTAATCTGAACTAATATTTACGATTAACTCTATCAACATTTCTTGCAGTAGAAAGCGAAAAAGAATGCATAACGAACAGCCGAGGATCCGCCGAATGGGTCCAACAGACCGATTACACGGTGTGCGCCATAGCCCCCGTATACGAAGGTCGCTACACCTTCCACATAATCTTCCTCAGCGTCTGCATCGCCATCTGCGTGCCCGCCATCGGCGTATTCTTCGCCTTCGACAAGCTGCGGAAGACCATCAGGGTGGTCCTGCACAGGAACCTGCTGATAGCGATCTGCGTGCGGAACGCCTTCACCATCATGTCCAAGGAGCTGGTGCTGTTGGACCAGCTGAAGGGCTCGACGGAGAGCCACCACCGGATGGAGCAGAACGGCGCCGGTTGCAGGACGCTGGCGTTCCTGGAGGCGTCGGCGGTGAATTCGATCTACGCCTGCATGTTCCTGGACGCGTTCTACTTGCACAAGGTGATCGTGAGGGCGTTCGCCAAGGAGATTAGAATGGTGTACGTTTATATCGGTTTGTTTGGTGAGTTTTGCAAATAACGATGCAATTTTCTTAAATATACAATCGTAAAGCGTTTTGTGTGCGTATCGTGTTTATTTGTCTACGCGACTTTCGGTGTAATAACTTCGCCGCGATAAGTAAATTAAAATATTTTTTTTTATTTAATGATTAATGATTTAACGTTTTTTTAATCGAGAACATTTAATCGCCGTTATCTTATCTCGGTATTATTCATTCATAACGTATTTAGTTTGGATTTTACGCCTACTTTAAGGTTTTATTGCATATAATTGAGGTTGTATTTATTTCCGAAATAAATTAATGTCCTTTAAGATGAATTTGTAGTGAAATCAATAAATTACCAAAGCGACCTCAAAATAAATTAGTATTTAAAAATCATTAATCAAATTCGGGATCTGTATTACTACATCCAAAAAATTTTTCGATCATAAATTAATTAGCCGATACATCCATGACATCGATGTCGCAAGAAATTAACAACAAAAATTAACATAAGTCATGACATCGGCAATTAATAATTGACAACATACGCGGAAGATTCGTCTCCTTCATTCGGAAATTGTGAGAAAATCACACTGTTTTAAGAAGATTGTGTGCAATAAAACAATTAAATGCATCGGATGCTGGTTAAAGATTTTAATTTAACGAATTACCAATCGATTTCAGCGATGACTTTTACGTTCAGCATTTGTTGGGCAATATCGATGGCCGTGAAAAAGGCCGAAAATTGTTGGATGGTCGACGTGGACGGTTTGCAATGGACTTTAGATGGTTACAGGATTGCCGTTCTAATTATAAACACGTTTCTGCTAATGGATATCATGAGAGTTATGCTGTGTAAATTGAAGCACGGCAGTCTCACCAAACAAACCATGTAAGTACACTATATTATCGGTGTTTAGATTGGGCTGGTTCCGCACCTGGAATGGAAACTGATTGATTTATAATAGAAACACGCGTAACAGTAAAACCGCGCGTCGTAAATTCCCGCTGTTTATTGTTTCTTCTATGCGTTTTCCTCACTATTTCTTAACATAAATTATGCAGGAATTACTCTGTAATATTGGCTAATACCGGGAGACTCGAAATATATATATTTTTTTCGTTTTAGATCAGCCTTCAAAGCGACCATTATTCTAATACCTCTGTTCGGACTGCACATCATTGTTACTGCAAAGAAAATCGTCTACGACGATTCCTGCAAAGCAGAAGACCTCTACAACAAAGCCAGATATTCCATGGAGGCCATGCAGGGCATAATTGTATCAATAATTTTCTGTTACGCCAATCAAGAGGTAAGAATTTAGTCTCAGATGATTAGTTTAATCATCTTCTTCGATAACAAATTAAAGAAATTAACGAAGAAAGAATAGTAGTGAAATTATAATGAAGCAGATGTTTCTAAACGTATTACATAAAATAATTGGTTTCGAAGATTTGTTGTATATTTACCTCATCAGGGGGTTTCCATGGGAGATAGTAACATTTAAAGGTATTATGGTTGATTAATTATTTATGTATTTCAGGTTCGAAACGAGCTCAAAAATGGTTACAGGAAAACGTGCATTTTCCTGAATCAAAGATTCGGTTGGAACGTGGGAAATGATTTGTTATACGATAGAAGGAGGGCAACTACAGCTACTTTTGTGCAGGAAGCTAATTTTTGAAAGTTTAGATTTAAAACCTTTAGATTTAAAATAAAAATCTGTATATATCTTTTTATTTAGAATATTTCACACTCATTTTTATTGTTCCATTAGTTTTTTTTTAGTTTGTTACGTTTAAATTGGACACGTATTAGTATTACAGAAGCAGATAATTATCAAAATTAGACCAAAGTTTTACCTACTTTTGATTTAAGAAAAAAAATAAGCTAAAAGTATCATTAAAAAGAATGAGTAAAGAATAACCATGAAGAAACTATTAAATAATTAGATTTTACACTTTAAATGACGAATTCGTTCGAATATATAAATATCTGCTTCGGCTACTTTCATCTATAAGGTCAATAAAATTAATTTTCTTAGATTAATATTAAAATTAATTAATCCATTTAATCGTGTTCAAGGCGTTGTGAAGAAACATTTTCCCGACCTACAAATTTTTATCGCAATAAATAAACCAAGAAGTTTTATTATTTTAATCTAAAAAAATTGAGTTTAAATTTAACAAACTATAATTTTACCTACTCAGTAGATACAAGCACATAGAAAACTTCAAAGAGATCATCGATATTACTTTAATTTTATTTTTACTTATTTATTATGCTTTTGTAAGAAACTCTGTACATATGTTACATTTCGACGTGTACCTAAATAAATTGTGATGATAATATTTCGATATTTTTGAAACGAAATTACCCGTCGGTTTGAGACAAAAGTATTGTGTATTCCGATCATGGACGGTTTGAGCAATTAAAAGTGCCCCACTCATCGGCTTGTGTAATATTTTTTAGAATTGAAATTGGCTGTGGCTCGAATTCTTTAGTTTTGTGCGTGCGTGCGCGCATATTAAACAAAAATGTGGTCACTATGAAGGATCAAGAAATTCCTTCCACCGAAATATGTGAGTTTGCATTAATATTAATATTTTATTATTTTCGTAATTTACTACTCTCATATAAGATGTTTTTTATAGTGTTTTTGTTATAATATTTCCTTATTCCCAATGGTAGGGATTAATTGAATTGTTTGAAATAATTTTATAATTTTTACCACATATAATTCATTTTTTTGTTAAAAGTGCACATTATTTAGGTTACGTGTAATTTTCCTGGACAAATAAATTGAATTATTTGATAATAAATTGCATACAAATTTCTCCTGGCAGAAAAAAGTTTTTTCCTGTTTGATTTCGCGTAGAAATTTGCACGTAATTAGAGCAGCTTTTGCGCAAGTTTGCGCGTATTGCAGGCACGTTTTAATTAAAGGCGTATGCCAGGAATATGATCACAATAAGAAAGTTTAAAATTAAAATAAACAAAACGCCGTCGGTATTGAGAAAGTCCATCCATACCTCACCTATTTACTTTGTCATAAAACGCACACGTATCCGGAATAGAATTCATAATTCCGCCGAGAAAAGAATAAGTAATTAATCTTATGAAAGACAAAGAAATTAGGTGGAACTTGGATAGACTTGTTTCTATATTATTTAATCGTTTACTCAATGATTCTGCGTGAAATTTAAAAGTCGTAATTTTTAGGAATTATGTTGCTCAAAAAGTTTTTCTGAGAGATGAAAGTAAATTGGAAAAATCTACAACTTCTCTTCGCACTCACTGTGATATACTCAAATTACGTTTACAGCCAAAGAAATGAACTGAAACTATTTCAAGATATTATTAGAGAAACATCCAAGGTAAGTACATATTAATTTTTTTCCCTTCATTTTTCGTAATTAACAACTTCCTATTCGTTGGAAATAGTGTCAAATATGCGAACAAAATGTTTGCGATTAACTATTGTATAATTTACATAATGTAACCGAAACCGAAATTTTATTCAATCTTCCCATTCGACTAATTGCACAGATAAAACGAAAGTTGAAGAATCCCATTACCATACAATTAACAAAATCAATAATGCACTTAAATAAAACAAGAGTTAGAGGATTACAACGGCCGCGTCCTCGATAAAAGCAAGTCATTAATTTTTCTCAAATATCGATAGATAAATAAAAAGATTCTACGAATGGAAATGAATGTATTTCAAAATTTCACACTTCAACGTGCACAGCTAAAAAGCCAGCAATCTTCTTCCAGGGCCGGATCGGCGATTTCGTCGTAAACTACCCTCACAGAAAAGCGAACATCAGACGCCAGCCGATTTTCTCCCCGAACGTGCCATTTCCTTGCGCCAACGCCACCAAGCCGGGCGTCGGCCGATCCTCGACCGCGCCATCCAGCGTCCACCGGCTCAGACCCGGAGACATCGACGTGGTGGCGGCCATGGGGGACTCCCTGGTGGCCGGTAACGGCGCGATGGAGGAGTACGCCATAGGCACCATCATCGAACACCGGGGGGTGTCTTGGTGCGCAGGTAATCCTAGTTATCTTCTTCGTTAGATTCGCTGGCGGGGGATCTCGCCCTGTACCGCCTCTTGGGGATGGGTGGTGGCGGTCCGCCTACTGGAATACTCTTTTTGTTTGGTTTCGATTTCGTCCAATAGTCTCTAACGACGAACTCATCGTATTGTAGGGCGAACCTCGCTGGGCCTCGCAGCCTCGGTTTCGGGTCCATTTCCTTGAGGTATTCGGGATGGATGTAACCAGTCGGTTTGCGATGGATTAATTTTGGTTTTGTAGATGTAGACGGTACGATGAAATTGATTTTGGGATTTTTCTCGTTTTCGACTCGCGATTTTGGTTCTTCTTTGGGTGTATTGCAAACCTCTTGTACAGCGAAATCTCCTTTATCTATTGGACTGATTGTTGGTGAGTTTCCATTCTCATTTCGGTTTGCTACACAAACAGTTTCTTCTTCATCGATGGTACTTTCGCCCTTATCATCTTTATCGCCTGATGGTGTATTACCGATTATCGCTGAAGCATCTTCAGTACAAACGTCATTTTCCTCCGGAGTGCTAGAGTTTTCTTCGTTATCGATAACCTCCTGTTTATTTGTCTCGTTGTTTCCTGGTTTTGTATGACTATTGGTTTCTTCTTTTGTACCAAATATTGTTACATCGATATTATCGACACATACATCTCTACTTTCAACGGAATCGGATAAAGTTGAGACACTAGTTGATGAAAGTTTTATAATAATTTTTTGGATTTGATCGACCTTTTCACCATCTGCGCAATTCTCGCGGGATTCATCGGACTCCTTGTGAATAACGTATTCTTGACAAATGATGCTGACCAGTTTGTTAACTAAAAAAATTATATTGCCGGAGGTATCGTCCAATTCCAGGCCGGTTTGGTGCGACTTGGTCTTCACGATTAGGCCGATGTTTTTGCTATCGGTTACCAAGTTCTCTGGAAGGGAATCCACAGCGTAATCGGCGAATTCGAATGAATCTAAACTACTCTCGTCGATCGCCGGTCGAATGAAACCGGTCGGTGTCCTGTTGATGAGGTTTATGTTCGGAGGTTTGTTAAAAGCTGTTGGTACTCTTATAGTTACGTTACCGATGCGTTCGTTGAAGCTTTCATGAATTATGCTGTATTCGACTTCGCTGTGTCCCACATTGTTAATTCTATGAAATTCTGAAGGATTTGGAACAGCCGAGTGATCTACGACGGAGCATTCGTTTGTGGAGTTACTAACTTCATCGGATAAACTACCACCGGATGGGCTAACCGGTCCGGTCGGTATTCTGGTTACTATTTTGAAATTGGGCGGTTTGTATCTAAATGCTGGCACTCTTAAACACACCTCACCTAATCTTTCAATGAAGCTTTGCTGGATTACACTGCCTGAAAATATATTTTCTGGTTCATTTGGGGGTTCGTGTGATACACAAAATATATTTTCAGTTTCATTAGGGGGTTCGTTTGGTACAGGAAATATATTTTCTGCTTCATTTGGGGGTTCTTGTGACACGCAAAATATATTTTCAGCTTGATTTTGGGGTTCGTTTGGTACAGGAAATATATTTTCAGCTTCATTGGGGGGTTCTTGTGTCGGTTCATTGAGTAATGGAGCCATTTCGTTATTGCATATTCCTTGTTCTGGCACAATTGGCTCTTCAGATTCAGTATCGTTGTTGAGAAACTTGTTAATTTTAATTGGTCGCCTATTTAGAAGTTTTACTTCCACTAACATGTCTTCCCAGAGATTTTTGCAGGAAACGTGGGGAATATTTACATTTACATTGAATCCTGTCGGTGTCTGATTGGGGATTTCTTGATGCGGTAATTTGTCACTTGTTACACTGCCTGAAAATATATTTTCTGCTTCATTTGGGGGTTCGTATGACACACAAAATATTTTTCCAGCTTCATTTGGGGGTTCGTTTGGTACAGGAATTATATTTTCTGCTTCATTTGGGGGTTTGTATGACACACAAAATATATTTTCAGCTTCATTTTGAGGTTCGTTTGGTAGACAAAATATATTTTCAGTTCCAATAGGGGGTTCGTTGGGTACAGGAAATATATTTTCAGCTTTTTTTGGGGGTTCGTATGACACACAAAATATATTATCAGCTTCATTTTGGGGTTCCTTTGGTACACAAAATATATTTTCAGTTCCAATAGGGGGTTCGTGTGATACACAAAATATATTTTCAGTTTCATTAGGGGGTTCGTTTGGTTCAGGAAATATATTTTCAGTTTCATTTGTGGGTTCGTGTGGTGGTTCATTCAGTAAAGGGGCAATTTCGTTCTTGCATATTTCCTGTTCTGGCACAGTTGGTTCTTCAGATTTAGTGTCGATGTTGAGAAACTTGTTAATTTTAAAGGGTCGCCTATTTAAAAGTTTTACTTCTACTAACATGTCGTCCCAGAGATTTTTGCAGGAAACGTGGGGAATATTTACATTTACATTAAATCCAGTCGGCGTCTGATTGGGGATTTCTAAATGCGGTAATTTATCACTTGTTGCACTGCCTGAAAATATATTTTTAGTTTCATTTTGTGGTTCGTTTGGTACAGGAAATATATTTTTAGCTTCATTTGGGGGTTCGTATGATACACAAAATATATTTTCAGCTTCATTTTTAGGTTCGTTTGGTTCAGGAAATATATTTTCTCCTTCATTTGGGGGTTCGTATGATACACAAAATATATTTTCTGCTTCTTTTGGGGGTTCGTTTGGTACACAAAATATATTTTCAATTCCAATAGGGGGTTCGTTTGGCACAGGAAATATATTTTCAGCTTCTTTTGGGGGTTCGTATGACACACAAAATATATTATCAGCTTCATTTTGGGGTTCCTTTGGTACACAAAATATATTTTCAGTACCAATAGGGGGTTCGTTTGGTACACAAAATATATTTTCTGCTTCTTTTGGGGGTTCGTTTGGTACACAAAATATATTTTCAATTCCAATAGGGGGTTCGTTTGGCACAGGAAATATATTTTCAGCTTCTTTTGGGGGTTCGTATGACACACAAAATATATTATCAGCTTCATTTTGGGGTTCCTTTGGTACACAAAATATATTTTCAGTACCAATAGGGGGTTCGTTTGGTACACAAAATATATTTTCTGCTTCTTTTGGGGGTTCGTTTGGTACACAAAATATATTTTCAATTCCAATAGGGAGTTCGTTTGGCACAGGAAATATATTTTCAGCTTCTTTTGGGGGTTCGTATGACACACAAAATATATTATCAGCTTCATTTTGGGGTTCCTTTGGTACACAAAATATATTTTCAGTTCCAATAGGCGGTTCGTTTGGTACAGGAAATATATTTTCAGTCGCATTTGGGAGTTCGTGTAATGGTTCATTAAGTAAAGGAGCCATTTCGTTCTTGCATATTTCTTGTTCTGGCACAATTGGCTCTTCAGATTCAGTATCGTTGTTGAGAAACTTGTTAATTTTAATGGGTCGCCTATTTAGAAGTTTTACTTCCACTAACATGTCTTCCCAGAGATTTTTGCAGGAAAGGTGGGGAATATTTACATTTACATTGAATCGTTCTTCATTTTGCCTAGATTCACAAGATTCCCCTGTATCGTTTGTGCTCTCTTGCCCTTGACCATTATTATCATTACTAACATTATTATTATTATTATCATTGTTATTGTTATTATTATCATCATTATTATTATTATCGTTATTGTTTGATGTAGCATTTGGTTGGGGATCAATAGCTCCACTTGAATTATTAACAACAGGCTCATTTGAAATATCATTCGGTAATTCATCATTTTCACTCGTCACAACCTCGTTAGATCCATCTTCAAAGTTCTCTTGACTTAAATTATTTTCTTCTACATTAGTGTTAATGTAGTAAGGGCTAAAAGGTACATAGGTGTTATTCAATTCACCAGAACTATTTTGATTCGAGCTATAATCGATAGTATCATAGCTATCATCAATGATCGGCCCTATGAAACCAGTCGGTGTTCTATGCAAAATCTTCGAATTTCTCGAATTGTGCGGTACATTGGGCAAAGTTATTACGACACTACCTATTTTCTCCTGGTGAAACCGTTCAATTCTAATCGAATGTTCCGTTTGCTCTTGCCGGAACACGCCAGGCTCAGTCGAAACGTCCGAAACACTGGATGGAATCGGCGCGATAAATCCCGTAGGCCTTCTAGTTATCAACTTGATATTCAGCGGTTTGTTTCTAACAGCCGGCACGTGTATTTTCACTTTCCCCAACCGCTCGTCGAAGCTCTCCTGCAACAACGTGTGGCAGGACTTGGAGCGATCCTCCTCGCTCGCCATCGTTTGGCTAACGTACCCGTGCAACGGAGCACCGGGAATGCTGGAAAAGTAATCGTTGGTGTGCGTGCTGGGCCTCAAGTCCGTCGAGAATATGTCGATGTTCTTGATGTTGAACGGTTCCTGGCTGATCTCGTCGAAACCGCAACCGACGTCGATGCAGGGCATCCAGCAATCCAGGATCCCGGACACATCGCGACTATCCACCGTTCGACTGGGCGACAGCAATTCGCTGATGCTCTCCTCGTTGCCCGGCGAAGTGCTGTACTTCTTGCGGCTGTGCATCGTCGGGATTATTCATGCGAAATTTCGCTCGAGTTTAGGCTTCATTCATGCTCGGTGATTGATTCCATACGCCAAACTGACTTTCGTTCGGCGACTTCGACTCGGAAGGTTACGCGGTAACTGATTTCAGGTGGCCTGGGCACCTGGAGGGAGTACTTAACCGTGCCCAACGTCCTGAAGGAGTTCAACCCGGGCCTGAAGGGCTTCTCCACCGGCACCGGGGAGTTTCTCTCGTCGAAGGCCAACTTGAACGTGGCGTTTCCGGTGGCCGCCGACGCCGACGCGCTGCGCCAGGCGAAGATCCTCGTCGCCAGGATGCGCAAGGACCCGCGCATCGACTTCGAGGGGGATTGGAAAATGGTGACGGTGTTCTTCGGCGCCAACGACTTGTGCTCGGCGCAGTGCTACAATAAGGCCGCCTCGTCGGCGGCTAGTCACTCGTCGAAGTTGGGGAGAGCGTTGGATTACCTGCAGGCTCGGTTGCCGAGGACCTTCGTTAATTTAATACCGGTTTTAGGTGAGGGATGTGTTTGTGGTTTGCGTACAATTTACTAGGGTTTTTTTTTGTAGATGTTTCTGTTAGTCTCAGGATAAAAAGGACTGTGACTTGTAGGTTGCTTCATAGATTGTTTTGCGAATGTTTCCACAAAGGGGGAGATGAAATGAACGTAATAACTAGTTTGACTAAAGCTTATCAAAGAGCTGAAGAAGAACTGGTAAGTTTTATAACAGATTAATTGCGATTTATGTATTTGGTGAATGTTTTTGTAGATCCTCAGTGGAAGGTACGATAAAAAGGAGGATTTCACTGTGGTTCTGCAGCCGTTTATGAAATCCTTCAACGCTCCGGATGATCCAGAGCATCGATTCGATGAAGTTATCGATATATCGTACATAACGCACGATTGTTTCCACTTCTCGCAAAAAGGACACGCTTTAGGTACGAGATAGAGATTAATAATTTTCGAAGTATTAAAAACATTTCTAATTTCAGCCGCTAATATGTTGTGGAACAATCTGCTCGAACCGGTTGGAGAAAAAAGCACAAGAAAATTGGGCAAAGTAATGGAAACCTTCAATTGCCCGAGTGAAGACAAACCTTATTTATTTACCAACAAAAATTCGAAACGAAAGAAATAAATTTTAACAATGCAATCGGACATTTTCTTTCCAGTAGATTACTTTAAAAACTTCCTATTAATTATAGATAACATTTACGGAATTAGTTATAGGTGTGATGAATATTTCCAAAACGTTTTCCATTTCTGTTACCTACGAATCGCATTATTAAACAATTAAGTTCGGGCATTGGAATATTCCTTTCTCGCGCGTGTTACCAAATATTTAAACAGCCTTTCGCGGTGTTGCTGTTCATTTCTAAACCGCAATTAAACGTAGAAACATGTACAGTAATCCGTTCGAACGCGCCCACAGCAACGTTCGCAAAGCTTTCGACCGATTGCTGTTGGGGAAAGGGCCCAAATCGAGGAGCCGATGCGCCTCCGAAAGCTCCCTGTGGAGCTTCGGCTCGAAGGGCTCCGTCAATTCCGCCAGTAGCTCGTGTTCCTCGAGATTGTCCCGGTGGAAAATCGGAGCTAGAAAAACCTAAGAAGATCCAGTGGAGTTGTGTAGAGTTCGAATTTGGTTTTTGGAGTCGTAAGTTTGTTTTATTGTGGTTGAATTTTGCGTGTAGTAAACCAGTTTTTTTTATATAGGTGATAATAGAGCTGTTGTGATTACTAGATAATGCTTGATGTGGAGGTTAGCTGGCTGGATGCGACATAACGCTAGAGGCCATGTAACAGAAGAGAAGAAGAAAGTAAATGAAAAATGAAAATGATCGAATAATGTAATCAAATAATAAAATTGCTTTAGGAAATTCTAGATTTATTTTTCTGGATCCTCAAAAGTTTTATACTGGAAACTTTTATGTACAGGATGCCATTTTGTAGATCGAGTGGTGTTTGGGATAAAGAAGAGTATTTTTCATTAATAATTATTTTAATTATATGGTAATTTTTACAATTGCTAAAAGGACATTAATGTAAAACAAACTTATATATGGCACCATCGGGCAAATGAGGCTTATATTTAATATATCGAGCTTTGGTAATAACTATATACACCAATATCTTATTTAATATCAATATATACAAATAAATATTATGAAACGAAGACTCATTTCTAAAGTAGGTACCCACCAATTCGCCGATTTCACTTAAAAAAAATCTATGTAATTGTAAATAAATAACAGCTTGGTATGGTAACATTTCAATCGAAAATATCTCGGTATACAATAAAAAAAATCACAAGCATTTCAAATTAAAAACGACATGAAAATCAACCAAATATATTTCCTATTATAATCATTTCAATTAGTAACACCTCGACACTATTTAGTCCATATATGTCAACAATAATTATTATTTGCATATGAAGTTTATATAAATTATTTACATATTTTTTAATTGCATATATGCCGAGATGTCACCATCATGTTTATTAGTTCGATGCAAACCAAACGATTCATTTAAGAAAATACTAAATATTTGTTTCTGTATCGAATAGGCACACACTTACAACCACACCACGTACACACAGCCAAAATTATTTAAGCTTATCGAAATACCGGCGATTTCGATATAGAAAAGTCGAAATAAATAAAAAAAATTAATCGAAAAGCAACGAAATAATAATCAACAATTCGAAACTTTGTCATGTATGTAACTTATTACTTACATATAGAAAGGCCACCTGCACAAATATTTTCTATTTCGCTAATATACATTATTTAATTACAATTAATCTACGCGTAAAGTTATTTATCATTTAACGAAGCGCTCAAATCCTTGGTTATACACAGTAATAAATACCTTAATAATTTTATTAGACACAATACCGATTCGAATCATTAATACTGGCTTCGAGCAAGCGGAAAAATTCATCGCGATCGGGACGTCTCTTAAAACTTAAAATCTCGAGCACAGAGTTGAATCCTCCAGTATTCATCGAATACTCGATACACACCAAAGCTCATGGTGCATAAATTAATTGGTAAACTCTATTTTTTTCAAAGTTCTGACGTGCTTAAACCCACTTTTGCAGTTTGGAAATCTGGCTGGATAACAAGCGAGTAAAAGTATAGTAAAGATGTTCCATTCAAACTCAAAGTGGATTTATCAATTAAGTTAAACTTAAAGCTACTCTATTACCGAGACGTCCACAAATCGCTTTTAAAATGCAAACTAATAACGTTTTCTTTATGATTGTAAAAAATAAGTCTCTAATTTGATATTTTGTTGTTTTATGTGAGGTTTGTTTTCACTTAAATGAGTATGAATGAATTATTAACTATTAATCAGTCGTTCAGATTCTGAAAATGATTTTTTACATCAACTACCACTAATTTTTGTACAAGAAACGCAGAACAACCTAAACCTAAATCAATCACAATGCCACATAATCGTATCAAATAAATCATCAAGCGGTAACAATGATATAGTAATACTCGTACTATAATAATACTAATAACAAGTTCGATTAAACCTAATCGTACCGAGCGAATTGTACAGCGCAAATTAAACGTAATAAGCAGGTGTATTTACAATCAGAACCGTCCGTTATCGGCTATCACCCCCGACCTGGGCACCAGGCCTTTTTGGGTACCCTTGCAGCACAACAGCCACTTTTCGTCCACTTCCAGCACCACGCGCAACCTGTCGCCGTCGTTGTACGCAAGATGGCCGCTCTCCGACGCCAAACGACGACCTATCGCTCTCACGACCCTGCAAATTTCCAAAAAAACTAGAATGGAGAGGAGTACGATGCGAGATATATGGATTTTAACCAGATATATGAATAGAAATAAGTCATTAGAACTCATTAGAACAGTTTTCCGTTGCTCAAAATATTCAATATTTTAGGAAATGTAGCCATTTTGAATTTAAAATTTTGACACGTGACGTGTAGTTACTAACCAATCATAAAACGAACGATTTACATTGTGTCATTAGTGGAGTAAGAATTCGAACGAAATGTTCGGAAGAATAGAAGAAACGAACAAAAGTTAAACACTTTTTTAGAATATAATGAAGAATTTTCACAAAACGGCATGAAACAAGTTTTAACTACCTTCGGATGCGACATTTTAAAATCGTATAAGTTGATTTAGTTGGAGGTTAAGTTTTTGTTTTTATTAAAAAAACCGTTGTTGCGTTGACAGTTGACAGGAATACTCACTTTGGTACTTTAGTGTCACTTAAGGGTTTCCGGTTAAGGGAACTGGACACGGCGCGTCTCGGCGGCGTCGTTTTGGTAACTTTCCCGTTTTGTGGAGCTTTGTACGGTAAGCTGCTGGGCCTTTGCGCGTGCCTCGTCGCCTCGGAAGCTTGGTCCATCCTGCTGGTCCTGCAAATTTAATAAATCACCTAAAAACTTTACTACTAAAAGATTATAGGAATCGTACCGAGTGATCGGAGCCGATCGCTTGGCCGGCGAATTTTTCACGCTATTCGAGCATTTGACCGGCGTCGTTTTCACGCCAGTGGGACTGGGCAGCTTCTTCACGAGCACCGGTATCCCAGATGGTTTAACGGGCGACGAAATCGGCCTGGGAATCTTCGATTTCGGCGCATGCGTCGGCGACAAAGGCGGCGATTCCGTCGAATTTTGCGTACTCAACATTTCCCATTTCTTCTGCAGCTTCTTGAATCTGCAAAACACCGGCTCATAGAGTACAATGGATCTTCATTCGCTTTCATAAACTAGTATTATTGTACCATACTCCATGCAGAAATAAGTAAAATAATGTACTAACCTTCGAGCATTGATCGGCTTATCGGCCCCATTGGAATCCAGCGATTCGGGCTCCAAGTCCTCGGCCAGCGACGGCACGTTCTCGACCGTATTCGAATTGTCCTCGCTCTTGTCCTGGTTGGCGTTCTCCAAGCTGTCCACGTACTCCTCCTCCTCTTTGGTCAACCGATGGTAGGCCTGGTACAGTTTGGAGCTCAAGGCGATGCCCGACCAGCGTTTCCTCGTCGAATCGTCCGCGTCCTCGCCCAATTTGAACGTCGGATGCGACACGTTGGTCTCTATGCACGACCTCGGCCGCTCCTTGCCCGATTTCCCATGACACCGCGACGGCGAATCGTCAAAATGCTTCACCGTTTTCGACGAGGCATCATCCGATTCCGAACGGTGGAAGTGTTTGAAGCTCGGAGACGGCGTACGCTGTTAAAAACGAAACTCAGTGACGCTCTACAACTCGCGTTACCTACGAATTACCTTGTGGGTGGGACTGTAAAGCTGCTGGTAGGTGTCCATCCTCTTGAAGCTCCGATGCAACTCCTTGAACTCGAACAACAAGTCCAACTGGAAGGGCAGGAACGCCAGCGGTCGCAGCGCCGCCACCATGGCGTCGAGCAAACCCCTGACGTCGGCGCCGCCGGTGTGCGAGAGCACCAGCAACGAATCGGCCGTGTAGTGCTTCTTGAGCACGCTCTCGCGCGTCCGCAGGTAGCTCGTCCACGCGTCCAGCGAGCGCACGTTCAGCAGCCCGAAGACGAACGCGTTGAACTTGACCAGGCCCTCGGTGACGGCGTCCTCGCCGTTGATGCGCATCACCAGCTCGTTGAGGGCGTTGGTGAGCGGGCCCTGCTGGGCGGACGCCTCCACCACCTGCCACACGGAGTTGTTGATGGCGCCGAAGTTCGTCTCCAGCGAGGGCTTGAGGCCGTCGCTGAGCACGGCGTAGAGGGCGGGACAGAGGGTGGATAGTAGGAGTTTGGCGCACGCCGGATTCGAATTCGAATCGCCTAAGGTGTTCAATTCGATTTGGTTGGAGGCTAGGGAGAAGTGGTGCATGACCTGCTCGACTGAATCCGTTAGAGATACAATCAGCGATCGTTTCTGGACGAGATTGTCCGATAGGTGTTTGTTCAAATGCACGGGAGTGGTTTGTCTGCTGTAGCTGATCGGGCTGTTTTCGTTCTCTTCGGTGATGGGCATGTCGGTGAGTTTCTTCGTTTGGTAGTGCCTCTGCTGGACGAACGCCGATATATTCGGCGAATTGTTCGGCGTCATGAAGTGCTTGGGTAGCCCGATGGTGGCGCTCTTGCGACCGGTCAAGTGGTCCTCTTGGTTCATCTTCAAGGCGAGGAACTTGCCGACGTACGATTTCAACTGGCCCAAACTCTTCTCGTTCAACTCCTCGTTGTCGGACGACGAGATCCCGCTGAGCTTCAGGAACTCCTCGAGCTGGGCGAGCTCGCTGGCGGTGATGTTCTTAGGGTAGTCGGGATTCTCGTCGAGGCTGCTGCTGGACGTGCCGGCGTCCACGCCCTCGTCCTCGGTCTCGGAGAATCTCTTGAACCTGTTCGCGTACGGCGGATCCTGCAGCGATTTCCGCTTGTACTTCACATCATCGGCGATCTCCTCCTCGCTGGTTTCGTACGTATTGCAACGTTTGCAGGACTCGGCGGTCTTCTTCTGGTCCGCCGCGGCGAATTTGCCGACGCGATGGCGGTGTTTCTCGGCGAAACTGGCGTCGGAGCTCGTCGCGCTGTCGTACCGATAGACGAACAACGGGCTGGTTTGCGATTCGGACAGCAAGCTGGAGGAGCCCCTGTAGCCGGAGCTCGGCTGCGTGTTGATGCTCGAGCCGGACGATTGGTTGGCGTCGCAGCTGAGCGGCCGCTTCTTGGCGAATTTGTTCTTGATCGAAGCGGATCTTCTGATATGTTCCTGATGGTTCGCCTCCGATAGGATGTTGCGGTACTCCTGCGGCAAGAGGAAGTTGAGCGAGTCCCAGTCTTTCACGTGGCCGAAGCCGCGCTGCTTCAGCGATTCGATGTCGTTGAAGCTGAACGGGCGGCGTTTGGTCGAGACGGTCTCGGGCGGTTTCTGCGGCACCAGCAGCAATTCGGGCGGGACGTCTTGGTCGCTCAGGAAATCCAAATTCGGCAGCACGTAGTTCGGGTACAGGACGTACACGGGCTTCTTCGTTTCGCCTTCGGATTTCAGCTTCCTGAGAAACGACGGTTCTAAAATCTTCACGGATCTCTTGCAGGCCGCCTCCGTGCAGGTTTTGTTGGCGTTCTTGAGGTTCGTTATCTCGGAGAAATGCGACGTTTGGATGCTCCTGTTCATCACCACGTGAGCTCCGGCCGGTTTTTCTACGCTGTTGTTGTTGTTGTTGATGTTTTTCGACGGCGGATCGCTTTGAATTTGAGCCGCTATCGGTTGGGGTGTTTCTTCTTCGGGCTCCTCCGTTATCGAATTGCAAGTTTTCGTGAAGTCTTTCACGATTTCTTTCGACACCGAGCCGCTGCTTTCCCCCGATTGGCTAGCCGGCCAATTTTCCGTGGACGATAGCTGATCCATTGTAGTCGACATGCCTGTTTCATTATAACAAAAATAAATAATTCTTGGCAATGGAAATTGTAAATACTAAATTACCTTCGACGCTCATGCTCTTCTGCTTCATAAACAACTTCACGAGGCTGAAGTTGGGCTTGTTGTTGGTGTTATCGCTGAAGCTCATATCAACAGAAGTGGCCATTTCGGACACGCTACCGCTGTTGCTGCTATTCGTATGATGCTGTATGTCGAACACTCTCACCGTGTCGCCTTTTCACCGTGCTATTCTCGCTCTGAAACCGTTCCGATCGCACAATTTACCCCCTTCAAACCACCGCAACCGATCGCTTACCGAACTATCGCTGTGCTCCTTCCCGGCTCCCGATTTCTCCTTCTGCTTGCTCAAATTCGGCAAGCTGCGGCTCTTGCTGGTCGCGTCGTCGACGTGCAACCGGGCCGCCGAGTCGCTCTCCGAGTTGTTGTTGTTGCCCGACGGATGTCGCCTCGCCTCCTCGCCGCTGGTCTTCTTCAGCTTGCTCCAGGTGGTGAGGCTGTTCGAGTCCTCCGAGCGCGTCATCGAGTCGTCCAGCCCGTCGACGGGGCTCCGCGGCCGGTTGTTGGCGTTGTTGCTCGACCAGCGGGCGCTCTCCGAGTTGCGGTTGCGAGCGTTCTTATCTGGAAACGAGATGTGTTTTGTCACCGCGCGAACATATCTAATGCGTACTGGTTGATGGTTAATGACTAACTGGTTATTTGCTTAGATTGTAAGTGACGAGGTTTGTTTGTCGTTTCGGGAGGTGCGATAGATTAATATTAATCCTGCTTTGTGTTCAATTAGTGAATTGTATTTTTCAGCGTTGGGCGCGTAGAAGTATATTTATTTAGTTCATTTTTAGAAAATGTTTGGCATAGTTAAGAGTGCTATGAACAAATTTATACTGTAGGATTGGGTAGAGTAAAATAGAGTAGAATAGAAAGAACGACATTCGAAAAAATAACGATTATTTGTAACAGTCGTTACTGCACCTCTACACAAAAAAATTAATCCCACCTCTATTAAACTTCTGTCATACGAACTGTCATTATAACGTCAATTTTGATGGTTTGTGAATTATTCGCGTTACGTATAAATCGCGGTTGTGAGACGACAGTTCAAGCTGTCAAAACTTCAAAAATTATTTTTTGACATTTCGAGGAGAAAATGGAGAAATACATGATTCCAGACCTTAGAAATATAGGACCGTGGTACTGAACAATGCAAAAAATAGTAATTTATCGTAGATTAGAGTAGAAGAGAGTAGAGTAATCGAGTGAATGATATTTGAAAAAATAACACTTATTTTGTAACAGTCGTTACTGCACCTCTATACCAAAAAGTTATTCCCACCTCTATTAATCTTGTGTCATAACGTCATATACGAACTGTCATAATTGTCAATTTTATTGAAAAAAAAAACGAACCTTTTTCGCTGCAATCCCCGTCCTCCGAATAAGTGGTAACGGAACCCTCGAAGGCGATGGTGTAATTATCCTTATTAGCCTGGCACGTGAGCATCATATCGTGGAAATCCGAGTCCAACGAATCGACGCTGAAGTTCACCGGCAACACGGTCTCCTTCACGGGGCTGAACAGCAACTCCGACTTGCATATGGACATCGAATTCGAACCGGCCGAGTACTCGTCGCCCTGCGAGCTGTCGCGGCCGCTCAGCGAGCCGTCGAGCTCGAATTTGGCCATCAGCGAGCCGGTGATGCTGGCGTAGCACTCGCCGCGCCGGCTGTTCTCCTGGCTCTGGTGATCGGTGCACATGGGCGGCAGGTTGCTCAGCAGGGCGCGAATGTCCTCGGTGCGGAAGCTCTCCATGTCGGCCTCGGCCAGATTGGCGTCGACGTTCTTGGCGAAGGCATCGTAGTAGTTCAGGTCGGAGGCTTCGTAGGATTCCGGCAGTGAGAGGATGCTGGTGTGGTTGTTGGATGCTCCGTCCCTGTATCTGGTAGATTTAGGCGTTTATATAGCTTGTTTGGGATATGTATAGCTCAATAGCTCACCCATAATCGATGAACCATTGGTAATCCGAATTGTCTTGGATGAAATCGATGTCTTGTGAGGAGGTGTTGCTGACGTAGCTGGCGGAGCCGTGGTGATTGCTGTTGCAATCGGAGTCCGGACTGCCCCGGATGATGCCTATCTCCGTCATTCCTTTACCTGGAACGATATGGTTTTAGGGAAATTTTGGCTAGATTCGTGTTTTTTTTTTTAGTGTTGTTTAATGTTTTGTTGCGCGGTTTTTGGCACCGGCGTGGAGGATAAATTTAAATGCATATGTTGTCGCGTTATGTAAAATAGATTCAAATCTTTAATTTATTCGTTACATCCTGTGATTCAATCGCGTGCAAGTTGGAACAGAATACGAAACTACACGATATAAAACCTTCACAATTACAAACTTTACTTGTAAATATAAATCATCGCTTATCGTTTCTGATAATTTGTACGCAATTAGTAATGTATTATAAAATTCCGTATTCCATAAAACATGAAATTTTAAAGATGTAAGTCATGTAGAAAAATGTTGTGCATTCTTTTTGCAAAAAAATGATATAGAAAAAAAACATATGTGTATACCTTGTGCAAAATAATTACGCCTATTAAAAAATACAATTTAAATTGCAAATGTATCACGGTCTCAGTCGAAGAAAGTATAATTAAAAACGATTACCATTTTGGGTCCGTGGGTTTCTTTTACTTAAATATTCAACCTTCAATCGCTCATTTTCTCGGGGGTACTTTATAGGCAACTTTATTCTGTATTCATTAGTTTTTTATAGCAATTGTACTTGCATAAATAATTATTTAAATGTTATATGCAAAACTACTGAATCAAAAAATCTGTAAATTCAATTTAAGAGCTTAAAATAAAACCCTGGTGAATTAAGAAACAGTTACTTGGTTTTGAACGTTAAAGTAATCCTATACACATATGAAACATATTCAACATAAAAAGAACCTTTATGAGTGACAAAAATTAAATTAACGACCTAAATATTTGTTTTACGTATAAAAAATACAGGAAAGCGCATTTAATAAACTAATATTCACTATTAAGAAACCATCTGTTTTACTGCATAAATTTAATGAGCACAACTGAGCACATGATTTTTAGGAAAGTACAACCGACTCTTTTGCTGATAGTTAAAAAATATATAATATGTTTTAAATTTCACTTACATTAATATAATTTTAATGTACTCGTCGCTTTTATCGGGTCAAGTGAATTCAACGCAGCAAACCATCGTAATGTTAAATCATTGCACCGACATTTTACACAACGTCGGGCAAGTTTCTGTAGGTTGTGCAACTGAAACCACCCACAAAGGCAAACGCCAGCTTTATTGTGATTTATTGGCACTAAATCCTTATGTTTATTTGTCTAGACGATTACAATCAACCTTAATTTAAGTTAGAATTGTGTTGAAATTAAAAAAGAACTAATATGTAATCGAGTAATGGCAACTATCCCTTGACGCAGCATCGGAGATTATTTTAATTAATTGTTAACAACACTAGGAGCACGTAAATAACTACAGTGACTAAACTAATTGCGACATTCGCGATGCACTAGTTATTTGGTTTATTAGATGACTGACAGTAACTGTCACTGTCAACTAACTATTGACAACATAAAAAGTAAACAAACAGTTGTCTATTTACAGATACACTCCGCGACGTTGCCACATCTAACAAGTAAACACTAAATATTTTTGCTCATTACAAAATTTTGGAATTCCTGAAATATTATTGTATCTTACGTATCTATTAAGTCGCGAAATTTGTATACAGGGAGCGCTCGAAACTCACCTTTCCTTCGTCTGATATATCTTTTCCTCCGCTTAAGGGTGGGCGCCCCGCCGGAGGCAGGAGCAAACGATCCCGAGGAGAATTCCAGAATTTTCATTATACAACACAAGAGTACGATAAGCATGTCTTTATGGCACTGGGTCATTGTAGGACCTTGCGTCCTTTCATCTTCCTTTACTCCTTGAGATCACCAAGAGAGTTAATTAAAATGGGTACCTACACCGGATCTTAAACTCTTATCGTTTGAGGAAGATGGTTTAATACTTAGAAATTGTATTAGTCATGTAAGTAACATGTAATGTTTAAACCAAATGAAATGTTAAAATTCGGAGGTATTTCCGCGTGTATCGTGAATGGTCTATGTGCAACTCGCTTTCGTATTCGTATTGTGAAATTGGAAATAGATGGTAAAAAAGAAAAGCGAAAGACAATCAAGATGTTAACGCGCCGTGACTCATGCAAACAACGAACGAAAATAAACTAGTTAGATTGGTTTTAATTGGTAAAGTACAGAAAAGCCCGTCGATTTTTATTCACTTTATAAATAGCCCTGCGCGTCCTAAATCACTGTTTTTCAAAACGCACTTTACAACTAACTATCCACTAAATATACCTAAACAACACAGCACTTAACAGAAACCCGTTTAGCCTAATTAAACCGAACTAGATTATCAACAAACGGGATTATTATTCATTAAAATCTAAACCAACATGGCGTTAACATGCGTAGGCTTGAGACTGGAAAGGAAACCGAATGTTAATTTAACGATCAGATGCGCCCGGCACCAAACTCAATTCAAACGTCGGTTGTATCAACGACGGGCTATTTTAAAAACCACGATTATCGGGAACATGAGGCCCGCATTCGACGTAAGTCGTAGCTGCGATGCTCCTTAAAATAAATTACGGCGCTCACGCATGTGCGTTACGGCGCGCCTTTTTCTCCTTTTTGTTCTTTTCTGAATGTATTTTCGGACTCCCATAACGCCGAAGTGCCGGGTTTTCGGGTTTCTAAATCCGCAGGAACATCAAACATTCTTCACCTTCGGGTTGGTTGTTCCCGTGGGACAAAAACGCCCTGGGGGATTTGTGAAGACCTTTGTTTATCTTCAATGTTTACTCGGTTTAAATACGTTTTCAAGCATTCTATTTACTTGAGCTCACTTGAGTTATTACTGATTGCAGCAATAAACGTTAATAGAAACAATAGTTATTGATGTTGATACTATTAACATGGATAAATAAGGTTTAATGAGTCGAAGAAGAAGGACCATGTAAGAAATATACTAGTTTAAAGGTTTTATTAAAGCCGAAATTGGCATAAAAGGGATTAGGAGTTACTGGATAAAGATCTTTGGGATCTTCTGGTGTTAAGTCTACGTACCTTTAAGGAATATGTTTAGCCGCAATCGATATGAGGAAACATTGTGGTTACGGATACATCTGAAAAAAAACATAAAAGAAATATTATTAGAAAGCTCTTTATCAAATTTGAATCTAGTACAGGTCATTTCAAGAGCATCATCAGTTTAACCAAATTTATCAAAAAAAAGACCACTAGAAAGACCACAAACACTCACTATATAAAAACTACAAAAATTTGCACCAAACAAAATTACGTATTAGAATACTAAAAAAAATCAATTCCCAGATTGTAAACAACAGGTCTTTCCCGTATTGATTTTACGAAACCACCTACAATAACGCAAATAACACATAAACTAATAATCAAACCAAGTAAATTTAATTGCATCAATCCACTGACTAATTTTCGTCATCGATTTTTTATGGTCTATTTATAACCGTGCACCAAACAAAATATATAGATCGCCATAATAGCAAGTAAATACGTACGTTGAATGGACAAACGGACGAAACTCCCGATAATACTAACGCACAATTAACAACACCGGTTCGAATTAACGCGTAAATAATCGCCGATTGTTCGAAGAATCAATGGAAAATTCGCATTTGCAGCGTTCAAACCGACGGGGTGGGGTTGGTTCTTCGCCACATGAAGGGATGAATCGGGAGTTTCCCCAGCGCCCTCTCGTGTTTCGAGCGCAACTCCGGAATTATTGATCTCCTTTCCGCGTTCCTGCAATTCCTGCCGTGCTCATTAGAGTTTCAAATCTACCGGAAATCTTAATTATGCGTAAAGTAACTTCGAAGTATGAAACGAAATTCATCAGTAATGTGGAGTTTTTTAGTCATATAGTTTTACTAGCGAATGATTGCAGAGGAACTGATTAAAAACTGTTTTGCTACTAAAAAAAAAGTTGCTACTAAATAGTGACTAACAATATCCACTACATATCCGTCTACTATCTACTTCTATTCTTCGCATCCGCTAAAACGACTTGGTGTTCGTGTTTTCTCGAACTTGAAGAGCAGCGGCTGCAACTTCTAAAATTAGATGTTTATTCGATAACGCTGTAATTCTATACGGCGAGGACAAAAGGGAATGGAACACTAGCACATAACCGCATAATTGAGAAGTTGCGATATACAATAAGAGCGGCTTAGTTCAGTAAATCAGGAGTTTGCAGTTTGCGAATTGAATTTGTTAAACTTCGTTATTGTTAGCTGAAATATCGGATAGACACGTATAGAGTCTTTGTTTGGGAAGTTTTTAATTGAATACGTACTCCTCTTTTTAATTAAGATTGTTGTTGAAAAATGTGGCGTTCTCTTAGATTTTTATAGGGATTCTAAATTTATCCGAAATAGTATTATTTTCTTTGAGGAATTTTAGTAGATATGCAAAAATCAACGGACATTTGGCAACATCTTAAAATGGATTTTGTATTTAGTTAAAAAACCAATGCCATCTATCAGTCGATTATAAAATTACTATTTACAATCAATCAACAATAGATGGCGCTACTACTTTTAGTTTTTACACTATTAATTGAACTTAAATTAACTTATAATTCTAATATTTACGACACATTTTATTAGATACAGGTCGAGTTTCACGGCTTTAGTTAATTTTTCTAAGTTTATGGGCTTTATGAATAAATTCTTTCATTGACAAAGTGGTTGCCTATCTAATAGGACTTGTTTGTAAAAACAGGATATTAACGATCAAAATAGATTTTTTAAACTATAACACGTGATCATTATCCTCCATAATACAACCCATCCTTTTATATACTTAATTTTCCACAAATTCCATTATTTTAACGATTCCTTACAAGCTATTAACCAGGATAAGTATCTGTATCTCCAGATTTGCAAATATCCCAAAAATGCGATATTTTAAACCAAGCAAAACAATAACTCCTAAATAGCCCCATAAACAAACATCAGTACTTAAATAATTCATTCGAAACAACCTCTTCAGTAGACAAGTACCGACCCACTCTCGGCTCTCATCGCGACTAAATAATTCAAAGCCCAGAAAGAAAACAGAACCGTTTCGCATCGCGATCGCATCGCCGAGATCTTGATATTCAAATCGTCGCGACTTCCAGCGAGCAATAGTGAGACATCTCCATGGACATTCCATTAAATTCAATATCACACCATCGATGCGCCCATTACCATAAACAACGTAGCGAAAAGGGCGCCGAACGACAGTCGAACGTCCGCGCGAGAATTCTAAACGCAACACACAACTTCCCATCGGCCGATTTCCAATGAAATTCAAATTGCCAAGTGCGATAATCTACTTCGCATTGTCAATAATGTTGTCTATAAATTTTACTGGATGTCTCCGAATAGAACTACTTAAAAGAAGGGTGGTTCCAATAGGCTTGTTTTTACATCAACTGGACTCCACTGGACAATATTTTCCATCCATAGTAGTTTAAAAAACTCAGCAGTTCCTGTAATCAGGATATAATGCTCCATTAGTTAAGTATATTGTGCCATCAAGAGCCTAATTAATCACCGAATCGGATTGCTATTTTACAAAAATCGGTGCGTTAAATTTAGTTGCTCATTTTCGGATCGGTAACTGTTTGAATTCGCCATCATGATGCGCTTGTACATTTCGATTTTCCCGTTCTATCCGCCCGTTATGCATGACTGGATAGATGGCACAGGCCAAATACCGAACGGCCGAAACGAAGAATAACGTTTATGGATCTGTTTAATCCGGCGCAAATATCACGCGATACCGGGCAATAGTGAAGTAAATTCCACCTCTGTCCTATTGTATAATAATATATCGAAGCCGTTATATTACGTGTGTAAATTTTCATGAAAATAACGCAAGTAGTTTTCCACATACTGATATAGTTTAAGCTCCTCGCGGGACACCTTGTAGATATTTTTCATCTCCCGCAAGGCTCCTAAAAAATTCCGTACAGGACGAATAATGGCAGTAGTTCTCGCTCGAAATTTATTCGACGTCGGTGTTGTGTGAATAAATGTGCGGTTAAATATTTCCAAAAAGGATTTGCGTTTCTCGCCCGGGGACGCACTAAGGGCATTATCCTTATTCGTCCTCCGGTAATGAGCGTAACGCGGATTAGTCATGGGGGTTGATATTCACTTTGTTCGGCAATACTTCAGGCCAGCGGTAGCCAAAAGGTTTCATTTCTTTGAATTTCTAGCATATTCTTCTCTTTGAATTTTTTTCCAGTTCATATCGCTAACAAATTTTCATGTAGCTGCTTTTAGAACGCGGTGAGTGTTTGTACGTTTTTCAAAATTTTCATCGAAAAACTATTACAGTTGATGAAATTCTCACCGAATCGTTTACCGACTGCGCGGTAGATAATTCATACTAACGATCGTAATAAATTACGATGTTTTTTTTCGAGGGCTAAAATTAACATAAAAACGGTTGTTGGTACACATGTTGACGTGTCATGATTTGTTATTTGCTAGAGATGATATCGCTGACAGCTGGAAAAATTATGAAAGAACTCATTGACGATAATTATGACGATTTTAATAACGTCTTCAGCGGGAGAGGATGTTAATATATCGGTTTTTTTGGAGGAAGTCTATTTCCTACGAAATTCCGTGCTACCTATGTTCCATTTAAAAAAACATGCATGTAGATAGTTTCTATATACGATCGGAATTAAAATTCCGGGCCATTGTGCGCCGGGGTTATTGTTAAAATCGTGTGAAAAGTGATGAACAGCTGATCATTAGGCACGCTTTGAATTTCTTTAACGGGAGCAAACACTGTCCGTTCACGCTGATTAGTCCTAACGCGCTTTGGGGAGGTCTTCCAAGTAAAACGCGGTTTTGTCACCCGGGGGTTGAGGAGTTTTCGGACGAATTTTTGCCCGTCAGCGCTTCCCAAACTATTTACTCTATACCCTTAATAAATATTAAGTTTCTGTATAGCGCACAATCTATCTACGTTAACTAATGAGCACGTTTTTGTGGTAGCAAGTTTCGAAATTTATACAAGAGTCTCTTGTATTAAATAATTTATTTACCTGGAGTATATTAAGGAGCATATCCTTTGATAATAGATACTCTGTCGACGGCAAGAAGACATCAGTCGGTTCCGCGTCTTTCGAATATTGTTTGCCCAAGACAAATACTTATCCTTCGAATTTAAATCCGGAATCTTCGCCGACTGCGAACGTTATTTAAAGTTTCTCCGTAGAAATAATACTCCGGGGAATAATATTGTGCAGAACAGAAACACAGTAACGTCGCCCGTGCATCTGGGGTTTGGATTTTATTGCTCGGATTCCAATTATTAGTCTTCCGTATTAGATTCTGTCGCCTTGAAATTTAGTTATTGCGACAAAACGGAGGAATATCGCGCGGTTATTAGAGCAGAGTAAATTCGCGCCGGATTAATTCGAATTAAAATTGTTCGAAACCTAAGGTGTACGAATACGACATCGATTTATTCGCGAATATCCCGAGGCGGAAAGTGGTTAAAATATGAAAAGGACGTCCGATTTTCCCGCAGGAATAGCGTCCTGAAAAATCCAGATCTGGATTGACTCGATTTTGCTACACACACGCACGCTCTCTGATCAATATTCGAACAGAACCGAAACGCAAGTTTTATCAAATAAACTCTCTTAAATTAATATACAAGCAATATTATTCCTGTCGTGTTTTACTTTATGAACTATTCAAAACTTCTGTCGGGCGCAAACTGTAATGCTTTTTAAATTATTTTGGGGAGGTTTCGGTAACGGTTTCGCCCCTTAAAACCGAGAGGAAGGTTTTGTTTGCGGTACGTAACGGCATGTTTGAGTAGGTTCAAATATTTACTTGTTCTTTTATTAAAAAAGGATTCCGTTTATTCGATAGTTCTGTTTTATGTACGCGCGCAAAATTCGAGGGTCTGTTTGATGTGGATTTTATTCGAAATGAAATTTGATGGAAACGTTCTGTAAATTTCTACGAATGAGCCGATTCAAGATATACCTGATTAAATAAAATTAGGTTTGGTTTTATCGAATTTTAATTAGAATGATTCTAATTAAAAGAGAGATTTATAACGTAACCGGAGGATCTCGAATAATGGAGCGTCATTAAACAAACTTTTAATTCTAGAATAATATCAAAGAACCAATAAATAAGAGTCTAACAACAATCAGATAAATGAATGAAATAAATTATTTCGGACCGATTGGTATACGATTTCCTGCATCCACAACATAAATAATAACGTTATTTAATGTTATTACGAATTAGGCACATTAATTACTAATTTAAATTCGCAATGAACTTTATACCTACCAAACCGAAAATATGGAAATTTAATTTCGCAATTTGCTTTCAGTTATTAATAGATTTTTTTTAATTCGTTGCATTGTTATTTTATAAATAATACAGAAACAACACGTCGGAATATAAAATTACTTGTTACGTTAACATTAACGAACATTAATAAATTGTTCGATGAAGTAATTTAATAAAAAACCCGCGCTAAATTCTATGAAACAATACACTTACCGGGCGTATTAATAAACCGTATTGCAGCTGATGGAATTTTTCAATTCCCGCGTCACAACGCCCAACATATAAATAGGGAAAAATACAAGGAGATGCTTTTCATAAATTTCCCGTCATCCATATGATAAATAAGAAATCTCCTTTTATCTCTTATACGTAGGTAGCGGATGCGAAGACATTTTAATATAGAGGACGTGCAAAAAAAAGAAAGTCTTTTGTACGAACGGAGCTTTTTGATATTCGAGATTGTTATGAGAACTCTCGTCATATTCGCGATACGGAAAGTGCGAACGTTAGATGATATTTTCACGCTAACGTAAAAGAGTAATGATTTCGCCCGTTAATAATTCGGTAGGGCGTAAATAAGATGTGTTGACGATGTCATATGTGTTTCTATTTATTTTCTATTTAGTTATTATTACGTTAGAGAAAATTGTAAATAAAAGTCGCTACCATAAGAAAACTAATTAAATATCTGGAATCGCTATATTCCTGCCGTCAGGAAATGAAATTTTCGTCAAAGGACAGCCGATCTTTCGATAGACGAATTAAAACTCTTCCGAACCGAAAATAATTCCCTTTCGGTCTCATTATATCCACCAAGCGATTCCGATGAAACAACGAAGCTCATCCGTCCGGAAAAATTCCCAAAGTTATAAGTTATAAGCAAAGAGGAACCTTCTTCGCTTCGCTCTTATTTAATCGTTAAAATCTTCGAGTAATTTTCCTCCGTTACTTCTCTCGCCCAATATTATCTCAACTCCAAAATACTTCGTAATAGTTCACTCAAGATATCATCGGTGTAACTTCAATAGCGGAATATTTCCAGCTCGCTATATTTCACCGGTATAAATTAACGAATGCAAAATGCAAGGTTCAATTACAGCGCGATTGATGTTAGGTTGCGAAATAAGTATAACACATATTCGGCGTTGCGACGCTGCGGCGTCGCCATCGGCGAGTTTCAATTCGCGCGAATCGTTTATGCGTCAGCAAGAAGAGACAATAACTAATGCACGAGGCTATTATGCAAACTAATGAACTACCGTTGCATGAAAGCACGTTTGAACTACCATATCAAATAACAATTCAGCGCCGGTACGTCATCAATTACAGGACAATCCGCGATGATGGCGGAGCAGGTATAAAAGGGATGTGCTTCGACATTGGATAACTACATTTCGGACGCTAAACAACAATTTGATGAATTGGATGCTAATGGAAATATACCTAATGGAAAAGTGCAACAGCGTATGAGAAGAAATTCGATTAATTCGATCCCAATCTTCCTACTTATTGCTTCTTTTTGGTGAACCAAATTGGTAATACTAACAGTGATTGTTTTGCATATATCGCTTACAGCGATTATACCAAGGGGATTTTACTGATGGTTATCATCCCGGTAATTTTCTAAACGTACGTTCTGAGAGATATAACAGCGTAAACACGTATAAAAAATTCGGTATTGTTATCGGAAGCGGAGCAGCGATATAGGGAAAATGGTTGGTCGGGATCAGAAGACGGATCCCCTCTCGTTTTCCGGCTCATAATGTACATCAATTTCGAGAAGTCACATACTGTTTGAAGTACTCCCGAAGATTTATCCGCTGCTGTTATGAAGAGGGGGATGTCGCATTTTCGAGGAGCTCCCCGGGGAGGCTTTTGGGGGATCCCTTCTCTGCCAGGGGTCGGTGTCGAATGTTCGGCGCGATAAAAAAAAAGCTTTAATTATAAATATTCGGCTGTTGTTGGCGCAAATGGAAATTACACGGCAACGACTATTGTAAACACAAATCGATGGGATCCAATTGAATTTATATTTCGAAACGTGCACACGACGCTCTCGCCCTACCTGTTATCAGCAGTTGCTCATTTGCGTTGGAAACATTGAGTTATAGCGCGAACTTCCCTTTAATTAAGTTCAACAACTGAAACAAGACCTTAATGGGCTAAGTTTAATTTGTTCTGCCCCTAACTAATCTCGCTTATATCAAATATTTTATTTCGCCATTTTGACCGACCTAACCCCTTTGTGGACGTTCAAATGTTAACGGGATAGACGCGCGGGTGCGGCTCGTAATTGTGAAGATAAATAATTGTGCGAGAAGGGAGGGATGCGAAATTCCAATTAGTAATTAGGGGAGAATTTTGATTGCGGATAAATTCGAAAATACATCCCCCAAAAAAACATCTCGGCGTATAAAAATTACCTTGCGGATAAGTTGTTGTTATCGGGCATCTCGGTAGTCTATACCACCCCCGGATCGTACATCAAACTGTCGTTGAGTAAATTGAATCCTCAGTTAAAAAATTTAGGAGTCATTCTTGCAGGGTTTCAATTACCTGAAACTATCGGAGACGTTGAAAGTGATTGATAGGTATGACGTGGCCGTTCGGTTAAAGACGGAGCGAACGCGTAAAGGAATTTTGATTCGATTCGAGATCGACGGTGACTGGGGATATTTCTCTCATCGAAAATTCGCAATTTTCACTTTTTTTCTACCACAATTCACGCATTTTTAACCCTCTATTTACTACCACTCTCGCGTATTTCGATTACATCTGCAGTAGAACATCACACACCCAATCATATTCTTCAACTTCATTATGTTTGATCCATCTTATCCGCGACGCAAAGAACCGCAAACAAGAAGTAAAAAATCCTTCATCATCCTACGCTTCATTACTCCTTATTACTCCCATAAAGCCAGGCTTTGATTACATCCACACTATAAAATAACTTTCCCCTTTCATTCGGGCGAATGGGGCTCCCCTTACGCGCGAGGCCGCATGGGAATGAAAAATTAAATGGCAACAACTGGCCTTTCGAAAAAAGGCAACATTAAAATATCGTCTTTGAGCCGCCCCCCATCGACTGAACTCATAACTTGAGATTAGCAGCGGTGCAACGACTTTTCCATAAGTTGCTTCCCTTCGACGAGGGAATAGGGACTTTGTGATTCATTGCTCAATATCGTCGTAAAAAATTAGTTATCGGCGAGAACGGTAGTGAATTTTAAATTGAAAATGAAACGATAGGCGTTTTATTTAGTGAAATTATAGAGGTTTATTTAAATTTTATGAACTGAATATCATTTTTGCCGGGCATACAGTTACAATGTAATTTTCACAGTATAATTTGCACTTTCCTAAATTAACTATGGTGACTTGCACGAATTTTTAAGTACTATGTTAATTTGCGTTCGCGTCTTTGTTTTCGCTATATTTCAAAGATGCAGTGACTGAAGGATTTCCTGAAAATAAAAAGTAATTAATTGCTATAGATATTCTGCAATTACTCGACGTCGCAATATCCCGAAGGGCCAAACGAAACGAAGCATTCTCTTTCTCACAGGTCATTTCCACTGGTGCTCGCTTTGATGATTCTATTTTCTTTATAATCAACTTTTTAGATTGAAACAACAGCCTCCTTTCGCTTTATAGCCCTTATGCGAGCCTCCGCTACAATGATATAATTTTGCGCGTTTTATTATCGCATTTTTCTCCACACGAAAAAAAGAACCGAAACAAATCTAGTCCATTTGTCAACCCAAACAATCTCGATCCCCAAGCGCGGAGGATTCCGAATTATTTTCGATCGGGTATCGTGCGGTTAATTTGTAATACTTACGTTTTACGCTAGCGGTTTTATTTTCGTTATTAGCCGGTCTTATTGCCATAGTGTAACTACCCCTGCAAGAGAAACTCGTCTTGTAAGATCGATATTGTTATATAAGTATAGTTGATGAAAGAAACTTTACCGGTGTTTGTTCTGTTTCTCCAAACAGTTTGCGTAATCCAGCATGACAAAAGTTTCCTGAAACGGCACGGCCACGTAGAGAAAACCGTGTTGGAATTCGGTAGGTTTTTTCAATTCCTGTCCGAATATCGTACAAATTCTACGATACAAAAAATTGCCAGAAAACGCTTCCAAGCCGGTACAACTCGCCACTTACTTACTGATACCTTCGGGTATATCCAAAATATTGGTCAGATATTTGTGTATCACGTCCCAATTTTTCATGTCCTTTTCGTTGAATACGACCTTTTCGGGTATCTGACTGCTGCGCCCGTTCACCACCATGTAAACGATGGTCAAATTCTTCCTCTTGGTCTCGATGAGGAACGTCTCCGTTTTGGTGTTTATATCGCCCGTGTACAACTTGGCCACCTTCTTCCTTTGCACGTCCTTCTCGTTGTTCGTCCTGTATCTAACGGGTATAATTGCAGCATTAACGCGAACGAAGCGGGTGCAAAACTCACCCCCCCGGTATGGTTTTGAACTTGCACTTCACGCCGAGAGCGATGTACTTCTCCTTCGGGTCCAAGTCCTCGAAGCAATCCACCACCTGCATGGTGCTCAGCGCTATCAGTTTTCTCACCGCTCCGAAATTCGGTTTGATCACGTTGGTGACGTCCAATAACACTGCTGTCCAACTGCAATGTTTTCGTGTAGGAATTATCGAGTTATCGAGCGCGGACTGTTACCTGCGGTAGTTCCTGGGGTTGATGTTGAATTCGTAGCATTGGCTCTCGCCGTTGGCCCAGATTTTGATGCGCTTCGATCGGCCGAATTTGGGCTCGGAGAGAAGGTGGAAACTGAGCGATCGCAACAGATTCATTTCGCTAGCATGTCAGATGATTTCGCGAGTGATTTTGGTATTGGATGTGATAGAGAAATTGAATTTAACGTTTAGCGAAGCAAACGGTATTTGACATTGAACGCGGGCAATGTTGTTGTTTTTTTATGACAAGAGGAAATTGAGTAACGGGATTTTTACATCGAGTCGGCGGGTGCGGTAGAGGTGTATTTCCCGGAACCGGTCCTGGATATTTCGGGGCGCAGGAGGAATAGCGATTCCGCTCGTATAGAACAATAAATTTCAATTTGCTCTGCTACAAAACATGCCGCTTTCTAATTACCCTAATTTAGGCACTTTACTTCGACAGAGATAACTGCGACAATGGGTTAGATGACGAGCTCGAGTACGTCGTATTTCCAGTTCCTGGGGGTCGCGAGGTCTTTGATTATAATGTTAGCGAAATAAATATATTGCCGTAATTAGAGAAATTTGAAGAGGAACAGACGACAGACAATATAACGAGTATTCCCTTTTGGAAACATCCCACTACGTTACCCGAAGGTTAATGTTACCCACTCGTTTTGCTAAATCACTTCTCCCTTTCCTAAACACAATATTTAACAAACAAATCGTTTACGAATTTTCCTCCTAATAAAACACAAATATTCCTCTTGTAAATTCTTCAGTGCACCAAGAAATAAGATAGGAGGTAGTGAGTAGAGAGTAGAGTTTAAAGAGTGCATGGGGTAGAGACTTTTGCATAGGGAGAGTAGAGAGTCAGGTAAATTGAGTAGAGATTTCCGGAGCACTCAAATTCTTCAAACCTGCTTCAAGTTCTAACCCTAATGAGCGCCTCCATTAGAGGCTAATAACTCGACATGTCGATAGTGGTGTTAATGCAGTAAAAGTTGGATTAGTTGTATCATTAATATCAATCGAATAAGGAGAAAATGCGACCATTAAATAGGAAACGGGGCGGGTCGTTAACGAAAAAAAACAAGGGGCGATTTCGAGTAGATCGTTCGTGCTCGCAGTCATTTTATAACAAATATACCGGATGTTAATTATAACAAAGCCATTTAGTTGAACAGCGTTATTTGTTGTAGCCGAGTAAAATTTCATATCTACGTCGACTTAATGACAGGTTTCGGGGAAATAATAGCGCGGCCATATCTGTTTAGATCGGTTTGTTTGATATTATTCGAGTTGATGAATAGATGAATTTAAATTGGGCTCGAATAGGTGCGTTTCTTCACTAATTTAACTGCTTTTTTATTAAATATAATTAGGTAACGTTCAGTTATTTGTAGTCTTTTCGTAACAATCTAAATATCTAAATTAGCTATTAATTTTCTGTTGATGTTTTATCATGCCATATTTGTCTTGTAACGTGCTCAAAGTGAAACATCTCGTATTTATTCACCGAGCGCATTATATTTAAGTCCGTCGTATGACCATAAATTCCGGTCGAAGTGGGTATATTTATCTGCCGTGAGATGGAGTTCATTTCCCCAAAAGAAAAATACGCGCGATAAATAATACGCGAGCCCACCTCATAATCAATTTGTTCGATGGGAAGAGACCGATAAAGCGAAAGAGTAAACTTATGAAATGTAAAACGTACATAAATCTCGGCGCGCAAGGCGCAGCTGACGCCCCGAACGAACCCGATTTTCCGGGGGAGAAAATTCGGCTGTAAACAATTTCAACAAGTCCTCTAATATATCTTCAATTCACTAATTTATTATAACGCACTACATGTCGTGACGGCGTTCATTACCACTAAATTTTAAACTACAATTAATCTCCAGGGGAAGGAATTAAAACCAATCAACGCGGTTTCGAAGGATGCCATTTTTATGTTTGCACGCGACTAAGAAAACCACAAAAAAATTTACCATTTCAGTGGCGTGTAGTTAATAAAGTTACTTACAGACCGATTAGAATAGCTATCGACCTAACCTGCGCAAACCACGACTCAATAGTATACTTAATAGAGACTTATACATTGAGATACATTGTAAAACGAAAATGGCAATAAAATCTTTAGGATACGACTGGAGTTTCTTTTTGTATCCGTTAGGATCGGTACTGGTTTGTATGTATTCCACCTTTGCAGGGGCCGCAAAGCATTGAAATAGTGCAACGATAGGACGGGACGTGTCCGGTTTTACAATGGGACCGGTACGGGAAACCTTCAATTGCATCTTTTCCGCCATCTTCGTATAATAAAACGGCGAAGACGCCCGCCGAGTTTTCTGTTTTTCCGGGGCGAGTTTTGGAGATGTGCTCGCTCTATTTCATTTTATATATAAACTTATCGAGAGCAATGAAACGGCGTGTCCGCCGAATACGTAAGAGATATACTTCGATTTTATCGGATATCTAGATGGAATTTGCTCGGACCGAAACGAAATACATCTGGAATATTGGATGAAATCACCGGCGGGTTTCCTGTTTCGTTTCGAAAAAATAATTCCAATTTCCCCGGTAATTAATCGGGCACTCTACACCGAAAGCGATGTGGAGAAGTTAACACTAAATTTAACCGGGAAGGCGCGAGATAAAATTTCATTCGGTCTTGAATAATGTCTTGTAATTTTTATTATTTTTAAACACACAAACATTCAACTCGACAACTCATCGCTTCGCATTAATTTAATGGCGTCCAAAAGGCACCGACTAATGTCCTACATAGATGGGTTGCCGTTTGATATACCGCTTAATAAACTATTTCGGGGACGGTTTACATTATTTAAAAGTAAACAGTTATCCTTTAATTCTACTAAAAATGTATAAAGTGACAACATTGTAATGGGCCCTCATCACTACTAATTTATCTCGAAATTGCTGTAGGTAATTATTGTTTGTAGTTTAAATAGAGTTTCGGTGAATTAGAGAGACGACAATGGATGAGTATCCGGCGAGCCGTCGCGCTGATTTCGATTCGAGATAGCTTCTAATTATATTTTATTTGGATAATTAGCGGGGTCGTTTCGGAAAGTTGATGTCTCAATTGTGAGAGCCGCTTATCAGCCGGCATCTGCGTTTCGTGAGGTTCGCCAGAAAACACCCAAAAATTACCTCGTTGACGAGGCGGTTTTAATTAGACTGCTCTCGGCGGTGCCGGAACGCTTTTCAATTGATTAAAAAGCTTAAAACCCGCAATTTTTATAATAAAACGCTTAAAAAATTTTAGTGGTTTTTACGATTTTTTCGAGGAAATGTATAGGTTCTTATTTTACTAGTTTTCATATAGTTTTTCATTAGGTACAAACTGGGTGATTTTTTTCCTGCAAAACTTCAATTCGCGTCGAAAAAATATCGGATATTTCGCTAAACTCATTCGGCTTTGTCGCCGATGGGTTTTTGTTCGTGTCAAAGTTGAACATTAAAATACTTTTTCCCGTATACGCGCGAGGCTCGGAGGGAAATTGTTTTTTTCCCCCGATGCTGGAAATCGCGCGGTCTGCTGGCGACGTTCGTCACAAAAATTTCTTTCAAAACTAATCGCGGTTATTGGAAGTCGATGTAGTATTTCCGCGTTGATATGTTTTATTGATGTCGATGCCGGAGTGAGTTTTGATCGGCTACGCAGGGCCGCTACTGCTCCGAAACCGGCGGTTTTATATTCGCGAATCAATGCAAGGCACCTGTCCACCTTCGTGCAGGTTTTTTCATCGCCCTGCGGCCGCCTCGCAGGAGTGCCTACGTAATGACTTCATCAGTCGAATTCCCCGCGTTCTAATCACACAGCAAACCGAAAATAACACCAGAAACACCAAGGAGAAAACTCCACAGCTGCAATTCCAGTCGGCGATAACATCGCCAATCGAACATCGACGATTTAATTAAATTTCTCGATTATTCCTCTCGCGGTTCGGGCCCAATTGATATATCACACTGCGGAGATCTTATCGCCCAAACTGTAGGTATAGGATATCGCGTCGAGGGAAGAAAAAAAAAATATCCGAACTGTTGAACACCTGTAATTGAGTACCGGGCTGCATTATAAATATGGGCGGTACCATTGTGTGCAGCTTGGTTATAAATTTTCGAAATGCACAGAGTTGTATTAAACACTAAATACTACACGAATATCTTTAACTAATTTTATTGCAAGTATTACAAAATTGCATGCTCAAACAAAATAAAAAGGCGAGAGGTAATGAGAATAAAACTGTATTGTTATAATACCATTTAAATAGTGTATTATTGTGCTAAGCCGATTCTGTATAGGCCATAAATTCTCCTGTTATGAATCGAAAAATATTTCACGTCGTACGTATCGAAAGACGCGGGGCTCCACGTTGATATCGGTGTAATTACGGCACTTAATAAAACGATATCCGACGGACCGCTCTGATCTATAGTTATTTATGTATACTAAATATTCATGTCTTATTCGATATAAGCGCCCATGAACAACTCCGGGATAAATTCTTTTACGATTCGACCGATAATGGCCACCTAGGTGTTTCGATCGCGGCCAATTTATTTCGCTAGTAACGAGGAAATTGCGTATTTTATTTAAACACTCGAATCGTTAATTAATAATCCATATCGTCGCAACGAAACGAAATCGTTGATTTTACAATTCATACACACCATACAGAAGTAAACTGCTCCACAAAAGTTAAGGAAATTAGCAAATTTTGCGATTAATTTAAAAGTTGCAGGTTTTTTGATCGCCAAATTTAGTATGAGTTGTAGAGGTAGGAGGTTTAATTTCGCATATTTGAAAATTTGGTGATCAAAAAGTCTGTAATTATTAAAATAATCGCAAAATTTGCGAACTTCCTTAACTTTTGTGTAGCAGTTTAAATACATACATAGAAATTACCATAACAAGATAGATTTCGCTTTAAATTACAAGCAACAATTAGCGGCATTTATGTCGACCAAAACGTTAATTCGAATTGAAGCGTTTTCGAAAAATAAATCTGTAACAGGTATACGCGTTCGATTAAATGATTAACATTTAATAACGAATCCATCGGACCGTATACCTACGCTTGAATAATCGAGTGGTCGATATAAAAAAAGGAACTCGAAGAAGGAGGAAAAAAACCCGACGATGAGATGCAGATAACGAAAGTGATGTTAGAATACTCGCAATTAATTGTTATTGGCTTATCTGATGACG